CCGCTGTTGCTGGACACTTCATTCATTGTCCATCCCCTACAGTCATGCATGGCCTGATTGATCATACCAATTGCTTTCCGGGCGCTGCGGAGGAAACGGTCGTTTTGTGGTCCGGGATTCCACACACTCAAGTGATAGTTAATGGTTCTCGTTGGCCAGACCTTGGGCTCCCAATGGTCATTCGTCCAAGGTCTATCGGCACAACGCGGACGCCGCGCGTTCCAGACGCACTGCTGTGGAGCAGCGGAGCCGCCGTTGAATGAAATCATCGCCATGGGGTTTATCCAGTTTGATGGAGGCATTCCAAACCGCCTACCAAAGGCCCTAACTAAGCCCCAGTACGCATCACCCATGGTTTGCCCTGATAAAAGAAATACAGTCACGTGAGTTTGCAATAACCAAACCCATGACCTGATAGCAGCCTAACAGCATACATGTTGTCGACTACCGGTAATCAGCAAAAAGCCACACTTTTTCCCTGTTAATGTTTTCTGCGTAACCGTCGAGAAATATTAGTAAAGTTAAATGACGAAATATTTCCACACTTCATATCTCTATATTATACTTGTTCCTTATTTCATAACCAGCTCCTGCAACGGCAGACAAAACGAATTTCTGCTTAGAATATTTTAAAATATCAGATTTAAGACTTTTATAATCGCAAGCAAACAGCATATTTTTTTAGCGAAACATACCGTAATCAACCGAGCGGTTTTCCCTAGAATTCGAAGAACATCCAACGCCCGACTCGGGATTGCATAGAACGCTGTTGCTGGCAGTGCCCGGATGCTTGCTTGTGGTTTTTAAACCTCTTGGTGGTTTCGTGGTGATGTGAGTCGTCCGCTTGGTTGTGGTATGGCCGTACGCAGGTGACGTACGGATACAAAATCCGTGCACGGTATCGGTATTACTGCAGTAGGATCCGCCGCAGCAGGGGATATCATCGGCTCAACCCTCCATCGGGTACCGACATAACGCCAGTATAGCCTGCAACATTACGACAATGAGCAACATGACCTTTGGTGTTATGCAGGCTAACCGAAAACGGCCATAGTACATATTCGAATTCTTACCGGTAACATACTGGCAGCCCAGGCTGCCCCGATTATGACGAGACGCATAACTGATGAAGCGCGGTGATCGCTTGTTAAAACGTTGGAAAGTCTAAACCAATCTTGCTAACCTAAACGTTACAGGAGTGATATGGTGAAACAATAAAACCGAATCTTCTTTTATACACAGTTGTATGGAGTGAGGAGTGGTGTAAGGTGCTTACCCATGCAAAAATATACAGAAAGGTGATTTTCATGCGGGGAAACGGTTGCCTGGATCACTTGAAAGTCCCTGTGTGAAGAGGATACGGGTGCCGACATTAGCTGCGAACGACAAGGCTGCACTTATGAGACATCGAATATTCCGACTTTGTTGCTGACTGCTGCAGAATGGCCACTGTCTCCGCCACCGACTGTACAGAGAAACACTTCTCGGCAAGCGCTTCCGATCGCTCAGACAGGATGCAATTTTGCAGGCTGAAGCAAGTTTTCCAGAAGCTGCATACCTCGACGCGGGTTGTTGCTGGAATCCAAGCCGTTGCTGCGCAAATCACGATCATAGATGGCAAAAACACTTCAAACTCGTGAATCGGAAATCGCTGAACACGCTTCGGTGATTGGGCATCTAGGAAAGGCGCATGCATGATTTCCGGCACGGCGAAATGCAGCCCCGGCGAAATGCAGCTTGCCAGTTGCCACGCGTTGGCTGCATGATGCGGGACGGAGAACTTTACTTCTTTGGTTATCATTTATTTCACAGACAGCGTTTCACAGACAGCGGTTGTCATATATGGTGAGGTTGCGACCACTGTCGCGTTCCCGCACTGCAAACAGAATGACCCATGTGTCGGCCATATCCTATCTAAAACGCTCTGTTTTTGTGCGACTTCCATTACCTTTCGTGCTTCTATTGTAAGAGCTTTCGAGCGGCACATGGGATATTTAACTGGTAGTAATATTTAACTCGCCCGCAACCTTTCATTTCATATTTTAATTCGCAGCACAGTATTTAAGGATCATAGCCAGCCTTTCTGTAAGTATCTGGGTGACATAAATAAGTGTCCTGGAATGCCTCTTTCAATCTTTTTGTTGATACTTGTGTTATGTGCTGTAGTTTCTCAGCTGGGAACACTGTTTGCATTTTTTTATTCTGCATCTTTGTGTTTTCGCTCCTTTGTCCTTACTTTTCGAAATTCTTCGCAGTGATATGTGCCATAAGGTGGTCAACTGCATAAAGTACACCGTTATGTTGCACCAAGACAGTATTCATTACAGTACACAGGACAGGACAGTATTTATTACAGTTCTTACACCAAGGCAGTATTTATTTATGAGCTTTCGAGATTTGTTGTAAGTTATCGCAGTTGCCAAAAAGTTGTCCCAGTCCGCAAGATAGAAATGCATTCTTATCTGATGTCCCACCAAATGTATCGGTTGGAGCGGGATGACCTTTTATTGTTGTGGCTCTCCTGTTAATTAGCCTATCCTACGCGCAGCTTGCTTGGGCAGGTTATTGGAGATACTGTTGTCCAGTCGTCAACTACAGTAATTTTAGTATAGTCCTTCTTTCTGCGCCTGCAACAGTTGCTTACGAAACATTCTGCCCATTTTTTGGTATACTTAAAATTAAATTGTTTTTGCGTTCGTGCCGTAATAATAATAACATGAAATAGTAACGCCTTTGGCTGCTTCCTACCAGAATATTGTTGTTCTGTGCTTTTCCGGACCACGGGATTATTGTATTAGTCAAATTGTTTCAGAGCCAGATGAAAATATACCATAAATATTACGAGCGAACTGCGGAATGTAATGCAGAATGCTTGCAAATCGGCGAGCGTGCTGTTAAAACATGTCACATCAGTAAATCTTCGTATTCTCTCTGGGCATCATCCGAAATTTTTCCAGTCCGATAAAACCTTTTTGTATAAAGCGTTTGGCAACTGGGCGATCAATTCGATCAGATCAGCTTGCACTATCAATACTTGTACAGCTGTGTCTCACAATCATCGGATCTCGTGAACCGCATGCAATGTTGCACATAATCGGCGACGAAGTAACCGACGACAAATTTACCACTGTTTTCTTCTTTAACTTTCGAAAAACGAAACGAGATGTATGGTGCACATGTTACGGAATTCGTCTCTGATTTACAGCTTCTTGAAATAAAACAGCCAACCCTATAATATTTTGCTTAACGCACAACGATACTTTGTGGAGCTTTGTTCTTTTACATCCAGGATGTAGAACACCCAGCACATGTTTTCGAAAATGCCACAGTTTACAGGATTAATTTTATGATGAAATCATGGGCGCATTACCACATTAACGACTGGACAATACCACAGTATATATGTATGTCGCCCAGTCAATTTCCCATAAACTGGGCGGTCATAGGAATCGACTTTCATTTCCTAGCGATCACAATTACCGTAATTATCAAATTTGTGGCACCCCCCGCAATAAGCGCATCTCACCAAAAATGTTCGAAAAATAACGGCACCCCCCGAAATTACGGCACCGGGTGCCGTTATTAAATGCTAAGCCAAATAAACCGATAATTATACTTCTACCGCAAACCGCGTTTTAAAACATACGATTTAATCATACAGCTGAACAGGGATCGCGAAGCCTAAGTCAATAAACAGAAATAAAAATGTGGCAAATGGCAAGCAATTGCGTACAGTACAGTCTGTACCGATTTGTACCGAGATGCTGCATGGAAGCTGTGCTAACTGGCAACTGCATACTGTACTTTTATAGCAAGCTTCCTCCATACACCCGGTAACTGCTGCGCTCAGTTTCAGCATAACAGGATGGGTTTTTGTTTCGAAAATGATGGTCCCCTCAAAGCTTTGTTGTTCGAAAAATAAGAGCCCCCTCTGAAATTTATTGTTTGAAAAATAAGAGAACCCCCCGAAATAACCGCACCTCCCCGAAATAAGCGCACCTGCTCCATGGTATTCGAACTGTTTGCGCCCAGTACGGCAAATTCGATAATTACAGTATTTCTACACGGATCGTATTCTTTTTTAACCTCATGCCGACAACGTAATAGTCACCGGTGCAACTGTATGGTTGTTAATATTTTTATCGATAAACAGTCTGCAGGGTTTCGTAGTGTGTCTGGCTTAAACCGGTTTCCAGTTGAGCCCGCCAAGTGGATAGTGGCGGACTGGCGGTGCAGCGCTCCGCTAATACATCTAACCCGAAATCGTCTCTCGAATACTGCTGATGCAGATAATTTCCCCCATAAAGCAAAGCCCAGTTCCCCGGAAACCCTTCTGATCAGGCTGACGAGTGTTTTTCCGGCTCATCTTAATGCTTGCTGCAATTTTCCAATGGAATATAACGGAGCGGTGCAATTTCGTGTCCTGTACTGTAGCGGCTCGATCACGTGGCACCACAGAGTTTGTCTACGAAAACAACAGGAGGACAACACACATGCAGCGAGTCCATGCTCATGCGCACGCAAGCACGAGCAGTGCACGCTTTGCAAGTGCTGATTTCCCGTACAGAATCTCCGTGGTGCCCTTGATCGAGCCACTACCGTACGTACGTTCCTACGCTCAGATCCCTAAGAAGTCAGAAATCGCATCGAAAAATTGACGTGGTGGTATTAAACTTTGTTCCCAGTTTTCACTACTTAAAGTTTACCAAGAGCAATGTGTACGAAGTGGTATTTATTGCCGCCGGCTGTTTGGTGAGTTTACCGGTCAGCAAAGGTCATGCATACTTCTAGCACTACTCACTCGCGTACGATTCACGAAGTACAGTCCGTCAATCCGCTTCTGTGCGAAATCGCAGCCCGAAGTTATGCCGAAGCCATTTCCTCGACCAACAGTTTACTTGACGTTCCAGTTTAAGGTTTATTACAGTGCGAGTATTTGTTTTTTATTGTGGTGTGGGTAGCTCTTCCTGGTTAACAGAATGCCGCCAGCAAATCGTTGGTGTTCAGTAGATAGTCAACTGACAGAATTTGCACTTTATTCTCGTAAACACATTTCGACGCGATGTAACTGGCGCAAGACCGCTTGTCACAAAGGTCTTTAACGGTGGGGAATACGAGTACTGATAGCTGAAGCTTGAACGCTTTTTTGCAAAGAGAAAGCTGTTCCTTTACAAGTGTGTATAACGCTAATGATTTATACTTTTATTATATGTATAATGTAGCTACGTAAGTAACTGATTATCAGATCAGCCCCGATTTTTAAGAGCGAAGCAACCCGTCTTCCTATGGCTAAATAGCGGCCATACAAGGTCCAGTATCCCCCCGAAAAGCACAAAACATCAGCGCTGTAATTATCAGGAGCCACCAGTTCGTTCGTAAACGCCACCGTCCAGAATTCGTGCACGTGACGGTGGGCGGCAGTTGTTGGGCATGCCACAAAGTCTGATTGGGTGCCGTGCCGCACCACCACGTCACACCGTACACCTGGTCGCGGGTGGTGTAATCGCAGATAAAGCGGAAAAACGGTTCCATGGCGGAACAGGCACACTTGTCGTCCGTTGGGCAGAAGGGGTTGTTGTCCACGTCCAGCTGCATATGGCCGTCTTGGTAGTTCAGGGAGTCAATCACGCAATGCGGCAAGAACTCCAAATTGTTGTTGCGCAGCAGCAAGTGACCGGTTTCCGCAGGTAGGCGAAAGTTGGTGGAACAGCTGATGGAGTGCAGGCCAGGACGCTGGGAGCTTAAATCCAGAGACTACGACAGCGACAAAACATGAACATCGATAATTTCAGGATGTCTGCCATGACGATTCGCTGACCAACAACTTGATAACGAACGGTAGGTACCTTTGCTTACTGATAGAGCGTTTACCTGAAAGCTTTGCTAGAAACGACAAATCGATGACCGACAAGATTTGAACAACAATCTGTTGAACGCCGAAGTTTATCTCTTCTCTTTCTTCCATACAACTAAACTTTATTCATGATAAATAAAAGGAAAAACTTATTTGTTAGAAAGATAAGAAAAAACTAATAAACAGTAAAAAAAGTCAAGAAACGGTTTCAACAAAATTGCCGCTAAGTGAACGGTCGGTTACTGATTTGTAGATCGGCCAGTAATTGTGAATCGGCATTAATTTAGTCAGTATATTCCCAGGAAGCGAAAAGGGAAATTAGAAAGCTCATATGCCCTCGTCACTTACCCCGATCTCGGTAATCGGCTGGAAAACGGCCCAGTCAAGGCTCTCCAACCGATTCCACGTCAAACTGATATTTAACCGCGGTGCGGTGCCATTGCGTTGGAAAGCGGTCTTGCTGATGACGGAAATATCACTCGACATGAAATCCAGCTGCCGCAGCTGTGAAAATCCCTGGAGAAACCCGTCTTCCAGGGAGCCCACTTTGCTGCTTTGCACAACGAGGAATTGGAGACGGTCTTTGACATTCTCGACGAACCGCTTAATGCGGATGCTGGAGTTGTTCTCGTCGGTGAAACTGTTGAGCCGGAGGTGCTGGAGTGCGGTCAGATCGGCCGGTAAAGGCGGAGCATTGGATGCCAGAATATTGGGAGAGCCTCCTCCATTGATCACAATTATCTGGACGTCTTTGCGGATTTGTGCCGCGTCAAAGTTGCCGGGTATGACCATGCCGGATGGGCATGAGAGAAGGAGAGGATCGTTTTCGTTCTGCCGAGAGTACGAACATGCGGGATGCGGGTACGGACCTTGATCTACACACACTTCCCTGATTATGTTCCCTTATATTCGGAACGCGTTATGTCACCTTAGTGCTCATTTTTATTAAAAGGAATGCCCGGTACATGATCTCAGAAATGGGATACATACACTAAAACTTTCGCTTTCGCGCACAGTTTCAGCAAAGTTTCAAGAAAATTGGGTAATAACCAAACTTTTGGTACACTACAATGCATTTAAACTTTTCACCCATTTTAGTACGCCATATCTCGGCAACCGGGTGTTGCGCGCGCAAACGGTTTTCAGAACCTGTATACAAATCATTTAGCTTTAGAATAATATAAAGCATTACAAAAAGGTTGATTCGGAGTGCGCGAAAGCGAAAGTTTTAGTGAATGTGTTCCATTTTTGACGCTATGTACTGGGCCATTTTCCTTAAGGCTCTTAGTACGAAATAGGTCTAAAAAGTGCCAGTCTTAGCTAACTTAATGGAATATTTAAAAGAGAAACTACTCTGTAGTAGAGCAACGTGAAACTAGTAACGGTTGAGCCCTAATCGTTATTGTACACTCACCATCTTTAGCATAGTTATTGTTGCACCGTACTTCGTCGGGGACGATTAGAATGGTTAATCCTAGCAAAAGTATAAGAACGCTTGAATTTCGCATTGTCAGCAGTTTAGCCAAGTGTTGCGCGCAGTTCTTGCCGTCGTATTGCTAATTTTGGACAGTGAGACTGGGTTTACAGCACTGGCTGCAGCAATTTTAAATGTGAATACTTTTTCCCGATAACCCTTATCACTGTTTTTACACACGAAGAACTCGGAAACCTTTTGCACGAGCAATTCGTTCTGTTATCAGCTGATTTGTTTACTCCCCGTTAAATGTAATAATGGTTGATAAGGCACAGATAAGTACTCATGAAAACACACTACGCTGCACTTGCTGCAGTGCCGAAACAATCTTGGAACGTGTTGCGCATTCAGAACAACATTTTTATAGCTCGACGTTTTGGATTTTTTATTCAAATCCAGCTTAAAGTTTTTTGAATTCCCAGACAATTTAAACAGCCGACAGAGCAAAAGACAAGACATTCCCACGGAAATTCATTATGCGACTATATGCGTAGCTGTTCAATTCAAAAGCTGCTGGAATTTTTACAGAGTGTACAGAAACTCAGTATAGCAGCTATCAAAAGAAACCAGCTCGCTTGAAGAAGCCTTTGCGCTCCGCCCGTGCAAGGCGCGTTGGGCGGCATCTGGTGCAGACTCCACGAGCGCTTATTGGTTCCCGTGCCGCACTTAAAGCTCAAACCGAAGTGCGGGTCGGCAGCGAAGAAATCGCATGCAAAATACAAGAACGGCGCCAATGCGGGACAGGTGCACATTCCGTCCGTCGGGCAGAACGGATTATCGTCCACGCCGATGTCGGAATGGGTGTTATTGCTCAGCGAGTCCAGTAAGCACTGCGGCAACTGGTTCCCGCCCAACTGCAGGGACAACAGGGGCTCCGCAAAGCGGAAGTTGGTCGAGCAGCTAATGGATTTTAATCCCGGACTTTGCGAGTTAATTTGCACCGCCTACAAAATATTAAGCTATCATAAAGAAAAAAGCCTAAGAAGCCTAAGAAACCTAAGAAAAAAGCCTAGGAGAACCTAAGAAACCCAGGAAAATCTAAGAAAACCTAAGGAAACTAAGAGGACCTGCGAAAAACTAAGAACGCTTAAGTAAAACAAATTAATATGAAAAGTCGGCGTACCAGTAAAGTGTGGGAAAGCGATTGGAAAACGGCCCAATCAATGGTCTCCAGCTGGTTCTCCATCAGACTAACGCTTATCGTCATTGAACCATCTCGTAGAAACGCTGTCCTGCTGATGGACGAAATGTCGCTCTTGGCGAAATTCAGATTCTGCAACTGGGAGAATCCCTGAAGAAATCCATCCTCCAGGGATCCCAGTTTGCTGTTGGCTATACTGAGAACGACCAGGTGATCTTTGACGTTGTCCACGAAGCGTTTAATCGAAATGCTAGAGTTGTTCTCATCCGTGAAACCGTTAAAAATAATCTGCGTGAGGGCGGTGAGGTCAGCTGGGATGGGCGGAGCGTCCGAACGGAGGATGTTCCGCCCGGGGCCGTTGATGGTGATCTGCTGGACATCTTTGCCGATCTTCGTGACGTCAAAGTTGCCAGGGATGTCCATGCCGAGTGGGCAATAAAGGGTGGTGTTTAACGGGAAGTACATGCAGTTGGGATTCGGTAAGGGCCTGTCGTCCTGTCGCGTATCCAACCGGCGCATGACCGTTTTTTCGGTGGGAATGGTGGACCCGGTGCACTAGGTGTTAAAATTGAAAAACGCTGATTCCAACTGGCTAATCAGAGTGCATTTGTACTTACCCTTTCGGACGCTTGTCGTGAACGCAAGAAGAAAGATACATCCCAGAAAGACGATAGCGCCCGTGTGCTGCATGGTTAAAAGCTGTTCCAAATTTCTTTCGTTGTTATATTGCGGCTTCTTAGGACTTGATCTGACTAATTAACTGTGGAGATTGATCCAATGCAGAAACGTTCTTCATGAAAACCTTCTGCGATTCACGCCGCTTTTTCTTTAAAGGAGACACCATCTGCTGATATTAAAATGTCAAAACTGCAATCGCTTTTTGATTCTTCTAATCGTATTTTGTCATTTTGCGTTGCGACTTGTCTATCAGCAGTGTTACGTGCTTATTTCGTAAAGGCGCGGATGTTACTGTGAGCTTTAATGATAGAATAAGCTGAAGGATACAAATGTCAGCCGGCGCTTTATAAGCCGAGCTGAGTTCCAAAACACATATAAATAGATTAGGGCAGGCGCAAGAAAGATACTTCTATGATACACATATAAGGAGATATTATTAATAGTTAAGCTAATGTATACTCGTAACACTTCCCTTCTTAAAATTAAGCTGTCCGCAGCTTAAGAAATTAACGAAAATAAAATGAAAATAAAATTCAAAGAAAATTGAAAATAAAATTATTTCGGCTTCCCTCCCTCCTTTGGCTTTCGCTTCCGCATGTTATATCGTGGTTGCGGGTTATTCGTATCGTCCGGTTGCCTTTCATGGTCAAGGGCGTTATGTCCAAGCGGATTATTATCTTCCGGTAAATTTGGGTCATCGTTACTGAAAATAAAATCCTGACTATCGTCATTAGAAGAAAAATTTAAAGGAAAATTGTCGTCTGCTGATTCTTTAGGCTTATTAGCCAAATAAATTATTTCATCAAACTCTTCCGTATCCGGGTTGATTCTTTCGTTGAACTTTCGCAGGCGGTCAACATGTACAGTATCAATCTTTTTCGTCCATTGCGGTTTCTTATTTTATAGTTGACAGGAGAAGTTTGTTCGATGATTTCCCACGGTCCATGCCAATTCTTTAAAAGTTTCGTAGTTAATTTATTCTTACTGGTGATTGGCTGATCCATGTCGTTAAGAAGTTTAGGCGGTGTCCATAGTAAAACTAAATCTCCAGGTGAAAATTCTGTCTGAACATGTTGTTCGTTGTAACGCGGCGCATTCTTGTCGTGTGCTGAGTTGATACGAAGTTTGGCTAATTCTTGTGCTGATTTCAACCATTTATGTACTGTATCCACGTATTGCGGGATATTTTGAATTTCGTGTAATCCATCGTATTGCATTTGAAGGTCGAAGGGAAAAACAGGTTGACGTCCGTATAGGAGTTCAAAAGGTGAAAATTTTGTAGTTTCGTTCTTTGATGTATTGATGCACCAAACTAATGAAGGTATAAAAGCATCCCAATCGCGGTGATTAGAGCTGACGTAATGAGAAATTGCAACGCTGATGGTACGGTTCATTCTTTCGGTTAATCCATTCGTCTGGGGATGATATGCTGTCGTAGTTGCGTGTTCTATGCCCAGGTAATTTAATAAATTATCCATTAGGGAGTTGACGAAGTGTTTCCCACGGTCGGAAAGGAGTCTTTTAGGTATTCCATGGCGGTAAACTATAAAATCAATTAAAAAATGTGCGGCGTTCGAGGCGGTTGCGGAGCGGACAGCTTTCGCTTCAACCCATTTCGTTAGGTGGTCTATTGCCACGATGAGGTAGGCGTTTCCTTTAGAACTTGTTGTAAACGGTCCAAGATAGTCGATTCCAACGGTATTGAATGGTCCTGAAACTGGTAGAGGTTGTAAGTATCCAGAAGGTTTACTATTCGGCGACTTCGAAATCTGGCAGGACTTGCACGAAGTTACATATTGAAAAACATCTTTAATGCAGTTTGTCCAATAATACTTTTGATGAATTCTTTCGTAAGTACGGGAAACTCCAAAGTGTCCGGAGGTGTCGTGAGCGTTCTTGAGTACTGTCTGTTGTAGTGCGGCAGGTACAACCAGGAGAAAATTCATTCTGTTGTCACGGAAAACAATACGATAAAGGATGTCGTTCTTGATTACAAAGTGCACTCTTTTCTGGCGGTAATTTAGTGTTGTCGTATCTCCACGGAGAGTGTCGATAATCTTTGAACAATACGAGTCTTGCTGTTGCATTAAGGCGATGTTAAAAGATTCTAGGAAAAATAAAGGTGTAGATAGCTGGTGTTCAGGTGGGACGTCTATTGCGTCATAAGGAAATCTTGACAAACAGTCGGCCATATTATTAACTTTTCCAGGTCTGTATCCAATTCGCATGTTGTAGGGGCGTAATCTTAGGATCCATCGGGCTAGTCGTCCAGTTGGGTTTTTCGCTTTCAGTAGTCCAGTTAAGGCGTTGTGATCCGTTATTATGTCGAAGGTCTTTCCAGGGTTTCCGACGTAAGGGTGAAAAATTTCTACGGCAAAAACTACGGCGGCAAGCTCTTGTTCGGTCGTGGAATAGTTCTTTTCTGATGCGGTGAGGCTTCTTGAGGCATAGGCTATTGGCTGAACATTTCCGTTGTTGTCCACTTGGTTGAGTACTGCGCCAAGTCCTAGCATTGAGGCGTCTGTTTCCAAAATGAGATTCTTATTCGGGTCGAAGTGTGCCAGGAGAGGCTTGCTGACCAATTTCTTTTTAAGAGATTCAAAGGCAACTTGTTGTTCATCGGTCCACCGGAATGGTTGGTCTTTCTGAGTAAGGCGGTTCAAAGGATTGGCAATAAGGGAAAAATCTTTAATAAATTTCCGATAATGATTGGCAGCGCCCAGAAACGATCGCAGTGTCTTTAAGTCTGTCGGCACGGGAAACTTCTGTATAGTTGCTACTTTATTGGCATCAGGAGAAATTCCATCAGGTGTTACAGTATGTCCAAGGAAGTTGAGTTTATTGCATCCAAAGTGGCATTTTGAGGGCTTGAGCATCAGGTTTGCGTCGAGAAATTTCATTAGAACTTTTTCCAGGTGTTCCAGATGAGCTTCGAACGAAGGGCTGTATACTTGAACATCGTCAAGGTAAACAATGACGAACTTGAACTTGAAATCTTTAAGTATGCTGTCCATTAGACGTGAGAATGTAGCCGGGGCATTACAGAGTCCAAACGGCATAACCTCGAATCTGTAAAGTCCTTCTGGTGTTAAAAAGGCTGTCTTGTCTTTCGAGTCTTCATGCATTTCAACTTGCAGGTATCCTGAAAGGAGATCCAGGCCGGTAAACCACTTTGATCCTTGTAGTACGTCTAAACAATCGTCAATTCTTGGAAGGGGATACAAATCTTTCTTCGTGATTGAATTAATGGCACGGAAGTCGATACAGAGACGGAGCTCTTTATCCTTCTTCGGGACTAAAACAATGTTACACGCCCATTCGGAGTTGCATGGAGTTATTATCTTTTCTTCTATCCATTGTTTCACTTGCTTGTTGATGAATTCGCGTTGCCAAGGGGCATGGCGTCGTAAGGCTTGATGCACAGGGGGGTTTGATCCGGTGTCAATAACGTGCTTGATTTTGTTGGTTCTTCCAACTTTCTTTTCTTTCGAGGGGAATAGTGTACGGTACTTATAGAGTAATTGAAGCATCTGATGACGTTGGGACTGGGACATATCTTTGCCGAAATTAAATTGATTAGAAAATTCTTCTATGGAAACGTCTTGTGATTCCGGAGAGCCATTTTGTAGCAAGTCTGTTGGGCTAATAAACTTTTCATCTTTAAATTCTGTATGTGGATCCACTTGTATATCTGTACGTGCACGTGCTGCCATGTTGGCAAGGCCGGGAACGGGAGCTGCAGACTTATTCCGGCTTGTATCCAGTGTACGATGAACGTTCACGGCTGAACCGGCATTGTTGATGGAAGGTTGCGCGCTTAATGTCGATTCAGGGCCACGAAAGTTCAAGGTTGGACTAGGCAATATACTGTATGAAGTGGGTATGCGTACGCAGGCGACAGGAATTGATTCTTGATTCTCCGGGTTGACCAGCTGGCTATCTGCAAAACTTAATAGAAACGGTGTAGTAATTAAATAATCATTGCCCAATAATAAATCAAAAGGAAAATTATGTAGGATTGCTACAGTTAATTCGGCATTAAATCCTAAAAGTTGAATGTCCATGCGGCATGCTTCTATTGGTTGCACTACTGTATTAGAGACAGTCCCAAGTGAAGGTCCATTATAAGTCATACGAGTAAATAAATACTTTGATGCAACACGATCACTAATTAAAGAAATACCAGACCCAGTGTCTATTATAGCGATGAGTGGCTCATTGTTAATGAAAAAGTTAAATGATAATGCGCCTGTATAGAAATGACAGATAGGTATTAGTGACTTACGATCCACAGCTTCGTGAGCCAGGGAAGCTGTGGTATTCAGTTTAAATATTGCGGAGCCGGCAGTGCATGAACAGTTGGCGGATGCAGCATACTGGCATACGACGGCTGGATATTTCTTTGGCCTTGATTATTTTTATTTCGTTGCCGGCATTCTTCAATGGTGTGATTGGTACGCTTGCAGTAGTTGCAGAACTTTCGTGTGTATCCTCTCTGTCCTCTAAAGTTTCCTCTTCCTCCTCTGCCGAAACGACGGTTCATATATGGTCTGGATCCGCTCAGTGTCATCCTCTCAATCGCTCTTTCAATGGCAGTTAAACGATCGTCCATATTAGGATTGCTGTGACGTGAATCAGCGCTGTTATTGAATAAGGCGGCAATGACAGGATTCTTCACACAGTCGGCAACTTCTCTCTCCCACTGCTTATTCTGGTATGCTTTCTCTCTCACTACCTCTTTCAGCTTAATGAGGAATTCATTCGGCGTAGATGGCATATTGCTCACGAATCCTGACTTCAGCTGCGGTGGCAGCCCATCGAACAGCTTATTCACGACTTCGCGTTCGGTCGGCGAGTCAGAAATAGAATTGAGGTATCGCATGACATTGGCGTAGTAGTCGTTTGGATTACCAGCGTACGTCAGCGAGCGCTTGGTGTCTTTAGCCAAGTCGTAGTCAAACAGCTGTTTGGCGAAGGCATCGCGTAGCAGTTTCTTCATTTCTGTCCATGTCCCTTCAGCAGGCAGCGTGTTGTATATGCGCAGGGCAGTTCCATTGAATGCACGGTACAGATTACCGATTGCGTCTTCATTAGTCCAGTCGTGCTGTTTAATGCAAATCTCGTACTTTAACAACCAGTCTTCAAAATCTTCATCTTCTTTGTTTGCAAACTGCGGTAATTCTTTAGTTGGCACTTTCTTCTTATGCGTCTCAGAAATACCTTTAATGATGTCAGTTGCACCGTCCCCGTTCTCTGCTAAACCGCGAATTTCATTCAGTTGTCGTTGTAAGTAGTCGGTTGCAGCCATTTGCGCACGGATGGCGTTTGCGTGGTTAACGAGCGTGTCCTCTTCTTTCGCCATTTTGTTGTTAAAATCCCGGTATCGCTTCGATAGTAATTCGAAAAACGATGTTTCTTGTGGTTGAATATAAGGTGGACTTTCTGGACGAGGCGGTGGGTCAGGTATTGGGTCGAAGAAGAGACGTGGATTATCTACTTCCTCTTTTTCGTTCTCTTCGTTCGCTTCGCGTGGCTGGAGGGCTTTGGCTGGGCGGTTTGCTCGTTCAAGGGCGGCGTACTGATCGTGAATTGGTATAGCTGGTAAATGGAGTCGAGAACGAGTGGATACCCCTGGGGGTTGTTGCGAGAAATCTGCTCGAAGAATCGTTCGATCTGGTGAGTCGTCACATTCGCTAGCGGATGATTCGTCGTTGGAGAAGTATTCTTCTTCCCGGAACTGGACTTCTTCTTCTGCGGCATTAGCGTGAGACATTAGCTGCGTAGCGTACGTACCGGTTTACGACATAACAATCACTGGTGGAGAGGGTTGTAAGGTGTCCAAGTAATCCGAAAATACGTAAATAAATGATGGAAAGGTCACAAAAGTATCGCGGTATATAAAGATACTTTTTCAAAAAGAAAACAAAATTTGTCATGGGCACTCGTGTTAACTGAGTAAAACAGTCAACGGCCCTGGAGCCACCAAGTTGTTACGTGCTTATTTCGTAAAGGCGCGGATGTTACTGTGAGCTTTAATGATAGAATAAGCTGAAGGATACAAATGTCAGCCGGCGCTTTATAAGCCGAGCTGAGTTCCAAAACACATATAAATAGATTAGGGCAGGCGCAAGAAAGATACTTCTATGATACACATATAAGGAGATATTATTAATAGTTAAGCTAATGTATACTCGTAACAGCAGTTCGATAAGGTGGAAATAAATGTCAGGCTTCAGCATGCATATGTTTACAGCTGATGTCTCTGTACAGTAGTGTCAGGTAGGAGATCTTGCATCAACTATTTTCCTTATCTTGCTTTTTGTTTATAGTTAATCAGTTACTGTTACACTAGCAATTAACAAAGAGCTGTTGATAAGGCCGCGACAAACGTCTGGTTAAACGTTACAAGATTAAAGGCTAGTAGTCACTCAAGCAGCTGCAAGCGCTGGCACACTACCTAATAGTTAAAATTTGAACATTGAAATATAAATTAGAGTCCCTACAATTAAACTAAACCGTTGCTAAAGCAAAGCAGTAGAACGCGCTTCTCCACTCAATTCACGACCTGTGTACTGGCCGCTGCCGATTACAGTAAAAAACAGAGGATTATTCCAAGCTGGTTCCCGCGAACGACACAGAACCGACCGGTCTGTTGAAAATGTAGTTGGCGGAGCAGTTGATTAATTTCAGACCCGGCGTTTGGGATCCAAGTTGCAGCGACTACAACAACACACTTGAATCACAGGTCTTCTTCTTAATAAAAACCGTACCATATATTTTTATACCAATGATGTCAGAGCGATCGGCTCCAAAACGGCCCAGTCGATGCTTTCGATCCGGTTTCCGGCCAAGTCGACAATCATTGACGGTGTTGCAACGTCAATTGCGGTGCGAGCAAACGCTTCTAATCCGATGGAAGAAATATCGCAACCAGATAAGTCTAATGTCGTCAACTGCGTGAATCCATGGAGGAAGCCGTCTTCCAGGAAGCCCACTTTGCTGTTGTCGATGCGCAGCTCAGTAATGTGGTCCTTGACGTTGTCGAGGAAGCGCTTAATGGCGATACGGGAATCGTGCTCATTGGTGAATCCGGAAAAGGAGATCTTACGCAGTGCAGTGAGGTTGGCCGGCAGCGGCGGCGCATCGGAGCGGAGAACGTTGCCGTTGCCCGCCGCGATGACGATCTCATGGACGCCTTTGCGGATCTTCGTGACGTCAAAGTTGACGGGAATGTCCATGCCGCCGGGACAGGAGAGGGTGGTGTTGCCCGGGGATATTAAGTATTCGCAGCCGGGATTTGGCGCATCTACATTAAAGCGCCGTCTTTAGCATTTAATTGCAGTCGTCCTTATTGTCTTAACTGTGCTCGTGTGACCTTTACTGAGCACCTTGTAACGTCGAATATTAACGAATATTAAGATTTGTAACGAATATTAACGAATATTTGTAAAGAATATTAAGTATTTTTTCTTACCGTCGCCGTTACACCGCACCATCCCGTGGATCGCAAGCCATGTCAGTCCGAGAAACAAGGAAGCGCTCACATGGATCATTTTGAAATAATTGTCGGCAAAACCTTTTTCCGTTCTGTATATCGCCGGTATTTTTACGTCTCCAAATGCCGAGTGCGCTCGAGCAGTCACAGATTTAAGTATGAAAACACGCAAGCTGATTGCCGCTGTCAGCCCAAGGAAAAATCCTCCTTGTCAAAGACACTTTACTTTTGCATAAGAATTGTACAAAAGAAGTGGCAATAAAAGTTTGTAGCCGTAATCGGCCATGCTTATCTGCGGTTATTTAACTATGTTATCATTAGCAAGTTAACAATGTCGAGTGGCACCGGATTAAATGTTGTCATCGCCATAATAATATACAGTACATAGCCGAGACAAAAACTGTCCGGTCAAAGTCAATATGACATACCTAAGCTGAAGTATTGTATCATAGCAGTAATATGTACTGCCAGTCTGCCACAGCTTGTACCATTTTCACCTTCCAACGGTGCGAATTTATTACAGTCAAAAACGAAGTTCCGTAAAAACCCGATACTGGTCTCCATACATATTGGTAATAAACTGCACATCGTTGACGATAATTATCCGTAGAGGGAACTGCAGCCCAGCGCGAACAATATCATCCATGGCTTCCGCTAACGTCCGCGCTCGCAGAATATAGTTGTGCGTGAAGGTAACCTTGCAACGTGTCTTGCTATGCGGAGCCTTATATTCGGCGTTATAATACGTAGTTAGCGTTGTAATCGGCGGCGGAGGCGGAGGTTCGGCGAGAACAGCGACGCGCATTAAATTTCTGCGGACGATCTCACGAGTATCAGAAATGATATCATCCGCACCGCTCGTCAGTCTACAAAGCAGTTAATCAGACATGGGTCGAAAAAGGATGCGCTTTAGGGCATGCAAGTTGCTGATTTTTCGACGTTCCATACTAAAGCACCGGCAGTGCGTTTCAACCGGTATAGACAACGAGGTCGCAGTGCGTTTTTTGCCAAGCTGATCACTGAAAAAACATAACACATAAGGCGGTTGTACACGTGCACGAAGCTGGCTAGCGCTCATACCTCATCGGCAGACTATCATGTACGCATTGATGAAATAATAATAATATGTCTCACTCGCTGCTGGCCGCAATGGCACATGAGGAACTCTTTTGCTATCGTTGAGTTTGCACTCAAATAGCTTTGCTTGTTGATGTTTGGTAACCAGTAATTGCATTATTGCACTGCCGTATTTTAATTCTGCACTATTTTAAGACCATTTCTTATTCATTTTTGACCACATTTATTATACATGCACGCGAGCACCACTTTCCGCCGTTGTGATATACTGAACTTGCAGAAGTTTTGCTATAAATTAACGTTAACCGAAACATGGCGATACCGGTCGTACAGCGGTTCCTCCGGCTGTGTAGTGTGGTTGCACTGATCAACTCCGGCAGTGCTCTCATCCAGGTGTACATGGGACACAACGCCACAGGTTCCTGGGATGCGGTCTACAGGATTTCCAGTCACTATCAGTCCATTGTCGGCCAGCGTATCGACAGCACCCCGGTAAGTTGCCAATGCACACGGCGCAGTCTTTCCCCCAAAAACTAAAAAGCGACGCTTCTTCACATATCACTTGTACCGTACATTGTATGTTGCATGGACATCGAACAGCGCCAGCAACATCCACGTTGGCGTGCATCGCTACACCGAAACGCATCAGTAATAAGAAAAGGAAATTGCAAACTGCCTCAGCAGTGTCGCCGATACAAGAATCGTATTTCTGTAACTGAGTTTAGCGATTAACTGAGTTTTTTTAAAGTTTTCATTTAAACTGGACATTTACTTTTTGTGTCAGTAAAATTCTGTCTTCTGTACCACGATTCACTGACCCCACATACCGCTGTAGAATTACCTCCAAGTTGCCGATCCGGAGAACGCATGCAACTTCGAGCATCTTAGTCCCGCGCACGATGTCCGGGAGGAGAACGTTAACCGGCTTTCGTTCTTCTTGCTGGCAGATGACACACCCTGTCCTCGGCAAACGGGTTATTAATTTTATCAGTTAAGCGCCGAATTAACCTGTCATTCCTTGTTGTATCATTATTAGGGCGCTGGGATTATGCCGACAGTGGCGTCACAACGAAGATCTTTAACGCCCAAAGAAGAGGCTACAGCGGCATTATCGTCTACGCCGATATGGCGATGGAAGGACCGTCTCCGTCCAATCGGGATGGTTGGCAGTACAAGTTGTGGCTGGCCAAGAGCCGGACCAAACCTTTCCCGATGAAGATACCTGAAAAGTTTATCGACCAAATAGGGATCGCGGTGCATTTTGTCGGATACGACTACGGAATGCAGCTCAAAACATTCGCATACAATGCGTCATCACCAACGCGGTACGGCGAGCGCATACGTATGCTGCATTTCACGGCCTTATACTCGTACGTAAAACATTTATGGCGCAGTTCCAAACCGATTTTGTTTCTTTACTACTACTGTAGATACCGGCTCAGCTTTACTTCGGTGCTGAACTACGAGTACCAACCAGTCTCTACCGTCGATCCTGTTAACCGGTCCGTGACAGTTCCTTTTCGATTATATCATTGTTTCTTGCGAAAGAAAGCATGTTGCAACCGTTAACCAGGTTCATGTTTTCTGTCGCTACAGAAATTTCTTGGCGCCGGTAAACGGGCCGCAAACTCACATCTCTTTTGTGAGCGATCCATCCTCGCAAATTTCTGAGCGGTCAGAATCCAACCAGAAGATGATATCCTTGGTTACTTCCCTCCTTTCTGTCGTCAGCTTTATTGCCGGCACGCTTTTCTGCTTCGTCCGCTGTCGAGGTCGCCAGCGCACCGCTCGGGAAGCACGCAAAAAGGCAGTTGAACAGGCTGTGGTGAGTGATGACTGATCATAAGTAGCAGAAACGGGAAAGGTGCCCTTTTTTATCGCGGAGTAACCACTAGTAACCTGGGTTGATTGCAGGCGGCTCAAACTTTAGCGCAGGCCGCAGCCGATGAGGAGGTCGCTGGTATATTAGCGCTTCGCCAACAACAAGTGCGACAGTTTATTGAAGCTTTCATGGCTCGCAACCCCACAGCTCGGGAAAGCGCTAGTATTCCGCTAAAACCGCAGGAATTACGCCAGCTCAAACAGGTCACGGTATCCGCTGAATCGGCCGATATCTGCCTACCTTGTCAGCAGAATTTTATAATCGGCGAAATGAAGACCGTTCTGCCCTGTTCGCACGGTAAGTATGTCTGCCGGTTTATGACATCGTCAATCATAAAATAATCGATGTTCCACTCGTTATATGTAAGTTTTCACTGTTGGACTATCCGCTATAGCTTTTGTCGCTGCGGTCTGTATCCGGAAAACCATAATTGCATTATGCGAAGTTCCGCTTTTAGTTAAGAGATTTTTTTGCAGTCGGCCATCCGGCGTGCTTGACGACTTGGCTGATAACCTGCTCGCGAAACTGTCCGGTGTGCAAAAGAGCCGTTCTAACAGAACCTGGAGTTAAAATGAAGAAGGATCGCCGCATTGGCACTCGTAGTCCCGATATTTCGGCTTCTGTGCTCCAAAAGTGAAAACAATTTCTCTTTTAATGTGTATAAAAAATAACTTTCCTTGTTAGTGCTCATTCGTAAACGACTTGGCCGACAAGGCTATACAAACTCCTTCAAATACGAAATGGATTTTTTCTCGGGCTTCTGGCTTTAGTTTAGGCATAGTTTTACGAAATCTTTTACCCAGGATGATGTTACATGTAGACACGCTTATATTTTACGTACCCTGTTCTAGCTTTTCAACTTTAGAAGTCATCTTGTATGTACCAAGTACTTCCTCTGTTTTGCCTTCATACTTTTGAGCATTTGAGCCACCATTGAGTTTTTCTATCTTTCTGTATGCTTGTGTGCTCAGCGGCATGCAGTGCTTGATCATTAAGCGACCAGAAAAGTTCAACCGTCGCTCCGGTATTTTGTTGAACGGAAAAGTACGAGTGCCGGAAAATCTTTGCTTATACGGACGCCGCGGCGCTGCACATCATAGCAAAAACGGTTTAATCGCAATAGAGTGGACTTCACGCACACGACCGCCTTTACTGGGTTATGCCGGTTCTTACAAGCACAACAATCATTTCTGGAGCGATGCGCATCCTGTTGTCTACGGACTCTGTTGCGGATACAACGTCCGACACTTTAAAAGAGCTTAGGGCTAAGCATCCCGAATGCGCGCCTCCGCCCGTGACACTCCCAAATGTTGACACACCGCCGCCGCCACCTGTAACTGCCGCAGATGTTTTTGCAGCTATCCGAAGCTTTCCACGAGATTCTGCTGTTGGACCAGACGGGCTGCGCCCTCAACATTTGATCGACATAGTTGGTGGGAAAATGGAAGATCATAGGGGACAATTTTGTGAAAGCCTGGCAGCCGTCCTCAACCTTGTACTAAACGGAAAAGTGCCAGCCGACATCCGTCCTGCATTTTTCGGCGGAAAACTGTTGGCTTTGCGGAAAAAAGACGGCGGTTTGCGCCCCATCGCGGTCGGAATGACTTTGCGCCGTGTCATTGCCAAGATCGTATGCAATAAAGTAGCGGAGCAAGCGGTCACCGTTCTTTCTCCCACACAACTCGGCTTCAACGTACGCGGTGGAGCTGAGGCCATAGTACACGGCACCAGACACTTTATCAACGGAAATCCCGAAACCACGAAGGCCGTCGTGAAAGTGGATTTCCGAAACGCGTTCAATACGGTATCGCGAGACGTGGTGCTTAACGCTGTGCAGAAGTACTTCCCGGAATACTTTGCATTTTTCCATTCCACGTAAGGTCATCATTCTTCATTGTTCATTGATGATTTCGTCTTGTCATCCGAATCTGGAGTGCAGCAGGGGGATCCGCTGGGGCCATTGCTGTTTTGCCTCGCGTTACATGCTGTTATCGCCTCTTTAAATACCGAGCTAAACGCATGGTATCTCGACGATGGAACGCTTGGCGGGCTTCCATTAAGCGTACAGGAGAATTTTAATCGAGTCATCGAAGGTGCACGGGCAATTGGTCTGGAAATAAACGTGGAAAAATGTGAACTATACGTAACAGGCGGGACCGAGATTGCATAGCAGGAAGCAGTGGATGACTTTCTCGTACAACACCCCGGTATCCGTGTCATGTCCAGCTCCAGTCTAACATTGCTCGGAGCTCCTGTACTGGACGACGCAATTGCTTCCGTGTTTGGTGAAAAAGAACGATCGCTGATCGCTGTATGCGAGAGGATGCAGTTGCTCCCGAGTAACCACGCATTATTCCTTTTAAGGCATTGTCTTGGTGCACCAAAGATCGTGTATATGTTGAGATGCAGCAACGCCTGGAAATATTCAGAGCAACTGTATAAACTTGACGAAGTCCTGCGGTCCTGTTTTCAACAGTTGTGCAATGTCCGAACTAACCATGATGATTCTCGACAAGCAGAACTGCCAGCACCAGATCTCCGCAAGTCTCAGAAAGCATGGGACCTTCCGTTGTGCAACGTGTCTCTCGCTTCCCTGCTAGAAGTATATCGGAACGATGAAGTGAACAGGGCGCGTCTCCTTGCTCAGTCGAGAACTGAAGCCGGCATATGGCTCGACGCGTTGCCTTCTGTACATATCGGCAATCTACTGGATGACGACACCCTGAAAATCTCCGTTGGGCCTAGACTTGGCGCCAAGATTTGTGAGCCGCACAACTGCACGAAGTGTTCTAAACTAGTTGATTGCTACGCCCATCACGGTCTTTCATGTCCTTTTTCCGCCGGCAGGCATCCACGGCATGGTGGGCTTAACAGCATCGTATGCCGCGCTCTCGTCTCAGCCGGAATTCCCGCAAAACTCGAGCCCCGCGGCACATCTCACACAAGTGATCAACGTCCAGTCGGATGTACAACGTTCGCGTGGCAGAGGGGAATGTGTTTGGCTTGGGATGTCACATGCGTCGACACAGTCGCTGCTTCCATATCAAAACCACTTCGTTACACGCGGGATCGGCCGCCATTCAGGCAGAAGAAAAGAAGACGAGGTTATATTTTTTACTTAAACGGTCGGTACATTTTCGCACCTATTGCTTTTGAAACTATGGGCCCGTGGGGACCTTCGGCCATCGCCATCATAAAAGAACTGGGAAAGCGCCTACGGACTCATTCAGGTGAAGCCCGCTCACACGAATTTCTTCGCCAGCGGCTGTCTTTAGAGATACAGCGGGATAATGCCGCTTCTGTTATGGGTACCGTTGAGAGAGCGGAAATGTTTAATGAACTTTTGTTTCTTTAAATGTTCTTAACACGTGTACAAGTGAAGTTTGAAATAAAAAGCGAGGTTTTTTACAATCATTTACTGGCTGTGACGATGGGAATCAGTTGAAGCAGCATATATTCAGCACACGTCATATATTCAGCCCATTTCTACGAAAAACAACAGTAAAGGTCATAGCAGCATTACTACTAGATGCGGCTAACTGGTTGGAAAACGCATCCATATGTAATCTGTACAGCGACTTATCATCATTGTCTTATCGCAGAACACAAACCGACAACAAAGACATTTTCTCGCGAATGCTTACTTGTGCTTATACAGACGTATGAGATAAGAGAGAACCCAACACACAAATTACTGCATAATCGGCATTGATAAGAATGCTCAGTAACTGTCAACGCAGTGGACATGCGAAAATTGTGTTTGCAATAGCATCTGCCCGCATCGCTCTGCTGCCAGGCACTGCAGCTTTTTCCTCGCCAAACAAAATTGTATAATCGCATGTAGCTTCCTTGTCAAAGTACCGACATGCAGAAATCCATGTTTTTACTATCCGTCATCAGCGCGGCGTTGGCGCAGACAAGCCGTCGCGAGGCGACATTCCAAGCTCTGTCTAGAATGAGGGAGCTCATCTTCGTCGAAGCCTCTTTGGGACTGGCCAATCCCCACCTCCTTCCACTGTCATCCCTCAGCACTGACAATCACCCCCAGCTCTTTGGCTTCCCCTTCCCCGCGCCGCATTTGCACGCCATGCAGCACATTATGGACGCCAGCGTCTTCATCGACGGTGTGGCCAGCGGCCGCCGCGACAGCGTCGTCTGGCACGCCGACACCGAGGCGCCGAATCCCGTCGCCGAGCGGATTCTCGATGAGTGGACCCGCGCCGCCATCCAGACCATCAACGCCCGGCAGTTCCCTGAAGCCCGCACGCTGATTGGCCAGGCGCTGCACATGGTCCAGGACCGCTCCGAGCAATCCGTGGACGCCGCAGTGACCTTCCTGACCAGCATCCGCAACGCGACGATCGACCTGTTCCCACATGTGCTGGGCATGCGTGGGAATACCCTAGGTAACGATTTAATCATCGTGCTGGACACCACGTATCAGGACGCCACGGAAGCCCGGTTAGTCATGCTGCTGAACCGCCTCCCGATCCTTAATAACACGCTACCCAAACGCCCGGCAGGCTTCGCGCTATACACCTTCGACCGCGTGAATCCCGTCCCAAAATCTTATCCTTACCAGACAACCGTGCGCGGCTTCACCGACCTCCTGACGAATCTAATGACGGCCTGTACCGCGAAACGGGATATTTGCGTCGACACCGATATAAGCCAGACGAACAGCCCCCGCCGAGCTCTGGAAGCGGTTAGTCTGGCGGCTCGCAACGCCGACAGTAGTACCACCATCATTCTCCTGACCGACGCCCCGCCGGTGGTTACAGACAGCGCCGCTGCGCCCCGCGTTGTCTCCGCGATCCTGGAGAGCAAACAGCAGCGCCTGGTGGTCATCGGTGTCAACGACCTCACTAAACAGGCGGATTATGCACGCATTGTAGAGCGAACCGGAGGGAGTTTCATCAGTCTGTCGAATCTCCCGGGACAATGGGACGCCGGGGAGGTGTTCCAGTACGCCGTTCGGGATGACTTGGCTCTCGTCGCGGTGGTCGACAGCTCACGGGATGCTTCCGAGGAAATCCTGATACCCTTATACGACACCGATAAACCCGCGGGGATTTGGATAGGCAATGCGGCTGTCCGCATTTGCGATGGGAATGATGACCAATCGTGCCGGGAACACGAACCAGGGACATGGGTGACCGCCAACGCAGCAATCACAACCGAATGGCGCTTCACCGTTAAACAACGCAATCCGGCCGCTCCGGAAACTTGGTCGGTGCGAGCGTACATTTCTACGCCCAGCTGTGCCCAGTTAGGTTTATACCATCTGGACCCGTTCGCCCGCGATCGTCCCGAATACCAGCGCGTGGAAAACGACCCTCTCGTCGGGGTCAATTACACCATCATGACGCTGGGCTCAATCAATGCCACCTTGTCGCTGGTGACCATCACCGGCGAGGTAATCCCTACCAGTTCTTCCCAGTCCAACAACCTACAAGCGCAGGCTGATATCACCGTGCCCCCGGGACTCTTCCGGATAAAGGTCACCCAGACGGTCAACGGTACAGCGTACCACCGCTTCACGGACATCATCCGGCCGAGCCGGGCCAACATCACTTTCCAATTCTCGCGCCCGGTGGAAGTCCAGGTTCCAGGTGGAAAAACGCGGGTCCGCTCAACATTTTTGGGAGACAAGGCGGGACGGTTTACGGCCGTGGACAATCTGGGATACGTTAGCGAATCCGATATTGGCTGTTTCAACTCGTCGATAACGTATCCTAACGGCGAGACCAACAACATCACGGTCCCGTTGAGCGCCAATTCCAGCGTCAACTACATGGTCTTCGGCGTGGGCAACGACCGCCTGGATGAGGACGCCGGCCTCGGGAACCACGTCGTCCGCCCGATGGTCCTTATCCCGGGCGTCCCGCCGACACCGCCACAGTGCACTATCAACTCTTCCACGTACGATAACTGCCCGAAGGGTCCCCTGTGTGTCCAAGGGACCTGGGACGCCCGCCTGGTGTTCACCGATGACTACGCCGGCTTCCTGGACGTCACCGTCCGTCTGAAGGAAAACCTACAAGCCGGAGCGTACGCTCCCCAGAGCATCGCGAGCAGTGCGACGAGTTATTTGATGACTGTTAACGAGACCAATGTGTTCATCGCGAATCTGCGCAACTATCCCTGCTGCTTGGGCTTCCGTTTCACCTTGTACGTGGAGTGGGAGGAGACGGGAGGGGCGTGCGAGTTCGGCTGGATTCATCCCACGACGACGACGGACACCCCGCAAACGGAAGAAGGACTCTCCAGCGAGACAATCGCCGGGATCGTCGTCGGGGTGCTGGCTGGTGTGGCGCTCCTCGCGGCGATTGCCATCTGCTTGAAACGACGTTCTTGACGATCCTCCATTACGGAGTAATGGACAGTTGCTGGTTACTCCGAATTCAATACGGTGGTCACTAACTAACATCAACAGCACCATCTACAGTAACGGATGCGGTTGAAGGAATTTTTTTCGTGGTTTAAAAGATATTAAGGGGAATGACCCGGTACATGATACCAGTTTCATACATATGCATCCACGAAAATTAAGGCATTAAAAACGTACAACATGCTTACACCAAGACGTGGAGGGTAAATTAAGAAGACCTCTGTAAAAGCGTAAAAGGTAGTACAAAAAGATATAGCGATATCCAACAGTAAGTACGAGTACTTCTCACGTCGCTTGTCAGGTTATCAAGCATTCTATCTGCACAAACATGAACCGTTTAAACGTGGATGTGCCGAGTTGTACACGTACACGAGTCATAAACTTTTTACGAAGTGGCATAAAACAACAGAGCGGCCCCAACCACGATCGACCACGTGGTATGTACCAGTCCTGATACCCCGTTACTGTAGGGTGAATTGGGCGGCAAATGTCTCCTGGTTCACGAGCGCCGACTGCGTGAGGTGCCGCACGTGAAGGCGGACACGACGTTCACTGTGGAGTTGTTGCGCGCAAAGCGCAGAAAGGGCACCATCTCAGGACAGCCGCAACTTCCGTCCGTCGGGCAGAAGGGGCTCTTGTGCACGTCAATATATGCCACGTCCTTCAGCGAATCGACGACACACTGCGGTAGGGATGGTAAGCTGTTCCTGCCCAACCACACTGAATTGACCGTTCTCGTGAAGGTGAAGTTGGTGGAGCACTGGATGGAACCCAGTCCCGGTTCTTGCCTTTGGAGGTACAGCGACTACGATACAAACACTTTAGGAACGTTTACAATACTGTATTTTATTGAGTATAAAATTTTGGTACCAAAATTGTCAACGCGAGCGGCTGGAAATTAAAACGGTCCCGTCGATGCTTTCGATGCGGTTGCGGGTCAAAACCAGACTTAGTGTGTGTGACGCAGAGCTCTTTGCATTGCGCTGGAGCGCCGCTGGTCCTATGGAGGAAATATCGCAGCCTTCCAAATCCAGTGTCATCAGCTTTGCAAATCCAAGGAGAAAGCCGTCTTCGAGGTAGCCCACTTTGCTGTTGCCGATTTGTAGCTCCACGAGCTGGCCCTTGACATTGTCGAGGAAACGCTTAATGGCGATGCGCGAGTTGTACTCATTGGTGAATGCGGACAAAGTGATCTCGCGTAGTGCGGTGAGGTCGGCCGGCAGCGGCAGCGCATCGCAGCGGAGAATGTTGGTTGTTCTACCGGAGAAGATGATCTCCTGGACATCCTTGCGAATCTTCATGGCGTCAAAGTTTCCGGGGATGTCGATGTTGGTGTAGCACTGGAGACTGGGGTTCCCTGGCGGCCCATACCGACAGTTGAGACTTGGCACGTCTACGGTATAACACGGAATTTCATTCGTCCATCTCTTATACGTCAAGATTTGCTACGATTTTGCTCCTACGCAGAAAACTCTGATTGCGGAGAACGGCAACTTTACGGGCAACAGCAACAGCCAACAGGTCACTATGGCACATGACCTTAGGACAATAATAAATACGACGCTCGAGAAATGAGCTATTAGCTACAACGTATTGTGGCGACATCCGTGCGACATTTAAAGCAATCATCAAAAACCCGAGCGTCAAAGCGTAATGGCGCGCTTCGTTTGAAGCAGTGCCAGGGTATTTCTCCTTACCGTTGCCGCTACAGCGCACCATCCCGTTGGATACAAACTATGCCACGCCGAAAAGCAAGGAAGCCTGCAGATGCTGCATCCTGAATGATTTATTCGTCCAGGGCTTATCGGTGATATAATATTATTTAGTTTGTGTATTTCCAGTTTTCTACGTCTGCGCCCTTTAACACTAACATGGAGCGGCGGAATTATTAAGAGAAAGTCCCTTAACCAAAAGTCATATCCCCGCTAATAAGTGATATCAAGTTTTGTGTCTGTAGAATATCACGATTATCGAGCTCCTTTTATTTACGTTATCATAACATTATTACCAATGTCGATAATGTATGGAGAGACACCGGATTAAATGTTGTCTCGTCACAGCAGGAGCCAAAAACTGCTCGGTCAGTATTACTTTGTACATATGCTAAACATTATTAGTGAAGAAGCTTTGTTTCTGTGCAGGTACATTTATGCAATAAAATACTCTTTTATTTTTCATTCGCTTAAAATCCAGCTAGAATTTTACTATCGCAAGTCACAATCGCCATTTCGTCCAGCGGAGCTGCTCAGCTGAATAAACTTCCAAATTGTTTACTCCAGTGTAAAGAAACTCAGTGTGACCGCTATTAAAATTAACCAGCTGGTCTGCAAGAACGATGGCACTCCGCTAGTGCAGGGCGCATCAGGCGGCATCTGCTGCAGATTCCACGAGCGCTGATTGGGCCCCGTGCCGCACTTGAAGCTCAGACCGGAACCGGGGTTGACGGCGGAGAAAGCGCAGGCAAAGCCCAGGAACGGCTGCACGGCGGGACACGTGCATGCTCCGTCCGTTGGGCAGAAGGCATTATTGTCCACGCCGATATGGGAGTTAGTGTTGTAGTTCAACGAGTCCAGGACGCACTGCGGCAAGGATTCCAGCTGGTTGCTGCCCAGCTGCAGAGAACTAAGGGCGTTGGCAAAGCGGAAGCTGGAGGAACAGCTGATGGATTTCAGTCCCGGACGTTGTGAGTCGATTTGCAGTGCCTATGAAAAACCATTAAGCTGGCGTCGAGAAACGGAATGTTAGAAAATCGACTCACCGTTAACGTTTGGGAAAGCGGTTGAAAAACGGCCCAGTCAATGGTTTCCAGCTGGTTCTCCAACAGACTGACGCTTAAAAACGTCGAACCGTCTCGTTGCAGCGCCGTCCGGCTGATGGACGATATGTCGCTCTTGGCGAAATTCAGTTCCTCTAGTTGCGAGAATCCCTGGAGAAAACCGTCCTCCAGGAACCCCACTTTGCTGTTGGCGATACCGAGGCTCGTCAGGTGACCTTTAACGTTGTCGACAAAACGCTTGATCAGAATGCGGGAGTTGTTCTCATCCGTGAAACCGTTGAAGATGATCTGCGTCAGATTGGTCAAGTCGGCCGGCAAAGGCAGGGCATCGGAGCGTAGGACATTGCGCGCCGGGCCGTTGATGGTGATCTGCTGGACGTCTTTGCGGATCTTCGAGACGTCAAAGTTTCCCGGGATGGTCATCCCGCTCGGGCAGAGGAGGGTCGTGTCGAACGGGAAGTACATGCAGTCGGGATTGGGTAACGGCGCGTCATCTGTAAATTTATTCGCCACGACAGTTTACGAATAATTTAATCTTCGGTAGCCAACTTTCCCAACCCAAACGCTTTTCCTTAAAGCTATGTGATAGTGATACTGAAAGCTATGCAAATGTTATGGACCGACGTTCAGCTCGATGAAACGAGCCAGTTTAAGCTTACCACGCAAAATGCGGCCGTTGCACTGTACTAATCCGTGAATTACAAGGGAAGCTAGTCCCAAAATAAAAGATGCATTTTGACGGCGCATTTTAGTGAGACTTTAAGGGGAAGTCCGCGTATTGTCTGCTTCTTGCAATATTCTTTTCAGCCGTTTCTAATCTGACATTCAAACCCGACCAGACGGAGTTAGCATGCCGAAACCTTCCTTTGACATGAAACCTTCGATAACACCGGCAGTTTTGCACAGAAGACAGATGATATTTCTTATCGGTAATTAACTGTCGCGGTTATCGTTGTTATACACACGCTAATGGTTTTTGTCAACTGGTTGATAAGATGTCTGATTAATTATCGATAGTGCACGGCTACATGCTAATATACAGTTTTATGGGTTCGTCCGGAAGATTTTTTCCCGATAAATCAGCTAAATTTGCATTGCAATTAACATGACAAGGAGTCATCCCCACGTAAATCTTAAGACTCAACGGTCAAAACAGAAAATAACTGGAGTTGTTTTTAAATAAAATAACGGGTTATTTTCCGTTCCAATATACAACGTTTTGCTGAAGTCTAAACTAACCAACGCGATGCATGAAGTACTGTACAATCATGAAGTACTGTCTTACTACAAGTTACCGTTTTTGATTTGACAGTAGATTATTATCGCTCCTTAAAAAAGGCCTACGATATACGGTGCGATATACGGTAGGCTCCTAAACGTCACAACGGAGTACCCTTACCGGACCGTCATACGATAAGTGTGACGGTAAGTGATGATCCTATCGTTATTCTGGTGTGGGCGTACCGTTGCTTTCTGCGAAGTAGCAACCGCCACCTTTGGCATGTACTTGGATATCAGTTCCGCTCGAATTCTTGAATTCTGATTGGTTGTTCGTATCTCTTTATGCTTTTTGCTGATTAAAAAACTGCATGCAGCAAGAAAAAAGGGAAAGTTTTTTATCTCTTTTGGATATTTTTGAGGTTTTTTGCAGTTTACTGTAAGTGTAGTCACGTTCTTTTGTTACTGGAAATGGAGGCTCCGACACCACCAACGTCTGAAGCAGGCCTTGATATTCCTAATGTTCGAGTGCTAAAATGTCGATTTAACGCCACTTCTGATCTCGTTCTCCTGGACCTCGTCAAGCATTACAATCCCTATGTCGCGGACAATAAAAGTGCTGCTTGGAAAGATATCGTGAGAGCTTTGAATGACACTAAGGTAAAAATCAACCGTTGTTACCAACAATGATGTGTTTATAAAAAGTGTAAATAATTTCCGTGCTTCTGTGATTACTCAACCAGAACTGTATTTCTTAGATTTTTGTGAAACCTGTGACGGAAAGAGCTGCTAAGGATCGGCTTGCAAATTTGGTCACCTGGTTCAAAGCAGAAGATTTGCGAAATAAAAGCCGCAGTGGTACCGAGGAGCAATATGGACGCATGGAAATCTTCCTCACCGAGATATGTGAACTTATAAAGGGATCCGAGGATGCGGAGGCGGAGAAGAAACGCGCAGCTACTCAAGCACAGAAAGAGCGCCAAGAAATCTACAACATTATGAAAACTGCTGGCGAACACGGCCGCAAAATTCCAAACGATGAGGAAGACCACCTGAATTTGGCAACATGTACGTGTGAAAGACCATAAAAGCGTTAATTTTAAAATTAAAACGGAAAATTAACTTCTCTTAATAATTTTATTATTTACTTCCATTTTATTAGTTAAGGCGAAGCACAACAATTATAATTTATTTATGCATAACACATGCGCTGCAGCAGTTAAATTAATGCATTTCAAAAGTTTAAAATTCTAGTAATTTAAGTGAGACTTGTTTACATTTTCTGTCAATAATAAATTAGTTTTTTTTTGTAAATTTATTAGCAGCGGCTTCTTCGCGGGATTTAAACAAGGAGGAATGGATGCAGGAGACGGGCTGTGACGAGCAAGATTGGGTCGAAGAACTGAAGACTCGAGAGGTCCTAAAACATTCGGCAAAGCGTATGAAAATTTCCCCGCGAAAATTTAAGTTTGTTGGATCTCCCAAAAAACCGCTGGAGAAAAAGCTCCGCACGTCGCGCTCAAATGCGGCAAAAGCCCAGAATGTTGATGTTGAAGAGAAGTGGCTCGACTACTTTAAGGAGTCAGACAATAAGCGCCTGGAGTTCGAAAAATCAAAAGCCGCTGAAGAAACGGCCGCTAAAATGAAACTGGCCGAAGATGCTAAAGAAGTGCGCTTAAAGGAACTAGAAGTGGAGAAATTACGTCTTCAGGTCGAACTGAAAAAATTTGAAAACGAAAAAAATCAGGAAAAATATTATGGCTTGTAGATTTTTTTAATCTCGCAAATACTCTTTGAGAAATGGTGGTTCTAAATTAAAATACTGGCTAGCCTGATTTGGATACAGACAGTTTCTGCAGTTCGTCAGTAACACAGCAATTCTGAAAATCTTATTAACAGGATTCTCAAATATCTTCATCTGCTTTTTAAAATCAACAAAGGCAAATTCTTTGACGACTTCTTTGAAGCCCCACTCAACAGATTCCCTTACTGTCGACATAGCCTCGTTGAGAGCTTCTTTCAGGGGATTACTGGCTGCCTCTACTTGGGAAAATGGCTTAATTAACAGATCTTTGCGGCCGTGACCAGAATCTCCGTAGATGTAATACTTCTGCTGAAAATTAGCCTGCTTGTCTCTGAACTGCTGTAGGAAATTACTTTCTGCAAAGAGTCGGCTGTCGTGCATCGATCCTTCTTTACCACCATAAAGGTTACCAATCATTCCTACAAAAAGCACAAGATATTATAATATCAGTGAATTAATTCCGAATTTAGCCAAAAATTTTATAGCTCAGATATTCACTAAACAATGCATACGTGCATAAAAAAATATAGCATAAATGTTAATTTTTATTTACCGTTTGGAAAGAGAACAGACTGCCACTTGGTGCAGTGAAATCTTTTGTGACCGCTGTACATAATCCGCTGATATCTTTTAGGCCGACATATTTCTCGTGCAGTTCCATCTATAAATCCAATCACACCAGGATAAACACCGCCTTTCGCTGCGATGGCGCGCGAAAATTCGTCGAAGTCTCCTTCCATTAACCAGCGCTGCTCAAGGTCACGAAGTAAATGAGACCAGTGTGCGTCTATTGTTTCCAGAGTGTGATAAAAAATTCTCATCAAAGATCCATGAGAGCGACCAAAGATGGCTCGCAGATCACACCATCGATTTGGGTACGACATCCGTCGTAATACGATACACAGCGCTTCCGTTCCTGTACACCTATCCCGTTCCGAAGTTCGAACTGATTCCGGAATACGCAGGGCAACTCGCAGCCTATCAATATCATCTTTTCTAACTCGAAACATTCTCCAGCAGTCAACATCAGAAAAGCGATCAAGATCAAATGCCTGCTCAGCCCACACTTCCTGAGTTTCACGATATCGAGCCGCATCCTGTCTTTTTTTCAGGAGTCTCAAGGCCGTAAACCGTTTTTATCTATTCTACCAGTTCTCTGTAGATTCGCAATTATAAACCACCGCATTCTAGCTATCGAAAAATTCCGTAAAATAAAACGCTAGTATTGAAAACTGACTTCGTTTTTTGCAAACATAAAATGGATTAATCGAGTGTGTAATAATTCACCGTATCACCGTGTTATCCCGGCTGCGATTAACTCTATGATCCAGCTACTGCGCCTTTTTGCTAAAGTACGTGAAATCGATTTTTCTTGACCGACCACGATAACCGTATTCCAGGCCACACGCTCTCTATAATCAGGAAGTGAAGAAATCACCAGAAAATTTCCTTTTTTTGGTACTTTTCGTTGATTGCCGGTTTCTGTCAGAGCTAAGACATGGCACTTATGACCAGCACAAAGACCTAACCCTTGCGTGATTGTGTTGCGCAAAGCGTCTTTACCGGTTGTGAACAGAATGTCGGTTACCGCAGATTTTCTTATTCAACAGGCTTGATCATCCAACATAAAACGCCATTTTCAGATCGACTGGCATTTAAAAAATTCAAAAACAGGTTTTTTTTACAACAGAAATCGAGACTGGCTGAACAGCACAACCCATTTCCAGCTGATGTTCACTGGATAGTGCGTATAGATTTTCCTTACACTTTACAGGCAGCGTGTTAGCGCCGGAAATGACAAACACATTAGCGTCGTTGAGTGGCAGTTGGTCCGTGCATCCGCTCAGCGGCTGGTGCCGGTGCCGGCGCTCTTGAAGCCCTTGCCGAGACCCTGGAACATGGCGGCGCCCAGGTCCTCGTCGCTGTGCAGGTTGACGGGGCCGGGGGCGCCGTAGGGGCCGGAGGTGGCCGAGGGCGAGTTGACGAGGATGACGGCCTGGATGTTGTCCATGATGTCGGCCACGCGCGCGTGCACCGCGTTCAGGTCACCGGCCTGCGACTGCAGCTGCGTCGCCGCGTTCTCGATGGCCTTGGCGGCGATCAGGCCGCCGGCCGGACCCGGCGGCACCGTGATCTGGCTCTGCACTGCAATGGCAACTTCCTGGTCCACAAATATTATTATTTTATTCTATAGTTTATTTTACTAAAAATATCGAACTTGTGCATTCACTAATGATAACTTTCCATCGATATAAAGCTTCATATTTCTTACACAGCTTTTAATTAAGCATGCATATGTTGGTGAATAGATTTTACGTTAAGACCAGATCGGTAAATTAATATGGAACGAAAAGCTAATATTAAGACAGGCCAGTACATATAAAAAGCTAATGTCGCACTAAACAGATAAAATTACTTATTAAAAATAGTTTCATTCAATTTATATAAAAATTAAAATTGTTTAACTGTAATGTTGAAAAAATACCGCCGTAGCAAGTAGGCACTTACCGGACACAGCGCACAAGGCAATGCAGAGGAGACTGAATTTTCCCATGATTCCGCAGTCGAAATTGCACGGCGTTGAGAAGAGATATTGGGCGGCAAGGAAAAGAGCAACGAAAAGTGATTGTGGCGCTGCCGGTTGCAAGCCAGTGTGGCCGGGGTGTGCAGCACGGTGGCAGTCGTGAGGGCCCTGCAGGTGGGTCGTTCATCCGGCATTCAGCACGCTGTACAGTACAGCCGACTTATTGACATGCCAGCCGTGATTGGCGCCCACTGACCTCTGCGGTTGACCAACAACAAACCACTACGCATCGACGCCGCAGCGGCATCATCAATCAATAACATAATTATGAGCGTTTCGCTCGATATTGCAGTGCCCTGGTGATGTTCTAGGCGTGCCGGTTAATTGCCCAGCGTGCCGTTAAAACAACATCGCAATCACTGCAGAGGCACTCGTACAGGGAATTAATTACTGCGTCGTGTTCGGTCGTTACACCCGTGAATACATGTAATCTTTGGACAGACAAATTAAAATGCCCAAAAGGTCACCCAGACCATAATGGATTTTGCTGGATGTGTAAAGTATTAATAACCAATACAATTTACGTGGATTTGGCCTATTTAATATTTCTTGTAAAAGTTTTCCCTTATAATATGCATAATTTTGTTTCTACAAAGTATCAAGATGTCCGGTTAGTTTAAGTGCGTTGTGAGAGTTCTCGCTCTAGCGCAGAAAGGTTCTTTTTTATTTTACGATCTTTATTTGATGGTTAAATTCTTCTGTTATGTACACACACTGTCTTGTACATATTACAGCATAGTCGTTCTTAATAATAAGCAAAAGGTCACAAATAAAACACAATCGAACAACATGCCAGTTGGTTGAGCATAGATTTCACTGAGTTATTCTTTAATGATTTAGGCAAGGGAATCCAAATGTTTTCCGTGGGCTTCTTGTGGGAAATCGTATGGGTCGCATGGCTTATTTGCCGCCACCGCCGCCGCCAGCCGCGGTGAGGGCGCCGCCGATGCCGTTGAGGATGCCGCCGGCCAGGGAGAGGCCGTTGAAGGCGCGGCCGCTGAGCTTGGTGTTGGACTGGACGAGGGCGTCGCCGATGTTGGCCACGGCCGTCATGATGTCGCCCATGTCCTTGAACACCGCGTTGCTGTCGCCCGTCTCGCCCTGGATCTTCGTCGCCGACGCCACGATGGCCTGCGCCTGCGCCACGATCACACTGTTCGCCGCCTGCCCGTACACTAAGAAAAACACGCAAATGCATTTACTTTCACCACCTCTGCTGCGAGCCTGCGATTAAATGCAGTTAAAACTATATATAATAAATTCGATTAAAATCAAATAAAATAAATGAAACTAAATTAAATAGAAAACTAAATAAAATGTATTAAAGTAAATAAAAAAACCGCTTGATCCACATATAGCTAACTCATCAGCAGCATGCGATATACCACTCTTAATTTAATAATACAGGTAATTACTGCCACTTATACTGTGCATTCGAAACAATTAAATGGGCATATTATAGTGCGTATGTAATTTAAAATTTTATATTCACCGGCTTGCTTATAGAAATCAGCCAACTTTTCAAAAAAGATCCGGGTAGTATACAGATGCCAAAAGTTGTTAACAGGTACTAGTACTACTTACCGCAGGCCAGGAGCGTGGCAAAGGTCAGGGCTAGAAGCAGCCGCATGGTTGAATTCTTTACGGGATTAGTAGCTGAACTTTGCAAATAAAAAATCAAAACACCTTCTATCGATGGCAAACGACAACTGATTCTGCGCGGAGCATCAGTACCCAGCCTGCCGTTGCCGCTGACCAGCGGAAAAATAGCCGCGGAGCACACACCAGCACGTAAAATGTTTTCTTCAGATCTGGGGGCGCATCAATCACTGGTCAGCGACCCGACCGCGACGTATGCTTCGTATTGACGACCGCCGGCCTGTCGCGGCTGCCGCGTGTATCGCGGCCACGGCGACCGAGAAAAACTGATTCTGCTGAGATCATGCTGACTGCTGCGTTGACTGCCGCAGCGGAGGTGTGAAGTGCCGGCAGCGCTACAGCTGTTCACTGCCATTCCGGGTGTGCCGCAGCATTAGTGCCACTGCTCGCCGTCAACATGTCACGCGTGCCACGCCGACCCAGGTGGATGTTTTACAGGTTAGTATAACACACCACACCGTAATTGCCGGCGCTCGTTATATTTATTATTTATTTCATATTTATTATATTTACTATTTATTAATTATTATATACTTTTGTGTTATGCAGTTGAAAATTAGGTCATTTTTGTTAGCTGCTCTTGTGGTAATATCGACGAAGGTACAATTAATGCTGTTTTTTAGTGCTTTAGTTGCCAGCGTACTTTGGTGCGGAAATTTGATGTATTTATAAATTTTATTTTAGCTGATTGTATATTATTTTACTGTACTACTTTAGTGGCGCATGCTAATTAATCGCCGCAACGTGTTTTCGATGGGGATATCATTAGCGAAGATAGCTTGACTGATAATCTGTATAAGCGATGGAAAATGAAACTGCACAGAGATTTTATTCCAAGTCACACGACGATGCCGGTTATAACCGTCGACATAGACCCGTAAAAATTCAGCTGACAAAATTTCGATTGGTCCAGCAGACCCACATACATTACACGTATTATTTCAAAATTCAGTTAAACAAAGGTCACTCAGATTACAGCGCAGTGGTTGGCGGTCGCTGTTCCGCGTTTCCGTTATCTCAAGTCATTCATGTCGCTGCCGATCCCGGTGACGGCTGGATGGGTCTAGCTGCCGCCGAAAGCCTTGCCGAAGCTGGAGAGGGCGCCACCGATGCCGGAGACGATGCCGCCGGCGATGGTCAGGCCGTTGCTGGCGCGGTTGGAGGCCTTGTTGCCGGCTGGTTGGCCGTCGGTGTCGGTGTTGTTGACGATGAGCGCCACCTGCGCCACGATGTCGGCCATATGCTGGTACGATTTGCCTTTGCTCTGGATGTCCGTCTGCATCTGTTGCGCGATGGCCACGATCTGCTTGGCTTTGTCGATCGTCACCTGTGTGTCCGTCTGCACGTAACCTGTGTCCAAAAGGAAATACAGAAATATTCTTACAAAATAGTCCAGAAACAATTATAGAAATATTCCTATGCACCGCTTGTAATTATCAGTAGTATTATTAATTTTATTAAAATGAATACTATTAATTTATTATGCAGTCATGTACAAAAAAATATATACATGAAGTTTAACAAAACTGCTCGAAATAATTTTATTAATAATTTTATGAATTTTTAGATGAGCGCACAACTGTTGAAAAATTTTATTACAGTACTTTTTAATTTTTATTTTAATTTCACGACAATAAATTTTATTTTTGGTACGTCTTGCACTAAAAGTGTCAATCGAAGAGGCTTAATTCGATTAACTGTAATGAGAATGCACTTACCGAGCAGAACAATCCCGAGGAAGAAGAGAAAGGTCACAATCCTGTCCATGACGGTGCTGTGTGATAGACGGTGATATCGACGCAAAAAACGTGGGATGTTTGAGAAAAGAAATTAATGCCGGTCGGCCGAGAACAACAAGAAGTCGAACATTGAGATACAGATGGCCGAGAGTTAACGGCGCTAACCGGAAGGTAGGTCTTTGCTCTGACGGGGCTGCAGCTGATTAATGGCTGTCACGTAGCGATACTTACGCTAGCCGCACATCGCTGATGTGCCGTGATTTATCGGCACGCTTGCGGTCACTCTTCGTACAACAACAACTTGTGGTCTTCCGCAATTACCAACATCACTAAATTATTTCTTCTTACCTTACGCGCAACGTCTTCCAATTCGCGAGGATGTGATGCCGACACGCGGACGGCAACCAGTTTCAAGTATATTAAATCTAATCCGTCATTTTTCTTATTAATACCATAGTGCACTTTTATCCAGTAAACTGTGGGTAATTTATTTTCTGAGGGGTTCATTAGAATCTTGCGCAAAGAAAACTATTTATGCTAATAATTTTTTAATGAGCAATAGCTACCAAAATACAGTAAAAAAACAGCAAATTATTAAAAAATAAAAATAAAATAATAAATTGAAAATAATTACTACTACTTCTGGGATTAATGAAAAACCTACTAACGCACTTCGGATTAAGAAAATATTTAATCACCTCTCATGAGTCATAAGACAGCCGTCTAGCGTCTCCCTTAATCACACCGGCTGATGCTAATGCTGATTTTTCTAAACCAACTAACACGTTGTTTTAGGCAAATCAGCAGAAGGCGCTTCTCTAGTCAATTCACGAATGTTTCTTCTTCATCTGAATAATAATTTGTAGATTAACGGGAAATCAGTACAAACTGCGAGCTTGACCTTAAATTACGGGCGCAAGAGAACCCTCATCCAGCCCCTCTCCTTGGCTCGCAACAAACCGTTAACATTGCAATGTGGATTCATGGAAAATGTCGTGTATAATATATGTAGAGCGAGAAAACAGCGTATTTCATGGACGCCATTATTATGTTACATATATGATGCAAAATTAATGTCGAGGTTAAATTAACCAACTGTAATGGATACTTCCCGGCATGACTACCGGCTGCATTGACAAAAGCCCATCGCCGGCACACTGACATCCTTACGCCGCACTGCTGTTTTCTTAGTATTTTTTTTTCATGTATTGGCCGCTATTCACTCGTCCAGTATAAAGACAACATAATAATATTATCCTGATGCCGAAGATGTGTTTATTTGCAGTAAACGTGCCATTTCCGGTTGTGACCGGCATTAGCCGTATAAAATGCGCCAGTGGACAACTGGACCAAGTATCATTTGCCAACAGGAAAAATCGTGTTCCGCTTGCATCTACTATCAGCTTAATAAATTGAACTATATTTCATTTACTATATTTTATTTAATTTAAGCGTTATTTAGTAAAATGGCGATTAAATTGGTACTGACTATTTTCTGCGTGATGGGCGCGGTAGCGGGCCAATTCGGTTTCGGTACGTTGCTAATTGTTGTGGTAGCTAATTTCAGCACTGATTATTTCGAGAATGATAATGATCGTTGATTTACAGGAGGATACGGCGGTATGGGAGGATTCGGGAACAATAATTATGGATACGGAAGTACGTAGCTATTTACATATTTGCCTGAACCTTTCGCGAATATTTTGATTATATAGAGTTTTGATTAATGACCAGTGATAGAGGTGCGCTGAAGCGTATGTTATTATAAATAACAATTATTTTTTTATTTTTATATAGGGCAATAATGTAATAATGTTATATAATTCATATCGAATGACTATAAATATATCATGAAATAATGTTGAACAATTTAAATATATTATTCAATACCATTATACAGTTTTTTATAATTATTATTGTACGATTATTATATTATCATAGAATGCATAATATTATATAGGTATACTAAATCTGCTGACATAATAACGGTCAATAAAATAATAAGACGAGTTTTCGCAGGTCCGTATAACACAGGATACGGCGGCGGCTACGGCGGTCTGGGCAATTTCGGCGGTTTTGGTTCCGGCTTCGGGCAGGGCAACGCCCTGGGCGGGGGGAGCGCGCAGCTGGGCAGCGTCATGACCAACAACGGGGCGCTGTCGCGGTCGTCGCCCTGGGGCGGGATGAGCACGGCGCAGAACAGCGCCGCCGGCCAGGGATACGGCGTCAACATCTGGGGCGCCGCCACCGGCAACTCCGGCTACAACCGGGGCTTCTAACCTCCCTATCTGTGTTCCGCTTAGAATTCATTACACGCTGAATATGTATCGAATTGTGGCATGTTATTGACGAGGCGTTTATGTTGCGAATGTGGGACAATGCGGTAATTGTGGTGATGTAACGACTAACGATTTCAAAACGGCTGGGATTTTCTGCATTAAACAGCTCTTATCCATTCGGCATTAAATGCCGTATTCTCCAATGTATCGATGCTTATGACTTATGTGGATGCGTGTACATATTATACGCGTATAATATTATTTTATTTGTACAATCGCCCATAAATTTCACGCACACCGCCTTAGCCAGGCGATAAAGCCGGCATTAAACCCGGCTCCGCGCTCATTTTGCCCACCGCGTGGTTTGCAAGTAACCTGTGTAAATTGTATAAGCGGCGGGAGGGATGTTTGGAAAACCCAAACATCGTATGTTGATATAGTGTAATCCAGCAGCATGTCGCCAGGCGGCGGAGCGGCGCAGTCATGATTTTATCCCGTATTCCCTTCACAACACCGTTCTCTCACAGCGGATTTTTCCGCGCCGGTATCCTGCACGCCGTGGCCGGCGCGCTGGCCTCTTCCCTGCAAATTGCCGGTAAGCTGCTTGTTTTCTCGATATTTCTGAAGTTTTCTGATGGGTTTTCTTTGTATAAGTAATATTTCTGCACACTCGTACATATATGCTAAAGATTTATTCATGTTGAAATAAATTAAATACCCACGTTAGTATAGTGTAAATCAGCAAATTAATTTTATAAATTTGGAGTAAATATAATTTTTTGTGTTTTGTAAATTTATACATGTAATCATAATAGATAATTAATTTAAGGATCTTGTCAGCCAGCATTTCATGTTTTTGATCTTCATATCTGTACATAAAATTCTTATGAATAGCTTAATAATATGTGCGCTTAACAGGGTAAATACTAAATATGGCGTAATTGTTATGCGAATAATATATGTGCATACGAGTAGCTATGGCTTCGATTTGACCAGAACCTCTACCCGTAGTTACTTGAATATACGAGTTACTCTAGTTACTCGTATATCCGCTGCGCGGTAAATAAATAAAATTCGGGATGCTTGCTAGTGTACGTGTGCGCGATCCTCTACCGCGACGTATACGGCGACGGCCACCTCTTCCTGCCGCTGCTCTCCCTGGGCCTGATCGCCGGGCTATCCTACACCAGCAGCGCCTTCCTCCTGCTGAAGACTAGCCGCCACCTCTCCCACTCGCCCTACACCGCCCTCCCGCGCGTCCACGTCCGCTGGCTGCAGTCCCTCCTTCTCGCCAACCTGCTGACCTCGGTGCTCCTCCTGGCCACTTCCGCCTACCTCCTCATCCCGCTTTCCACCTACACCAAGGACTCCCCACCGACCACCACCGGCACTCCGGTGTCCAGCCCCCCCGAAGCCCCCCCGGAGACCGCCGCCCTCGGGGCGCTGCTGGTGCATGCCGCGCTGGGAGGGCTGGCGCTGGGGGTCCTGGTGCTGAGTGGGATCACGGTGCGGCGCTGTCCGCTGCCGCCCTTGCGGGTCGTCTTGACGTACGCGCCGACGGTGACGCCGGCGGGATGGGATAATAAGGGGTTCGCGCGGGAGGACCCGCGGGAGCGGACCGTGTCCTGGGGCTCCGAGTTCTCCCGGGGCTCGTCGCGCGGCGGATCCATGCCGGGGGCCTACCAGCCGCGACCGGGCGTCACGACTTTCTAATCCAATGCACAGTTTGAAAGTGCTATATAAATATGTCAACGTCGATTTCTGATGCCTGATAACTGCGAATTTATACGTCTTCCTGGAGTGCAAATATATGTACCTATACGCAATGCACATATAATGATGTAGTATCATATTGGAAGATGTGGTGTGAAGACAGGAGATGATTAAAAGGGAGATATCGAACACCGGAATATGTACCAGAAAAGTAGAAATTTTTATTCCCAATACTCAGTTCATTTCTTTTACCGTTATTCCAGAATATAATCATACAATCCGCTTCCATACCATCGTCAACATGTTAGACGAAACGAACGCTCTCCGGAAGAGACAAAAATTACGTTTGCACGGAACTCAAAAATCACGCTGAACATGGCATAATACCGTGTAATTGATGCAGCTTATCTCAAGGATTATTCAAAAACTGAACATGTCAACGCTGTCGTTGTTAGCGCCATGAAAAAGCATATGTCCGTCACGCTAAAAACGTGTCAGTGCGTAATTCCACATGCAAATGCCGGCATATCGGTGAAGGGTGATCCATTAAAAAGTTACGGACTGGCCCCGTCGGGCTCGTCGTCCGAGAAGGTGAGGACCATACTGGGCACCACCACTCCGCCACTTCCTGCAACCACCACACTTAGTGTTATAAAGATCTCGTAAAACTCGCATTGGGCTAAGCATACCGATCAGTTTGGCTGTTATTAAGGGAAACGCTACGGCTGTGTTAAGTACGCTACCATTTAACCCACGGGTGGATAGAGATTTTGGTTGTTTTTTCAATGTTTAAAATTTTAACAGTAACGTAGTGTGCCTGCGCTTGCACTTCTTGTTACTTTGACGGCTATTGCCTATTAAAGTACCGATCAGCTATATACTGTACTTAACAATCTCAATTGCTATAGTAGTACACGTCAAGCCATACCAGTTTTGTCCCGGCGTTCCTTCGATGAGCGACGACTTTTCTCCTGCGAATGACGACCGCGGTAAACCTAAATGTAAATACAAGACAATAACGTTATGTGCGTTTAGGATCTGTGCGTTTAGCAGATGCTCGTCTGCTTTAACTGCACAAAAATGTGTAATTACACAATAATTATAGGAAGCGAATTAGACGTACCTGGCGTTTAGGCCCCTGCCGGTCACCGTCCCGCCCATGACCTTTCTCAGCGCGCTCAGGTCGCTTCTGATCGCGCCGGTCGCTGTCGCGTTCCTCCGAGCGTTCATGGCGTTTCGGTCGCTGCCGGTCCACGTCACGTCCGTGACCTTTCTCAGGATGCTCGGCCTTCTGTTGTTCCCGGCGATCTCCATCCCGTCCGTGACCTTTTTTTTCAGGATGCTCGGCTTTGTGCTTTTCCCGTCGAGCATCGCCATGTCCGTGATCTTTCTCGCAGCGCTGCACTTTCTGCCGGTCATCGTCGCGTTCCTCCGAGCGCCGCTTGGGTCGTCGGCGGTCCCTCTCCCGTTCCTCCGAGGAGTCCGAGGGATCGCGGCGTTTGGAGCGCTTCCCTCCGTCGCCATCGCGTCGCTCCCGGCCTTCGTCGGCGTCCCGTGGGCGGTCCGCATTGGTGCCCGGTTCGCGTTGTCGCTGGCCCTGGCGCTGCTGAATACGCTCCTGGATGTCGTCGCGGAACATAATGTAGGTGGCGGGGAAGTGGTCCTGGATGGTGGACAGCGGCAGCGCCAGAAACAAGTCCTCCACCGGGCGCTGGCGCACCAGGACGAAGACCTCCTCCGGCTGGTGCAGCACGCCCAGCACCGACACGCCCTCCTCGCTGAAGGGGTTCTGGACGATGGTGGCCTTGTCCTCGGGCGTGATGTGGTAGGCCGTCTTCCAGACGTAGTTGTTGCGGATGTACAGCACGCGCGTCAACCCGTCCCTCACATCCGCACCTGTAATCAGCGTATTTTTATGTATTCCTATCAAAATTTATTGTACCGCCTTATAACGACAACAACAAAATTTTAACAATTCGTAAAATTACGGTTTGCCATTGGGAATCTTATTAAGACATACGAAATGGCGATAATATTTTTAATTGGTTCAGGCCAGTGCCAAACTCCGAACGCCGGTATTAGTCGTCGTACTTAAATAAAATATAGCAAGATTTTAAAAAATAAAACAATTGCAGAAACATACATCAAGTAAAAATAACTATAGTAAAAAATTAAACTCAACTTTTTATTATCGTTGGTTGCAATGAAAAGCAGCAGACAGCATACTGAGAAACATAGGAGATATTGTAGTGAGGTGGCTGCGAGTCTGAAGAAACCCGACGGTTCTTACCAGTGACTGCTAAGTTATAGTTTGAGCGGTTCTGTTTTATATTACCCACAGTGTAACGAGCAACAATAAATTAATTCATTAGTTACCACTTTCTCGATGATATAAAATGCGGTAATGGGTTTATATTTATAGGTTATAATTATTTTTACTGGTTTATTTATATTTATGGGTTCATGGGTTATAATTATATTTATGGGTTATAACCTTTATATTTATAGTTTATAATTATTTTAATTTTATTTTCAAAACACGAGTTCGAAAAAATTCCTTTTTCTCCGCGTTGCGCTTCCGGTCCGCGCCATCGCCGGGAGAATTGAGGGATTCAGCGGCATAATAATATTTAATTCAAACTTTGGTAAACGTTAATTTGCCGCAGTTATTCTCTCTGGGTTGAAAATTAATAGGCCGAGACTATTTTGCCGAAGCGTTATATATACGCGTTGGCTCTACCTTGACCGCGGTTGTCCGCCGCCGCCGCCGCCGCCCTCTCCCGTTCCCGGCGCTGTTCCCCTTCCTCCGCGCGCATCTTCTTCTCGATCTCCTTGCGCTCCGCCATCGTCAACAACCGCGACTCCCGCGTGACGATCCTCCGGCGTTCCTCCTCCCGCTTTCGGCGCGCCCGCTCTTCTTCCCGGCTGACCCGCGCGTCCTGCCACGCCCGCATCCCCTTCTCCACCGGCGTCAGCGGCTCCTCCTTGACCTTCTTCGGGGGATACTGCGACGCCGCCCGTCGCGCCGGCACTCCCGAGGCCTCCCGCTTGGTGACCTTTCCCGTCGACAACGATTTCGGGGGCGGCGGCGGCGGCATCACGCTGCTGCGCGGCACCCTGCCGGTGTAATCCGGACGCGCCGTGTTGCGCAGGGCGTACGCGCCGGCCGCCCGCGCCCCGGGGGCGGTGCTGTCCGTCGGGGAGGGCTTCGCCGGGCGCGGGGTCCGCACGGACATGCGCGCCGTCGCGGCGGGTTTCTTGGCGGTGCTGGCCGGCGGACTGGGGTGTTTCCGGTGGTACTCCTCCAGCAAATCGAAGCAGAAGAGGTCAGCCTCGTTGACCCACTCGTTGTAGTCCTCCGACCAGTTCTTCCACTTGACGTAGTACTGATTGTACTTGCCGGCGCGGCTCTTCCCGCGCGCCCCCACCGTCCGCTTATTGAGGACCGCCTCCACCTCCCACTGCCCGTCGGGGATGGGGCTGGAGCCACGGGTGTCCGCTGAGGAGGCCGCGCGGCCTGGAGGACGCGCCTGGAAGTCGCGCATGAGGTCCGGGCAGTTGAGGAAGTCCTCCGGCTCCCAGCTGTTGAACTTGGCGTCCCAGCCCTTCCATTTGACCAGGTAGCAGACGCGCTGGCCCACCTGCCGCCGGTCCAGGAGGGCCTCCACTTCGTACACCTCGCAGTCGGAGTCGGAGGCGTCGCTGGGGGCGGGGGGCTCCTGTTTGATGGGCGGCGAGGTGACGCCGACGCGTTTGAGGGCCACGGTGCCCTTGCCGGTGGGTTTGGCCTTGGTGGGGGGCGGGGCGGCGGAAGGGGAGGGGTTGGTGGAGTGGGAGGAGGTCGGCGAGGGCTTCTCCGAGGCGTCGGAGGACTTTTTGCCACTCCCGAGTCCGACTGCATCACAAAAATGGTGTCAAAATTGGTGCCCAGTGCCCACAAATACAAATGATATAAATTTTATTGGAATATTTTAATAAATGAGTAATTTTCTATTAATTGTGTAAGTTATTTTATAACATCGTATATGAAATGTTAGTATAGTTACAAGATGTTAGTTACTGATGTTGCAAAATAAAGTGACTGGGAAGCACAAGTAGCGTAGAAATATTTAACTGCTTCCATTCGTAGTTCAATTAAATTCTTGCACAAAATTTCTGTGAAGTTCAGCACATACTTCGATTAAGGAAGTCGTCGTCGCTGTCCGTCATCCTTGCAACGACGCCGTTGACTGGTACGAGAAGCGCACACCTGCAAAGCAAACAACATCCGTCAGAGCCGGTGCATGAACGATTTCGCCCTTCTCTCTCTTTGCGTAGATGGAATATACAGTTAATACAAGACATGCAAGACATTCAGCCAGGTTTAAAATCCCATGCTAGACTGTCAACCTAGCCGGAAATGGGCTACCTGCTCTGATTGCAATTAAATTAAATTAAATTAAAATTAAATGCCGTTTTTTGTAACTCTATAACTGCTAACTGGAATTCTCCTTGTAAAAACTTTAATGCATTAATGGTATTTACCCGTGAGTGTAAACCCAATAGTCAAGGTAAGATAGAATAAAGAAATGTTAATTAAGTGATCACTGAGCCAAGCACTGATACGTAATTATGGGGCCGGTGAAAGTACAGCGACGACCCAGCATACTGCTGTTTATTATTGGTACAATATGATGAGCCATACATGCATGGTATTCGGTAATATGTCGTTACAACATAATCAGATTTTCTTACAGGTCATCGTACAATATAGGCAGAGCGGTTCAATACTAATCACTGCAGAGAAGAATTATTATTTTTAAATCCTTGCAAATAGTTTGGGTGGCCATAGACGAAGAGCGATGTGATGCGAACTGCTGCGCTACTTACCCAAAATTAGCTTGCAATTTGAAAACGATGGCCAAATAACTGTGACAATATAAGAGGCGGCGGCGAGTCTGTATACGGCAAACGTGACAATGAAGTATATTACCAAAACTCGGATGCCAACAAGGCAACAACAGTATCAGGCGCCGTTAACGGCTGCCACATCCAGCGCTAGCAGGGGAATCAGATCAACAATAACAAGAATTCCTGGATGACTGTCAGTCGTTGAGCAAAGACGGCGTAGAACGGGCACCGATAAGTAAATCGGCAATCGCTAATGACGAATCCAGAAGTGCACACTGGCATATCACACTGCGGTGTGAGTGCCGGACGGAGTGCCGGGCCAGACGAAGAAGGTAGACACAATGCCCAATATGATGGTCATGTACTGTGCAGACTACACACTGCGCAGTAGAGAACGGTCAAGAATGGATGTCGGATCGGATCCGGGTCAGGCTGACACTGTCAAAGGGTCAACAGGAAGCAGAGAATCGCTGCCGTCTCCTCTCTCTAGTCGCTGACCCTTCAGTATACGAATTACCCAGGTACAATGCCTGTTGACACTGGATTCCTATACAAATTAATGTGCTGCTAAATCTCACTGAACAGCGGTTTGTATGGGGTGCTGTCAATTGCAACGAAATCAGGGAAATGCCCGTACGGTGACGGCACAGCGTACAGTGTACACGTAATCGCAGAAAGTTGGGAGAAATTAACTTTTAAAAGGAAAGAGAAGATGCTATCACCGTACGTGATAGCAGCATGGCTAGTCTGCTGCTCAGGATCGTAAGTCGCGGAAATATTGTGACAAGTTTTTCTAAGCACACCCGACCGGCATCATAATCGCTGCTTAATGCTCCGGTTCCCATGACGGGTTTGATAACAACATAACATCGTACGCCATACGTGCTGACTTTTGATAACATCATACGCTATGCGAAGCGTCTGTGTACTTGTACAAAATACTCGTATCGGCGTCTGTATGCCGGCAACTCTTAACCGGCACAGGTATATTATTCTTGCACAAAATGTATAAAGTATTAACGTAATTTGCGAATTATTACCATTTCATCTGTCAGCGTAAAGAGTTGCTACTGTACAGTGTACACAGAGTAGTGCGTGTTCTGAGCTGAACGAGAATGCAGCTATCCTATAGTAGCTGGATTATTCGTCATCCTGTGAATCCGCTGCGGTTGTGGAGGCACTGCCTTGCGTGGTGTTAATACTGGGAGGTAGTGTCACCGGCGCGACCGGTAGCGGCGCCTGGTTGCGGTCGGCGGCGGGGCGGCGCTGGCGGGGCGGATTGCACATCTGCATCTCGGGGCTGTCGCGCATGGCGTTCATGATGTTCTTGCAGGCCGGCGACACCGAGCGGAAGCAGTGGCGTAGGTGGTTCTTACGCCGCATGCGCTGCTCCTCCGACACCGCGTTCATGTTGCACTGCACTGCAGTTATAAAGGATTATACGAGTAACGGACCTGACGTTATTCACTTTACGAGCTAAGTCATCACGCTGTACTTACGGAAGCGGGCGCAGGGCGGGAAGAGATTCTTGACCTTTTCACAGGCCATCAACTGCTGCTCTGCAACACACAGTGTTTAGTGAATGGCACTTATCAATGAGGCGATACAAATTTTCATAATACGCTACGAAGAAAACCACAGCAAATTTTGACGATTATTATTAGTATTGTAACTGAGGGGTCTGCAGGTACCTGTCACACCGGGCGGCAGCCGGCCAGCGTCGCTCAGGGAAACCCACAGGCAAAAGGACACGACAACAAGAAGTGCATGGCACTGCATTTTCCTGCGAGGACGACAGTTGACTGATCAGTTAAAGAAGGCGCGCGAATAAAGCCGCTCGGCGCTGTCGGTATTCCACGCCGATCGTTTTATATACTGTTGACACTATGTTGGTAACACTAACAGTGTCGGATTTTCGGTTAATCAAGCGAGGAAGATGCTGCTCAGTGGCTGCTATACTCTTGGTCACTTAGGGAAGGATAATTATTATGAGACTAGTGTGCTGTAACTGTAATGTGTGCCTAGGAAAAAATAATGGCGTCGTGGTAGATTAAGCGAAAACGGTATATTGTTACCGCGGTGGCAAATTGCAAGTGCATGTTCGCCAGATTTCGGTATGGTATTATTTTGTTCAGGGCAAAAACGCTGCATTCGAACAGATCGACGAACGGAGCCAGTGATTTTCGTGCAAGGATAAAATGCACGTGAAATTCACTAAAGATCTCTGGTACTTTGTATACTTAGTGGAAACTGGTACAATATCTCAGCGCGTCAGAATTAAAACTGATTTCTTATAAGCTTCCGCTCGATGACATGCTTTGTACCTGTGCAGCCATTGAGAAACGAACGAGTGCACAGTGCTTGTGGGACATAAAAACAGAATATACCGGCACGGCTTCCTATTATTTCGTCCACCATTCATTTTGTCCACCATTCATTTTGTCCACCATTCATTTTGTCCACCACTCATTTTGTCCACCACTCATTTTGTCCACCACTCGTGTGGTGGACAAATTTTGTAGTTCAGCACTCTTCCCTTCCGATTAGTCAAAGAAAACGTCACCTCAGCCATTATTATCATATATAAATAATCACAATCTAATTGCGCAGGATATCGTGCTCAATGTATTTTTTATTCTTCGACTTTCAGATAATAATATCATTCTTAACACTCAACTGACAAGGGAGTTCGATTTACATAGAAGTATACGTACTTGCAGATGCAAGGAATTAGATGCGCGCTACATCATGTGCATAAATCGAACTCATCTGTATTGCTTGCCTCAATGTCTACTGTCTGCTTATTACTTAACCCGCTCAGTTTCGAGACGCATAAACAGCTGCGCAGTACTGGGTACGTTATCAGTATTACGTGCAAATATGCCAAAATTTTAATAACCGCAACGTATATTATTGTTGTAGCAATGGCATGCGAACTGAAATCACAGTAACGAATACTAATGATATACGAATTGCGTGTGTATACAATCTCATACAAAGTATTATGTTTTAGATTGCTGCGCGCATCTCAGTTTATTAAATTCATTTCACACTAGCTTTGTCTTATAGAAAATAAAAATACCGTACTCTATGAATTGTATAGTGGACAAAATAAATGGTGGACAAAATGAATGGTGGACAAAACGATGGGTGGACAAAACGATGGGTGGACAAAATGAATGGTGGACAAAATGAATAGACACGACCGGCACACGCACTACAACTTCAAGAACAACGCTTCCGTTAACGAATACTTAACCTTAACGGCGCTTACGTTTTGCTCTTTAGTTCGCAGTATCTTGTGCTGTAAAATACATATTATCACACGGTAAAATAAGGAAGCGCAACCAAGAAAAACAACCAACACGGTTAAACATTGCTAACAACTTAATACAACGACCGGCCGCGCTTCCCGCACATACACGCCGGAAAACGTAATGGATGCTAAATTGCACTATAATTACTATACAGTAGATTGTCCAGCTGCGTCTGTATCACACCGTAGCAGTCACAAAATCCAGTTCCGCCCGTGGTAGCGCGGCTACGTGGGGCTGGCCTTGTTCCAGGTGGGGAGGCCCGGTTTGCGGTCGAACCAGTGGTACCACTCGTCGATGCGCTTGGCCGTGATGTCCTTCTGGTACCTGAGTTTGCGCGGCGGATTGGGGATGTCGTAGATGTTGGTGCCGGTGACGGCCTTCACCGGCGCGCACTGGAACGTCGTGACGAACTCCTCCGAGTTGCGCACCATCGCCATCAGCCGGGTGCGCGGCTCACTGAAGCCCGCCTTCGCGGGGTTCTTCACGCGCAGCGGCGTGTGGTTCTCGCAGAAAACCTAAGCAGAATAATCAGTAATTATTTTGTCATGCTTATGTATTGCGGCACGCGTGTACGTAATTCACCAATAATTTTAAATATTATTTTACGGATATTTTAATATAGCCGGTTTAGTTAACAGCCATCGTTCATTCTCAGAAGAAAACTAGGTGGCCACTCTGTGCACAACCTTTCGCTACCTTTGACTCCGTACACAATCATTCGGCACTAGCTTTATCTGCGTGCACTACCCTTTATTTTCTAAATTATTTCTGGAACTGCCGTTTTTTCGTTAACAGCTAGTACTGCTGTACAAATATAATTCAAAGCAACATCGGCAGCTATAAAATCGATTTCCGTTAGTAAACAATTCTAGGCGTCCGTGTGCCGATTTTTCTTCGCAGGGCAAAGAAGGTCACGGTCGTTTTCTGGTATGCATCAAAACTTCTTTAAACTGACTGAACGTCTTAAACTGCGCGCCTTGAAATATTGCAAACTGAGGATTAGAACCCACTCTGTATTATATCTAATTACAATCACAGTCCTCGCTTTCCGAGCTTGATACAGTGCAAAAGCTTTAGAGAAATTACTCCAGATAAGTATATCTGTACATTTCTGCTTTTCTGAAGTAATGTAATTTAGATATTGTAAGTATATGTGAAAGTATAGTAGTAGTACACCGAGTGAAACGTGGCGTGGATTGGTAGTGTCAAAGGTGGTTTACCGAAAGAAAGGTAGTGCCCGAACACGTTGTGCACGGACTGAAAGGCCGTACTGCAAAAGCAAAAAACTTGTGTACTGAGTAAAAGATGGCGAAAGAATAATGGAAAGATTGTGTACGGAATGGTCGCCATAAAATTAATATTAACAATTATACTAAATTTAACAATTCATTATAAAAATTGCAGTATGTAAGTTATAAACGAAAATGCATTATTATTTGCAGTAATATGACTGCAGTTTGTATATTCAATACGAGCGTTGAGTTGTAGGCAAACATTTTTTTTATTTAACTGTATTTCGAAAAAGACTGTGTGTTCCATGGCCGTACCTGAGCGAAGTATAAGAAGAACATCTGGTTGAAACTGCGGCCCTGTTCGCCGTAGAGTATCCCGGGAAATAACTGGTCATGGGTATCTTTGATGGTTTTCTGATACGCCTGTTAAATAAAAATAATAATAATATTGTGGTAAATCGAATGCTAATCGGTGGTACAATACGAATACTGTATGTACAAGTACAATTAATGCACAGTGTAATTATACGCTGGGTGCTCATACGGACCCGGTAGGCAATACGCAATCCGGCCTGGTCGGCGATATCCTCGTACAGCGTATCGTCGTCACTCGGATCGCCCAGTTCCTGCGAGATATTCCGGTAGAATTCCAGCAAATAGCCCTGCCGTTCGCGATAATTGTCCAGGGTGCGGTTCTTGGGCCGGTAGCTCTCGATGCCGGTCTTATTCAGCATAAACCCTAAAGGTCACAATTACGCACATCATCAATTAATAACACGGTTGCCAGTTTTATGAAAAAAATGTTTTTAGCTTCAATTTTTTAGAAAATTTATTCTTTATATAGTCATTTTTTATATAGCTTCAAGTTTTTATATAATTTATTTCTTTAGATAATTTATTTTTTTATATATTTGCCATTTAATTACCAAACAATTTTTAAAAAAGAATTAATACATATGGCGGTAATCATAATAACTTTTGATACAAACTTCGTTAACAGTAATATCAACGATTAATCATTTTGTAAAAGAAATCAATTAATATTTTATTTGTTTATATTTACAACATACATTCGTAGTCGACAACGTGGGCCAGTTGGCGCGCGTATGTGAACCCCAGAGTGGCATACTGTGCGAATCCCGGATAGGAGAAGTCATAGAACGGTGAGGCCAGATTCTTGGGGAAAACGCCTAATTACAGAAGAAACACCCGGCAACTCAGCGCGCGTCTTTTAAACGTCATGCTGAACAGTTCGGCAAGTGACCTAACCGATGAGACTGTTCTGCGGCGACAACAGATGGTAGTCGGTACCGCCGGCGAAGCGGAACATATTGGTGAAGCGTGTGGCGTTGGAGCCGAGGTCACCGCGCAGGAAGAAGGACTCGCGGGCCTTCTGGAAGTTGCGCAGGGTGTTGAAGAAGGAGCCGGTGTCGATCTTGATCTGCAATTAGCCACCCACTATTAACTATGTACGAGTATAATGGCAAATTCAATAAAAATGTCTATCTATAGTTTAATTCAATAAATACATGAGCCGTTTATAAAATGTATATAAATAAAGAAATTAATTTATTTATATCTGTATTGATGCTACGTACCGGGTTGTACATGAGGCCCGTCAGCGTGCGGTTGTACAGTTCGCGGGAATACGGTAATTGCCGCTTTAATTTAGAGAATTTCGTCGTCGCATACTGCTGGTCTTCCTCGTCAATCCAGCCTTGCGTCTATCATCAATACGGCAATGTCATAAAGTGCTAAGCATATTGTATAATGTAGTAATAATTAAATTCTTAAATGCTGGGAATTAAACATTATGATTAATTCAATTAACATTATGGCAATTTGATTATGCTGTAGCATAACTAAAATTGCGAATTTTTAACTGAGCCGGAGCATTATTAAAATTGGTCATTTCAAATCATACTTAAACTAAATTAGAAATCAAATTACTTGTGTGAATAATATAAATCTGGTTGATCAAAAGAAAACTGAATTTTAATTATGATGAGCAAAATTAAAACTGGACAATTTTAATTATGCTCCAGCTCAATTAAAATTCGAAATTTTAATTATGCTCCAGCATAATCAAAAGTGCCACAATTGTTGAATTTCGATTATGCTGATCATAATTAAAATAGATCGATTTTCAGTTAAGATGAGCTTAATCAAAATTATGAACCAAACAATTATGATGAGTTTAATCTTCACTAGTATAATGACTGGTAGAATAAGCTTAGCAGTTAACATTGCTATACGTGTAGGACTGTAAAGTGCAAACCGGCTTATCGGTCCGCGGTTTCAGAATTAGCTAAGAACACCCATAAACGGTGATGCGACTGGACGCGCAGAAAACAATCGCCGGCAGTGGGTTCGAACAGAACCCCGCTTGCTCGCGCAGTATGCGTGAAAAACGAAGCATTCCAGCGTTGTAAAGTAATTATCGTGTACTTACGTTGACCAGCTCGGAGGCCGTTTGTGTGAGTTTGTCCAGTAGTGAATCGGCCTGCGACAGCGTAAGAAAGCTGTATCAAACGCCATGTTAAAAGCATAATAAAGCGTTGTGCTTACCTTGGCAGTGTGATCCGGCGAGAAGAAGCGGTCAGCGTAGATCTGCAGACCGCTGTCCGGCAGCACCCGGAAGGCGGTAACAGTGCACTTCTTCCAGCGCACCAGCGACTGCACGCCGAAGACCTTCCAGAAGCGCTGGATGGGCGCCCACAGATCCGGCTCCTCCTCCAGAAACGCCAGGTACTGGTACAGCAGCTTCCAGCCCAGGTACACCGCTTGGTCCCTACACACAGCGAGACCTTGTTACAAATGTTGGGGGAAAACAAATTTGAAATCAACCAGTCGGTTGGTTCAGAGCTTGACTAAAATAAAATCAACAAACAGCGTCAAACAGGAACACGTCCAAGGATCATCAACTGCCGGTGCTGAAGTTGAACTGAGAAGCGCTGGTTTGCGCAGTATGCGTTAGAAAGCACGTACATATTTTCTTATATCTCAGCGGAAAGAGAAAAAGAAAGGTCACTTTTTAAAATCATACGTAAACGCTTTTTGTAGATACTTAACATGAAAAAAATGCCTAATATTTTGTAAGAATAAAGGTCACTCAATCGTTCCCGGCGTCGGGCCTTTTCAAGACCATACAGGTGGATAGAGAAAATGAAAGGTCAATTTTTTATAATCGCACAACCTTTTCTTTATACTTCTTACACACAGGATAGAGTACTGCAGTTTTTGACAATAGTAAAGGTCACTTTATTACCATAAAGAGATATTTTTTATATGTAATTATTACTAAACAGGAAAAAAGATGAATTTTTTGGCGGTAATAAAGGTCACTCTGGTGTACCTGGCGTCGGACTGCTTGAGGAGTTCGTCTAGCCCTTGGAAGTAGTCGCGGTTCTTCATGGCGATCATGTCGTGCTCGAGGAGGCTGGTGACGGTGGTGTCGATGTCGATGTGGCGGTGGTGACTGCGGTTGAGGTTGACGGCCTCCTGCAGTTCGTGCAGGTAGTCGGAGAAGTTGTAGTAGCGCGCAATGTGCGGGTACTGCGTGTTGAAGTCCCGCACCGACAGCCGGTAGATCATCTGCTCCCGGCTGATCTACATCGTAGAACAACAAACATATACTACAAAGTATATTTTTATTCAAAGGAGCCGGCGCCTAGCGCGGGCGGTACTGGGGATTACTCTGTTCGTTAATTTCGTGTAAATCCATTACACGTCTTCACTAACAAGAAAACGCGCCTGCTTTTCTGTCAACAGACGCATTGCTGGAGAAATATTCACTCCGCAGATTAAATTTATTAGATAATATAAATATTAAATATTATTAAATGAATATAAAATATATTATTAAGTAAATATATTATTAAATAAATGAATAAATATTAAATAATAATATTAATATTATTTGTACTATTTATAGTAAATCAGAAATCAGGTAAATAAGTATCTGTAGGTGTGGTTATCTTCGCGTATGGCAGCCGGCGTTGAACGTTTAACTCAGCCGATAAAAAAAATAAATAACCTGTCGTGGGCCGTGACTCACCTGCGTCAGATTGGTCTCAAACTGGACAATCTTCTGCACGTCCTCCTTCCAAAAATCCGGGACGACGGGGTTCTTGTCCAGCGTGAAGCCGGCTTGCGTCAGAACCAGCCGGATAATCGTCCCAATGAAAGTCTGGTACTCCTGCATTTTGCGCTCATCCCGGTAGAAATGGCGCGGCAAGGGAAGGTCACCCTCGCGGATTAGCCAGAGCGGCTGGTTGGAGGAGGCGGCCGTCACCGGGAGGCGTTCCACCTCGAAGTAGCCCTTGAGGCCGTGCTGGTGCAGCTCCTGCAGGAACTCATCGTAGTCGGTGTTGTCGGCCGACTCGTTGGCGGCGATTAGAGGCGGCCACTGCAGACGCTGCAGCACTTCCACGAGACGCAACCGGAAGTCCGTGTGGTCTGCAAAATGCCGTAATGCAGCCACTAGGTTTTTTTATATACCAGTATTTAAATATTTCTTATAAATCTACTTTACTCAATTAGGCGAATTTTTGCTTATTTTATTGTCCAATTTATTTCAATAGGATTTCAGTTAAACATTTTCAGTATATAAGATTTTATATTAGGTTTGATTATTTTATTTTATATTGATATTATTTACAATGATTTTTATTTTTTTTCTATAATTATGCATGTACATATAACGTTGCATAAATACGTATTCTGATTTTACTTATACAATAAAATTTAAAAATTTACTTTAAAAAAAATTAAAGATAATTTGTAATTGATTTTAAATTTTAATGCGCCATGAGTTGTGCAACACAGGCGAAAACACAGGCTGATACGTTACAACGACGGTTATGATTATGTAGTTAATTATACATTCAAATAATTAACATTATCCAATCAAGAACTCGCAACGCGACCAACACCGTTCATGCATTTCGCGGCATAAATAAACTAATTTATTCGGCCATGAATAATGCTGATTATGCAAAATTCCCGTAATCAGGGGGGTCCATTAAATTAAAGCGAGCCGTTGATTATGGGGAAATGCAGTTATGAAATGTAAGCCGTGTTGATGCCGGTGGCGTGTTGCACGTGACAGAATTAAAGCATCTTTAAGCATGGTGTGCGCAACCGGATGTTGCAGCCGCGGCTAGTGTCCCGCGGCGGTGTGCGACTGTGCCGCACAATACCGCCCTTTCTGCTCGTAAGAAAGGCCGTGAATGCTAATTATTTCGCCATCAATACGCGGTCGAGGAAAGTGATTTTATACGCTACCGGTTGCCGTTATAGCTGCTTGATTATCATCACAATATATATCTTGTTTTAAACTGTTATAAAATATTATTACCGGCATCGCTGCGTACGGTACTTACTGTAGTCCATGCACAGCTGATGGAACTGTGCCGCTTTGAGTTTGTGGACCTCGGATGTGTTGGACAGCATTCGCGGGTCGGTGAGGATGGCTGCCGAAAATCGCGGTTAATTACAGAAGTAATAATAATAATAATGATAATAATAATAAATGCAAAAAGACCGCGGATTGCATACAGTTCATGCGCAGCACCAGCTCGTCGTTGACGAGATCCTCCATGTCCTGGTAGCGGTTGCCGAAGGCCTCCTTCAGCTGGAAATTACCGCAGGCGTGCCGGAAAAAATCCTCGCACGGATCCACGCTGTAGTTGATTGAACCCGTTAACAATTTCCCTACAAAAATTATTCGATTTATTTTACTGATTTTCAAGCACCGCAAAACTATCCTGGCATGAACTGTATCTGTACTGTAGTAATACTATTTTATTCGCACAGTCCATTTTAGAGAACAATTTATATTTTATATTATTTGTCATTTTTTTATTTTTTTTATTTTTTATATAATATTTTTGTATAATTTTTTAAAATTTATTTTATTGTTCTATTTTATTATGCCGGTATTTTATTTCATCATTACTTTATTATGCCGGTGCACATTTAGTCTGCGCTGAAAGTGGCAAGAAAAAGCGTGATTCACTGTGCGGCATGTGCATTACGTCAGGTTTCCACGGTAAACAATCGTGGGAATTGCGGTAAGAAAAAACACAAAGCGCGTAAAACGGTAAAAAACCCAAATGACACTTATTTACCTGCAGCGATACACGGCTCCGAGTGACAGACTTGCGGCGGCGGTTCTACACATAGAGAAACGATAACATTGTCAGCGGCACATTTAACTGGATAACATCGACATCCTATTACTAATTACACTGTTTGTTTACCACCGTATGTGCTAAAATTGGAAACTTTGTTCGCTGTAACCTACGACATTGCGCGCAAGATTACCGCTAATCAAGACAGTGTGATAAGCCTGTACAATATTAATGTATGTACGGCTTATGTACCTCGATAGACTTCCCACAGATAGACGGAGACCATCACTTCCGTCGACAGGAAGAAGAGCACGGCCAGTGTCAGCAGCACTTTGGTGGATGTGGGACAGCGCTTCTTGAAGTAATACCTAAGGATAAGGAGGCGGTCTGATTATGACCGGTATACTGCTGTTTTTGTAGGCATATATAGGTCACGTGCGCTAACAACAAACACATTCCACAAGCCAAAATGCATCGTGCTACTGTATAAAAACTATGTAAATCAAAAATAATTTATGATATATCAGAGCATATGATTATTATGCGGCGCGGCACAGACATACAAGTTAGCTCTTAATTATTGTTGAATTAACCTGAATTTATTATCGTTAAATTATTAGAATTTATGTTTTTATATGCTTATATAGCTGCAAGCGCTGAAAGTTAAAATTTAAACATTAAGAAACGACCAATATTCCAATCTTCCTTGGATTAAAAAAAAGTGCGCAACAGTCAAAGCAGCCGTGGCGTTTCCTTTAACAACAGCTAGACTAAAACGCTGGTTGAGAAAACTAACAGACTGTGTTTCACCGGTTAAGTCCCGAATTTTACGATCCATGAAAATTAATTCGGAAGTTCTCTTATTCCAAATTAAAATTTAATTTAGAATTAAAATATTGTTTTTCATCAAAAACCAGCACCTCTACATGCAAATATGCATGCGCTGCTGGACACTATATTTAAAATGATCTTAGGACGCGTATTCAGTGTTCCCAGAACGGCTGCTGCATTTTCTCTAGCTACCGCTAAACTTAAATTAAACCGTTAATTCCCAGAGTGACCTACTTGTCTTTGGCTTCCTGCTCGTCGTCCTTGGCGTCCTCCACCGCCGGCTGCAGGTGACCGCTGCCCCGCTGCGCCATACTGGCCTTGCGGTACTTGCGGTCGAGATCATCCAGATCGTCCACGGTCTCGAAGGCGGCATTGATGCTGCCGCCGTAGAGCTGGGTAGGGTGGCTGGTGGGGGCACCCAGCGAGCTGACGCGGTGGATGCGCTGCGAGCTGGACACCGCCGAGGGCTTGCGGTGCTTCTGGTCCAGGGCGTCCAGGGGGTCCGCCGTCTCGTAGGCCGGGTTGGACACCGCGCCTGATACAGGAGGCCCGTTGACCCCCAGGTGGGAGGTGCTGGCCCGCCCCATCGACCCCGAGGCGCGCGCCGGCGACACCGTCGACAGACGGATGTTCTCCCGACTCGTCGACGTCGACATTATCAGCTAAGTATCTAGTCTGACACGGTGAGAGGGCACAAGCGGTGTAGCATAAGTGGGAGCAGCAATGCGCGTATAATATATAATTCCGATCGAGAATAACAACCAAATAAAAATATATATAATTCCGCAGGGATTGTATATATATCCGATAAAATGTATATATATTTATGGATCACAGATATATAGATCAAAAACAGCTGCAGCTATAGATGATAAAATATTGCATAAGCAAGGCTGCGCACACTTCAAGACAAGTGCAGAAGCAGCTTGCTTTTCACTGGCAGCGTGTGCAGGTAGAGGAAGCGCGGCGGCTTATCGGGATGAGTGGCGCGATAAGGATAATGCGTATCCTGCATAGCGGACACTGGATGATTTATTAATCATAAAGCCACGCGTATATAAGGCAGCGATGTATAAGAAAACGGCAGTTAAATATCGTATATATAAATGCAAAGACGGTGGTTAATAATCCAGCGCGCTACCGTTCTGTCAGCAGCGATATATATGTACAGAAAACACAGCCGTACTTTGCGATTGCTTTACTCGGCGTGTTGTTTCGAAAACGGCTCGGTTTACATACGTTGCGTATGATATTTCTGTGGAAAAAACTTCGAATGCCGTGCAGGGCAGCTGCTGTTGTGTATCTGTACAGTGGCACGGATCCTCGGCGTGCCACTGCACCGGCATTACCGTATAAGCGCGCAGCCGGCCCGGGGCAGTTTAAAATGATTGGAGCGTAGTAATGAATTCGTCGGGCCCGGTTTGTCATGGCTACCCCGAACCACGGCCTTTGTCTTATTGTTTGCGCATACAAATCAGCTTGGCAATCCGCCGTAAATTGAAGGGCGTATTAGGCAGGTTCTGTTGAGTTTTTTATGCAAGCAGCAAAACATTTCGCAGGGCAGAATTAACAAGGAGGCCTTTCGCTTTTCTAGGACAGTGTGCCACGCCGGCGTCAGGTCAGAGTTTCGCTGAAATGATCCGGCGAATGAGTTGGAGTTGCGTAACAGAAAAGATTAATAAATTTACATGGAATCCAAAAAAACAGCCGTACTTTGCGATTGCTTTATTCGGCTAGTTGTTTCAAAATTATGCCGGGTACATTGCAGTAACGCTGCAAATTTCAGTCTACAAACCTCAACTTTGGCTTTTTGCCCACATAAACAAAATAAAACTGACGATTACTAATTATTGTTGAACATGCAATGCATGTGACCTTCATATGCGGAATTATCAGGGCATTTACAGCAGAAGCTAATTTTCATTCCGCTCCTAAATTCGATTCCTTCTAACTTTTGGCATTTTATGCGACTTCAAAGTTATTTTTATTTTATTTTTACAGTCCACGTTTTAAATCAAATAACTTTGTACAACACTTTTTTCTTCTCTCTTCGATGCACAGTTTTCCGTATACATGTACTATATGAGGTAACTAGTATTTGAAGCCACGTGATAATTTCTTGAATAATGGAATATACCGGCCCAGGTATGACGCTGTGCCACGAGTGGTCCCATAATAAATGGTAATTGGTATTGTAATGGTAATGTTTAATAAGTTAGGGATAATTGTGCGGACCAAGATTAACTGCCCAGACGGCATGTGCAGAAAGTGAAACATCATCATACACGTATCAAGCATGCAGGCACAACAATATATAGCACATGACACTGATCTGTAGATATATCCAACGTTCGGATTTGTAGTTTTTGAAAGCGGCAAATCACGCGACATTTCGGATAGGTTGTTTGAATAGAAACTAGCGCGTCATCACCAGACATCCAGGTAATTATAATTATTAATTATAATCATTAAGAACACATCTGGCTATGCCGCCCCCGGCACCGAGCGTTTGCGCAGCGTCGGCGCGGGCTTCCGCCAGCCGACGGCGACCAGACGGATGGGCGAGCCGCTGGCGCCCTTCATCTTCATCGGCAGCCCGAAGACGAAGGCCCCGCGGGCCGGCAGTTTGTCCAGATTCTGCACGGACTCGATGATGTTGACGCCGCTGGACAGGAAGATGGCGTGCGCTTGTAAAGACAGCCCGCCCTGCCCGTTGTCCACCGAGCCCGTCTCCACGCCCACCACCTAGGCGCAACGGCAAAACTGTACAAACTGCGGGTGCAACTCAATAAGTAAACGCGCGTTGTCTAAGTAAAAATAACGCCGGCAGATACGTACCACGTACATAAACATATGCAAATCGTAATTATCATACATTTATTATGTTAAGGAAAATGGCTCGGTACATGGTGTCAGAAATGAGATACTTACACTAAAACTTTCGCTTTCGCGCACTCCGAATCACTTTTTTGCAATACTTTAGGTCATTCTAAAGCTAAATGATTTGTATACATTGTTCTGAAAACCGTTTGCGCATACAACATCCGGTTGCCGAGATGTGGCGAACTAAAATGGGAGAAAAGTTTAAACGCGTTGCTGTGTACGGAAAGTCTGGTTGTTACCCATTTTCTTGAAACTTTGCAGTAAAAGGCACATAGCCGGATAGCCATAATGTCGAAAGTGAACCAATATCAGATTCATAGCAGTTTTTCCGATTTTAAAATGAATTTCAAAAATTTTAAAATTTTTCCAATTTGTTTTAAAATTTTCCTTTTTCCTTAATTGCCCATAGCCTCGTCAGGATATAGGATTGTCAAATTTTTATTGGTTCAGCTAGCAGGCAAAGTTATAAGCATTACGTTCGGAAAAATCGTATGTCTGCGTTTGATTTGAGATTGCATGTCCGAGGTACGATTCCTAAGTTGGATAACCTTTATCCCATAAAATAAACTAAAAAAAAGTATACAGATTTTCTACAATAACCAAAAATATCTTCCAATACCTGGAACGATATCTAAAAGGAGTTGGCTACTATAGTGCGGTAATAATAATAATAATTACACGTATCTCCGGCGTACGCCTATATACAGACTTCGAAACTTGGGTTACTCTTGATGACCTTTCGGATGTTTACCTTAATTTTGCGGTTCTTGACGAGCCATTCGGCGGCGGCGGGACTGACGCCGGGATAGTGCAGTTGTGACAAATTGAAGTAGTCGGGGGTGCCCCAGAAGGCGGGCTTGTCGTTGATCTTGGCGCCCCAGCCGGTGTAGACGAAGAGCAGGGAGCCGTTGGGCAGCCGGCCGTGGTCGCTCTCGTGCGCGCGCACATCGGCGATGCTCAGCTCGTAGTCGGGATTGCTGCGGCACTTCTCCGCAATGTCCACGACCGCCGCCGTCCCGAAGAACTGCCGCAGCGGCACCTGATCAATGTCGTCCCTACCGAAACATATACTGTCGCTATAAAAGGTCACATGTGCTCCTAGCCGTATTAAAAAACAACAGTTAAACTTTGGGTGGTGTTGCGTTATAAATTATTATGAATAATTAGGCAGCATATACAGATAATATTTTAGCAGCGGCATTAAATTAACTGTGTACACAGCAAACCAGGTTACTATATTTTTGTAATTAGATTCATATTTAGCCTTCGCTACTTATTTTCGTAAAGGACTATTTATTAATTATAAGCATAGTTATTATATTGTATGCATTTCTGGCCATTAAAATTAAATAATACGGTAGCACCTAATGTACAAATCCATCAGTACATATTAATGTCGAACAGATCTGTAGATGACCGATATTGCAGTCGGTTACATAAGCCGCATGCGCAAGTTATCAGGGGAAACAACAATTATTGCCGGTTGTTTGTGAGCAAACTGCAATGTTTTTATGAAGCGCGATCACACACGGCGGCAGTTATCGCGTGACAAGAAAAAAGCCGAAAGGAAGCAAAGGTCATGTTGTGACTCCACGGCTTCCTGGAAGAAGTGCTAATTCACTGTTGCAACATTTTACCGGTAGATGTTCGTGTATGCACTAGCTAATTTGCGCAACGTCATTGGCACTGGCCAGTGTCCATATTTCGATAAAAACAGTATACTATGTATATGCAGTTAATTTTCAAAAATTACTTAGTTCGTAGAATGGTTGGCAAGCCAGGCAAGGACCAAAAATTATTCTTTATATATACGAGTACATAGTATTACGTACGTACTGTGTCAATATTACAAAATTACCAATTAATAATTATAAAAATGTGGCTGTTGGCATAGACGTGCGCCACGTGTTAAACTTATAGTATCTCATGAAACCAGACCGGAAGCGTTTCTTATTAAGTATCCGAGTCGGAGTATATAATTTGCATGGAACGTTGATATAAAATTTTATTTATATTTTAAGCGCAATAACAATCGTTCTGTAGGCCCTGTTGTTAGGAACTTGGAATTTTAATATGTAGGTACAGGTGCAGCGTACCTGACGGGATTGCGGTTGACATGGCTGAGCGCGTCGACATGCGTGCCGCCGTGGTCGCTGCTGGAGAAGACGGTGGCGTGGAAATGGTAGTTGTACTCCTGGTTGTACCCGTTCTGCGTCTCCTGGATCTTGAAGTTCTGGCCCTTCTTCTCGATGGTCGGCCAGTAGGGCGTGTCCTCCGAGAACTCCACCGACAGATCCAACAGCTCCTCCGTCCCGTCGGCAATGTCCTCCAGCTGGAAGCTCCACACACTTCCGGCCGATAACAGCATACACAATACCATCACTCGCCACATTTTTTTATTACTTTAATTCGTGGCTTAATAAATTTCCGCAGGATAAATTTTTGATAGTTTGATATACAGTATGGAATTAGCCAGTTGTCTCACTTAAATGGCGCAAAAGTAGGGTTCCTTTCGCCGATTGGCACTGCTAACCGAAACAAGGCAGAATTATTATACACTTGCGTATCGGATTGCTAAAGTGTGTGTACAGTTACAAGTTCGTATAATAATATTTTTATCATCGACGCTGTGCAGCAGGTTGCGTTGGCGTTTAGGTACAGATTATAATCAACGGTGCAGTGTAATAATATATCAGTCGCAGTAAATTCCCTGACTGACCTTATCGGCGCCGCGGGATCGCAATCGGCGTCCACGGTTAACGGTGGAAAATCGGTGTAATACTTAGATAAAGCGTATATATCCGGTGTGAGCGTTTTTCATATGCTACGCCCAATCTCTGTACAGCTGCAGTGACGCCAAATTATGCCGGCATTACTGTTATATACGTATCTCTTTTATGGCGTCGACACTTTTGAAAAAACCTTACACGCCACCGCGAAACCTTCACGCACTAAACCGTAAATAACATTTCTACTAACACTGCAAGAAATAGTGCATCGATTATGCTGCACCCAGGATAACAATTATTACATTTACAAAAACAAATACATGAAGTAGTACATCTTAGTAGGCCTGGTAAAACCGTGCCTGGAATTTTTGCAGAAATAATACAATTTAATTTTTAACAGGGACATGTTTGCGTAGCGTTCATGCTGATGCCGGGAATTTGCACAATCAGCCGGTATTATTAACAGACAACCGCATTCAGCGGGTATATTTAATATCGGTTAAGAAAACCGGCGGAACAACAAAACGCTGCCGTGAAAATGACAATGTACGGCAACCTTCGAGATACCTATGCACACAGCGTACATTGGCAGCTGGGTGTACCCGAAATAAACTATATAAAACACAATTAACTCGTTTTTGTGATAATGTACACTACTTTGCTAGTGACTATCATTGACAATCAACTGGCAGGATGACGGCGCAGTTTCTTCCCGTCTATTTGTAGAGCACTGGCGGCGTAACAGGGGTCGTCTTTCTGCAGTCGTGACGGCCATTCGCAGGAGCGGCTTTTCTCGTCAAACACCTGCGGAATACCAATACCAGTATACTGGTGAAATGCTTAATTTTTTCATTTCACGTACCAAGGGTGGTGGGCATATCTGCAGCCATCCGCAGGAATTCCTGTAATCAGGACATAATAATTAAAATACACCCTTCAAATGAAGTACTGTACAGATACTACATAATATATAATCAATTAGTAATTCCTGTAATTAATCAGCCTTAATATAGATACAGAAATATAGTATGCTATTATGTTATAAATTTTGCCGGTTACATTGGCAAGTACAAGGTTGTCCGGTAATTTCTGCCCGTTCAATACAGCGAAATACACAAATTTGCGTGTTAAGCCAAACTCCATGCTACGACTCCTTTACGTCGACAGAAATTACCGGACAAGCTTGTAGGTGTCAGCTGACTATTTACAGGCCGTATGCGATCATTCCCCGATCATCGTCTGAATACCAGGCAGGCGGACATCTGATTTATAAGCTTAAATTTTTAATTTTAAATCATTTAAAATGATTTAAATAACAATGATACATAACATTTATACTGATGGCAGAAATGTAATCCTACGTTGCTAATTACCAGCAATTGATAAAATGGACGCAGCTGGTCGTATGCGGCAAGACACCGGCCCTGTCCCGGCAGGCATCCAGCTGGCAGCCCATAAAAGCCCAGGGCGTCCGGGCCGGCAGCAGGAGATCGGCGTCGGCGTCTAATTGTAAGGAAGACTGTGGTTTAGCTGGTTTAGCGGTGGGTTTGGGCAGTTTGGGGATCTTGCGGTTACCGTTGCTGCTGTCCACGGCGCTGTTGGCCAGTAAGCAGCAGAAGATGCTCGTCTCGCCGCAGATGCAGCGCAGGTCTTTGGGGTCCGCCTTGTGGATGCGGGCGGTCTTCGGGTGGGCGTTCAGTGCCGGCGCAACCTCACCGGAAGCTAGTATAACCGAAGAAAAAATCGATCGTCATTGTCAGTTTTGCACCGCCATCCGTTTTTAATTACAGACATACCGTTAACGAATAGAGCATGCGTCTGCAAAATTAAGACCACCAAAAAAACCAGCCTGGACCTGGACATGCTTTGTGAAACTGGACAACGACAATACGTTCCTCCTGCATGCCGATTCATCCTCTAAAACCAGGCCACTTGAACCCACCCGCATGGGAAAATAAACCTCGATTTGCCGAATCCAACTACTTAACAACAAGCTAAAATCCAATTGTAATTTACTGTTCTAGAGTGGACTTCTGTGTCAGGCTTTGGTGCATTTATTAGCAATATAAACAGCAATTGTTCCGTATGATACTAATGAGATACAGCGATATTCAACACTTGCTTGCGATACATTGTGTCAATGTGCATTGTGCACCGCTACAATACCAACATCAGCATCTCGCGTCGCTTCACAGTTCACACAGAAATACTTGAGTTTTGGTTGTTTTTCTCGTAAATTAGCACTGCCTACAGTTTCTACCGAAAACGCAATGCCTCGTGCCGGCCGTGCAGGATTTCTGAATTTAAATGAGAAAAAGTTAACAAACTCATTAATTATCCTCTGCCATTTGCCGTATACAGTTGTATTCTGTAACACAACCGGCACTTATTCCTAGCTTCGTCTACAAATATGGCCGTGAATCGTGATTGATCATGCAGAAGTGTTTAAATTGCAATATTATGACCGGCACGTATGGACGCAATCAGTTATTAATTTGACGTTAAAATTATGACGAATTATTACTTATAACTTCAAACAAAGATGCGACAGAGCGCCGACAAATTTAACGCATAAAAAACTACCACAAGAACCGCCAAATTGGCCGATATAACGCTGCTGCCGTCCCCAGGGCGGCGGCCATAAAGTAATCGTACTTGCTTATCATCGCCTACCTGGGGGGGGGGGGGCTGCCAGCGGAAACGCACAAGCGATGACATCAGAGGCGCCCTATCATTTTGGCCACCATTCATTTTGGCCACCATTTATTTCGGCCACCATTCATTTTGGCCACCACTGATTTTAGTACCGCGTTCGATTTTCAGCTAATACGAGTACATACATTCATTACGTTGTGAGCCTGTGATCCAGCAATGTTTCCTCAATAAATAAGACATAATAAAAATAAACATAAGAAAACATAAGGAAAACAAGTTAATTTAATAACATAAACCTAAAATAGTAAACACACCAAAAAACCGAGGGTAAGAAACCTAAGAAACCTAAGAAACCTACGAAACCTAAGAATAACCTAAGAAACTTAAGAAAACCTAAGAAGACCTAAGAAACCTAAGAAAACCTAAGAAAACTAAAAAACAAAAATCGAACGCGGTAACCAAATCAGTGGTGGCCGAAATGAATGGTGGCCGAAATGAATGGTGGCCAAAATGAATGGTGGCCAAAATGAATGGACACGACATCGGCGCAGTCAGATTTTGAAACTCCAGGAGTTTTTTTGACTGTACCTGTTTTGAAGTTTCGCAGACTTTTTTGATTTTTACTTGCTTTTTCTTGTTTTGCCATACTGTGCCTCTCCAGGATAATTGTAATGTTTTATTTTCTGGATAGATTTCCATTGTGTGATATTTTCTGAGCGTGTTGTCTTTCACTCGTAATCGGTACTTTCGGCGTTCATTATTGGGCAGACAGAAAATGGACTACGCTGCTGTAAAACCAGGCATGTCGAGATTCATGTTTGAACATGTTTTTCCTTTCTGATTTTTATGCTGTGATCTCTTCAGTCAGCATTTTTTCTGCGCCACAGCGCTTTTTAGACATCAGAAATAGATGATTTTTACATGAAACTGAATTCTTGCAGAAGCAGGTGTCGATGCAACTGTGATGGAGCCAACAGATCCTTCGATGTCGTGGATAAAACGCGAAGAAGCAGAGGATGAAGATGGGGAGGCTGGTCTGCAGCAGGCTGTGGTTAATCCCTTCCGCGTGGATGTCTCGCTCATCCCGCAGGCCGCGTCGCAGGACGGGGGCGCCCTGCAGGAGCTGGGCCTGCAGGTGTTCAATCAGGAGGACCTGGAGACGGCCGTCATCCACCAGGCCGAGCAGCACATGCACGAAGAGGCCCAGCAGCGCGCCAACCAAGCTAAATCACGGTACTTCTTTTTTTTGACAAGACATTTCTCTTGTCATAGATAATCATACGAATAATTAGCATTCTGCATGGTTCTACCGGACTTGGCATTTTGGAGTATTAATTTTAATTTATTTCACTGAAATCGTTTAAATAAAATTTAGTTCTACAGATATTTACTGTAGTCTGTAGATGACTTTGTTAGCAACTTTAGTTTAGCTAGGTACTAATTTGCTGGAATCACTAAAATGATGAAAATTTATTCAATTTGATTTATTCTGTAAATGAAAAGAAGATGTCTTTGACTTCTTCTCGGATTTGGTTAATTTAGTTTGATTAATAAAATTAGGAAAATAATTTTGCTTATTAATTCTTCTCTAACTATCCATAAAATAGAAAATAATTTTAATTACTTTTTCTTTGTTGTAAAGTTTTCTTATTTAATCTCAATACTCGTACACATTCTAAAATTATTTCCAGGTTAAAAATAAAAATCAAGCTTCCCCCAACGACAAAACCATCGGCGCCTCCCCAGCCGTCGACCTCCGCCGCCGTCCCCGCCGCCAGCAGCGCCACGCACCATCTGGACGCCTTCCAGCGCTACCTGGCCGACCAGAATCAGCGTCAGCGCAGCCTGGCCAAGAAGCCGTCGACGGCCAGTCTGGCGTCCACCTCTAATGGTAAGGAGACCGTGCGCGCGACGGGATCACAGCGGTTGATGGAGGCGGCGGAGGGCCGCGGTGCACGGAAACGGAAGAGACGGGATGAAGGGCAGAGCGACGAGGAGGAGAGTGAGGAGGACGAGGAATCTGTCGTTTCCGATGGTCAGCATTCTGCTTGTGGAGATCTTGTCGGATTTTTTATGTGATTCTTGAGTTTCCGGTAGATTCGGATGCTTTAGCAACGGCCCCGCGTGCGCGTCCCCGGGGCAAGATAAAAGCCAGGGAGATGACGGTAGACGATGCCAATAATGCCGTTTATTTACAGCGGCTCAGGTAAATCGGCCTGTTGATTGCTTTCACACCGTAAATTAGATAAATAATATGCAGCAATGAAAATTAGTTTTCATTGTTAAATTGAACGTTTCGATTGGTCAGCTGTATCATTTATTACCTTTTTAAAATTGATAATTTTTGAAAATATTACCCAAAATAGCAATTTAGGTTTTACAATCCTTACATGTTTTTTAATTGAATTTTTTTGAAATAATGGTCGCATGTATTTCTTCATTTTGATTTGTAAGAAGCTGTTGGATGTTTATTTAATTTATCTTTGTGAATTTTTTTTTCGGAATGATATTTTCGAATCGGGAAATGGTTTCTATAATAATTTTTTTTTTAAAAATACATTTAATTTTTTTCTAGTGATTATCGCGAAGCGGAAGCCCAGCGCCGGCAGGACGCGCTGCAGTCCGACGACACCGACCCGACCGAGCGCGAGTACAGCCAGTTATCCGACGGTCTGCGCGTGCCCGCCCGCATCTGGAGCGAACTGTACCAGTACCAGAAGCGCGGCGTGAAGTGGCTGTGGGAGCTGCACAAGCAGCAGGTGGGCGGCATCCTCGGCGACGAGATGGGCCTGGGCAAGACCGTCCAGATCGTCGCCTTCCTCGCCGCCCTGCACTACTCCGCCCTCCGCGATAAACTCTTGGGGTGCGCAGCTGACGATTCCGTTTTAATTGAGCGGAAATGAACGATGGGTGTGTTGCAGTGTGGACGGACTGGGTCCGGTGCTGGTGGTGTGTCCGGCGACGGTGCTGCACCAGTGGGTGGAGGAATTCCATCGTTGGTGGCCGCCCATCCGGGTGGCGGTGCTGCACGCGTCCGGCTCGCATTCCGGATCGAAGGTGCGCATTTCTACCGATTTTTGGTTCTTTACGCGAGTCATTTCGGCGAAAATAACAGTTATCAGATGCGTTATGGGTCAGTTATATGAAATGAATTTTTAACCGTAAAATAAAACGAAAATATTTTTATAAAATCAATTTTTACAATTATTGTTAGATTTATATTAATCAGAATAATTTTATCTAATCAATAATAGTGAATAACAATGTATTTTGATACTGGTACTGTAGCACACTTTGATTCCCTTCGTAATGCTGCTTTTTCGCAGAAATCCCTGGTGGCCAGCATGTTCAGCGCCAAGGGCGTCCTGGTGACCACCTATCAAGGGGTGCTGGCCTACCAGGACATCCTCATCCGTCACAAATGGCACTACGTTGTCCTGGACGAAGGTACTGCACCGTATTGAGGGTCCATAGTAAATACGCGCCCGTTGCCCGTCCGGCAGTGTTCTGAATTTCTGATCGTTGTCAGCGCAGAGCATTTCCCACGTACATGTGCAATAGCGTAGTGCAACGGCATGCATGCTTCGGCGCCGGCACAGGTTAATTGGTATTTGGTGTGCCCTTAAGAAATGTGCAGAACGGTGTTCGGGTTTTCATGGTAGAAGTATTGAATTTTTCCATACGATGATGAAATTTATCTGTAATCTCAAATTTTTTTGGTTACTGATCATCTAAATTAGAATGGTATGATTCGAGGAAAAGAAATGGTGGCATTGCAATGATTGCATTAACTGAAGACAGTCAGCTTTCTTTTCGCTTTTTCCCTTTACAGAGGTGGCAGGAAATGACGTCTAGCGCTCTTCTGTGAAATCTTTCCGTCTGTGGTCGTTAACGTGTATTATGTGGGCTTATTTGTAGGCCATAAAATTCGCAATCCGGATAGCCAGATTACCGTCGCATGCAAACAGGTACGTTCTTGGCATTTTCCCCAGACGAATTTCTTTGCTGCACGTTGGATGGTCGTTGCAGTTCCGTACGCCGCACCGGCTGATCCTCTCCGGTTCCCCCATGCAGAATAATCTCCGTGAATTGTGGTCGCTCTTCGACTTCGTCTTTCCGGGCAAGCTGGGCCTGCTCAACGTCTTTCTCGAGCAGTTCAGCGTGCCCATCATCCAGGGCTCACGCGAGACCGCCTCCGATCTCCAGGTGGGCCTTTTTTACCGAGTTACTTTCTGTGCGACGTGCCGGTTAGTGTTTTATACATTATATATTATACATTTTCTTGTTTTGATAGATTATTGCATCTAATTAAATAAATGTCTACATTTCACTGCGTAAATTAGCTCAATTTTCTCTAGAATATTTTGTGTTATTTAATTCTTTCATAAAAATCGTGTAACTTTTACTGCAGTATATAAATCATTTAAATGTTAGATTACACGTTTTAATTACCTACGTGTGTAAGTTTGATGAAATGGAATATTTGAACTGTGTAATTTTCCTGTGGTCTTGCTTGTTTTAAGTTACTTACATAAATCTTATGGATTTTATAACTGTCCATAAAACCGGAAATTCTACATGGATTAATACAAATTTATAAATTTAATTTAAATAGATTGTTTTCGTGAATTATACGACATACATTTTGCACAGTTATTATGCATTTCTTTTTTCAATTATTATATGAAACTTAGAGCAGGTAAATTCAATCACACAAAGTTGAGAAATTCCCAAACGACTCGCCTGTTTTAATTTAACTATGAAATTAAATTTAATTTATTGCGTGAATTTTAATTTGCTGTAGAATTTGGATGCTTTTCATGATGCAATCCGCGTTTCCGCTTGTCCAGGTTCAAACGGCCTTCGTCTGCGCCACCTCCCTGAAAGACAGCATCAGCCCGTACCTGCTGCGTCGCAGCAAAGTCGACGTCAAAGCCAGCATCCAGCTCCCCTCCAAGAACGAGCAGGTCCTCTTCTGCCAACTGACCGAGCACCAGCGCGACTTGTACGAGCGCTACCTCAAGTCGGACGAACTGAAGAACATCATCCACGGCAGCGTGCAGATCTTCGTCGGCCTCATGCAGCTGCGCAAGCTCTGCAACCACCCGGATCTCCTGGACGGGGGGCCCAAGGTCTTCCTGGACCTGGCTACCCGCCAACCGATCCGGGACCCCGCCGGCACGGACCAGTTCGGGTTCTGGCGGCGGTCCGGGAAGATGGTGGTGGTGGAGGCGCTGCTGGCCATGTGGAAGCGGCAGGAGCATAAGGTGTTGTTGTTCTCGCAGAGCCGCAAGATGCTGGATATTCTGCAGACCTTTATGGACGATTCCGGGTACGCCGAGTAATTATAATCAGTACTTACTGTTAAGCGGTGATTAATCATTAAATTAAACGGTTTACATTTTATTTTTTTTTATCTAATTGAACCATAGAATTTAATAAATAGATTTGGTAAAGCAATTTTTTTAAATTTAATTTTTACTTAATTTCTTAAAAAGTTTTCTTAATTCAAACTATTTTTTCTAACTTCTTTCCGGTGAACTTTACTAATGAAATTTAATGATTTTAATTACTAGTGTTCTCTGCGCAGAAGTTTGGATTTGTACAAGTATTTTTCTCAGAATTCAGTAATAAATCCAACAGCGCTTCTTGCGTTTGAAGCCGCTGCACAAGGCGAAAAATAATTCTTGAACGAAAATAAAATTTGGTCCTAGATTTTCTTATTGGAGAAAATCACTGCATCAGCTACATTTTTGCGTTACTAATTTATGGCCAGACCAAATTTTGCTAATTTCCACAATTCGTAGTTTTATTTTAATAGGAGATAGTTTGCGAAGGAAAATATTGATGAGTGTTTTTGATGGGTTGAAATTTTATTTTTATTTGAAATCATTCGGTTTCCAGAGTTGATTGAAAATTATTCGAATTTCCTCCCTAGGTACACTTACCTGCGCATGGACGGCACCACAGCCATCGGGAAGCGCAAACACCTCATCGCGGAGTTCAACGACAACCCGGCGGTGTTCGTCTTCCTGCTGACCACCCGCGTGGGCGGTCTGGGCGTCAACCTGACCGGCGCGGACCGCGTGATCATCTTCGACCCCGACTGGAACCCCTCCACCGACACGCAGGCGCGCGAACGCGCCTGGCGCATCGGCCAGCAGCGCAGCGTCACCATCTACCGACTGCTGTGTGCCGGGACCATCGAGGAGAAGATCTACCACCGCCAGATCTTCAAGCAGTACCTGACGAATCGCGTGCTGAAGGATCCGCGCCAGAAGCGCTTCTTCAAGCACAACGATCTGTATGAGTTGTTCGCGCTGGCCGTGCCGGAGAAGGGCGAGGGCACGGAGACGGGGGCCAGTGTGGGTGTGGCCGAGGGGACGGGGAAAGATCAGGAGAAGGAGGGGAAGGATAAGTTGAAGGAGCTGGCCAGGAAGATCAGTCAGCAGATTGCTAGTGGGAAGAACTGCCGGGAGTTGGTTAAAAGCGCCGTGGAGGGTGCCGGTGGGGCTAGGTACGGTTCAACACTTTGAAATCACCTACGTTTTGATGTTATCTGTATTTTTTAACATTTCTTAATGGACTACGGTACGTATTGATGGTGTTCGTGAAGTTTGTTGAATCAGAGAAAATTTTGCGAATAAAACAATAATAAATTAAAGCTCCTATGAGCGAGGAAAATGAAGAAAACTGGAACTATAAATGTGTTGAAATATATTATTTAAATTTATTTCTGTACCAAGAATTTGTTAGCCTTTTCAGCAAACAATATTTCAAACTTTGCCTTTTCAAACTTTTATTAAGTACTGTGCCTTTTACCCCGCGAGTGGATAGAGATTTTGGTTGTTTTTTTAATGTTTAACTTTTAACTGTGAAGTAGTGTGCCCGCGCTTGCCCTTCGTGTTATTGTTGCCTATTAAAAGTGAGTTAGTATATTTCAAACTTTTCTGTACAATTTAATTATAATTAAAAAATTTAATGTAAGTCAAAAGCCACTGGAAGCGGGCAAAGGGAAGGTAAAAATGGAGATTTATTGTGTAATCATACTTTCCAACAGTAAGACATACAGGTGGTAGTAATTTGTTATGAGTGTTTTTTTCTGTGCGCGAAAGCATCTGAACCAAAATCAGGAATTAGTTTTTATATTGAATTTCATTTTGCATTTATTTCATTGAAAATCAATTTGATAACCGCCAAATCTGGAAAAAACTCGTCTGTAGAGCCAAAGTGGACGGGGTGGCGATCGCAGGAGTCAGTAAGAAAGAGACCTACCAGAGCCCGGTGGAGGACGAGGACAAGGACGGGAAGAAGGAGGAGTACATCCTGGGCCGTCTCCTGAAACGCACCACGGCCCACTCCGCCGTCTCCTTCGACGACATCGCCGCCGGCGGCCATCCCGACCGCGCCATCGTCGAGGCCGAAGCGCAGCGCGTCGCCCAGGAAGCCATGCGCCTCCTCAAACTCTCCCGGAAGCAGTGCCACACGGCGGTCAGCGGCATCCCCAACTGGGTGGGCGGGGCGTCGTCCCTCACCGCCTTCGACGCGCCGGACGACGAAGAATCCCCTCCCGCCACCGCCGGGCAGCTGTTATCCCACCTCCGACAGGTCGCGCCCGTGGAAGAGACCCCGCCGGCGGCGGACAACGGGCAGCCGTCGGAGGTGGCGCGGTTCGAGGAGATGCTAACGCGGGACGGCGGCGCGGCGTCCTTCGTGACGGCGGAGCAGTTGGGGTTGGCGGAACGGCTGGTGGGGTTCCTGAATCGGGAGGCGCTGGTCCCGGGGGAGGCCGGGACCGAGGAGATTGTCGGGCGGTTCCGCGGGGAGCTCCCGGCCGGGGAGGCGGTGCTGTTCCGCGCCGTGTTGAAGGGGGTGTGTACGTTCGAGAGAAGGAGGGGCGCCGCGGCGGCCTGGATCCTCCGACCCGAGTACCGCGATTATTCGTGATAAAATCATCATTTTATCCTATTTTAAACGTCCGGTTGGGTGTTTTTATCAATTTTACCCTGTTTTTCCGATTATTATTAAATTTTTTAATGGCCTGTTTGGTGGTCGATTTTTTCCTGTTTTTTTTCGGGCCCGTGGCAGATTTTTATGGATCTGGGATGTTGCGTTGGATACTCAGGTGAATGCGCAATAAAAAGGTTATTTATCATATTTTTCTTCTATTTTTGTCGTATACATTTTATTTATTTTATAATTTTTTCTGTTAATTGTTATTTAATTTTTGTTGTTTCATTTATTTGCGGAGTTTGTGCGTGAGGCGTGAAATGCGTTCGTGATGGCGATGAATGCCCGGAAAGGCCGACTGCCAGCGTGATGAATGATGCGCACAAATGACAATTAGTTATTAGCGCCGTTAACGATGCGCAGTGTCCCGCATAAACGAGCATAAGCCGGCCGCTGTCAATCCGCTAAATGCGCTAAATGACGGCCCGCATTATTGGTTTACCGGTTGTTGTTTCCGCTGCGCATTTTTCTCATATCTTCGGCACGCACTTCCACCTTTGCACACCTGTCCTGCTTAAAGAAAATTCCCGGTATTTTGAGCAACCACGTTGTTTATTAGTACTGCAAAAAAGCGGTCTTGGTCGATAGTTGATGAGCGCAATTAAGGGGGACTAATTTATAATAATTACATAAAAGTCCTTCACTTTCAGTTAAACCACTAATTGTATGACAACAGTTATGCCATAAGTGAAAGTGCTGTCAAGTAGTATATTTTTTACTTTATCGCATCCACTAAAACAAAATTTAAAACCATGTATTTTAAACTTTAAAATTTAAAAAGTAGAAAAACACATTTTAATATACTTCATAATAATTTAATATACTTAATAATCAGGCTTTGTATTCAGGTACAATATTAGGACTGCGCTGTATTTATGACTTCATTAATTTTAATTTTATAGCTCCAAAGGTATCCTGAACCACGGTACAAATTAACATTTTCTATTATGTTGTATTCAGTTTCGATTGCATTTCTTAAAGTTTAAAACACTTTCCTGGTATAACTGTTAGTGCTATCTGGCGTAATCTGGGACATAATTATCAACAGAAATTAGTCTTATATCTCAAGCGCAGAAAAACAAACATTTTGGCAAACTTACGTGTATTATTATAATTTCAAACATCATTTCCAAAAGCTTTATGTACATCATTTTGTTCGTGCAATCGTTATTTAGATCACTGGTCAGACTGGTCGGCAGAACAAAAGGCTGATGAGCAGGTGTGCCTGACTGTTTAGTGCATGCTCTGTCCGAGTTGATCAACTCACTGGACTTCGTTGAAGGGTGCTGCGGTCAGTTTGGCTTGACCGCCAGCCGCCCAATAATACCACCGCTCGTGTGACTGCCCGACAGGAAACAGACAGACGATCAATCGCGCGCTGTTAATTTATCAGCTGCGCCAGTTCAAAATTTTTATGACAGGCTTCGCAAAAAAATGCATAAGAATTGAACGACTTATCCGATCTCCGATATCTAACTTGTTTCAGATAGAGGAATGTTTGTTGTATAAGGACACACTCAGGTTAGAAAATGGGTGATTTATGAAATCGAAGACCTGCTTTATATATAAATTAGTCCCCCTTAAACGCCGGCTTCTGCGGCAGCAAAAAAACTCCGCGGTTGCTTGGTATTCTTTACACGGAGCCAATCCAATAACGATGATAAGACGCGCGTAAACGACACGACGCGCAATCGATGACAATTAGCCGGGAATTGGTGCAACTTCCTTTTCTAACCCGGCATGTCTTAGCTTCCTGTACGCCAGCGAATTAGCGAGCCGCGCCGTGAAGGGGCTGATTGCATTAGCCGTCGCTTGCTTGCTTATGAAAATGACTCCGACCTGGTATACTTCTCTCCCGGCTGATGGGCGCCGCTTAAGGAGTAAGGACAGCCTCCGCGCCGGGCCCGCTTAAATGCCAGTCAAGCACGAATTGCCATTTCTTCCCCGACATAATCCCCGCCACGCCAGATTAACCCGACCCAATGTGATTAGCTCGCATATACATACGTACATACACTACACTTTTTAATGCGAATGTACAACGCGTACGCAGCGTTTCCGGCCGCAACTGTCTTCCGGCCGCAATCCGCCACTTGCCAGCTGCATTGTGTCGCCTCGTCCTTCTCCCCTCTCCACAATCGCCTGGTTTCTATTCGGTGCAACGGCGTGTATGGATGATATTAGTGCTGCGCACATCGTCCTCACATTTATCTTCATTATGCCGCATATTTCCCCGCTATAACCCTCATCTTTTTCCATATAGCTTCACTAAGCCGCCAATCACACGGGATTTCCGGTGAGGGATACCAGGCCGACTTTCCCCATATTTCTTGGAATTTTTCATCTCCAATGTTGGATGTAGAAAATACAGTGCCTTTGTGCCTAAAAAAAGGAGATTTTCCTTTTAACGCATATACCGGCAAACACGCGCTTCTCTGTTCAAACCCAGTCGTGACGATTTATACGCGTTAGACGTGTTCCTGTTGTCCACTGTTTGTTGATTTTATTATTCAGTTTTTGAACCGCGAACCGACTGACCGATCTCCACTTTTTTGGCTCCACCTTTTCGGGCAAAAAAACTAGGTGCTTCGTTTTAACGCATACTGCGTAAACTAACGCTTGTCTGTTCGAAACCGGTGCTGGCGATTTATGCGCATTGGATCACGTGTTTATATTGCCCCGCTGTTTGTTGATGTTATTATTCGAATTTTGAACCACAGACCGGCTAAATAACATCCAGATTTTATTAAGCAATAATTTTGTGTTGCGATTCCGACGGTATATACCGGAATAATTACGTTAGTCGATCGCGACGATGCCGTACATTATAATCAGTGCCAGCGTGACCTCGGACTACTTCACCTCCACCGGGCCCACGGTGGTGGGGGACGCCGGGTCGGACGGATCCCTGATGCAGTACCTGCGCGCCCAGCGCAGCCCTTTCGGCACCTGGGACTGCCCGGAGGGACCCCGTTGGGTGCTGGACAAGCTGGAGGCCAAGGGCTACCGCGTGGCGGCCATGTCCTCCGTCACCAAGACCAACAGCAACCGCATTACCAGCTTCTGGACGCTGCAGGGACCCGCGCTGACCAGCAGCGCCAACGCCAACCAGTCCTCCAACAGCACGCCGCGTTAGGCCAGATCTTTTCCCATTTTTCCGTTCTGATCGTGATTCGGGTATTAACCAGTTGGTTGTACTTCCCATACCAACGGAAATTTGCGTACACCACTTCGAACGATCGTGTCGTTTTCACATATAATTAGATTTTTTTGTGTTGACGGAATTAAGCCGAAGGTAGCGTACGGTCCATTGGACGGGCCGGACACGGTGTGTGGCTGCATGATAGGTCCCGGTTGGAGAGACCAGTGTTTTTGTGTCGAATTTATGCGGGTTTATGGTCATGAATATTATGTGAATCAGTGCATGGCGCGGGCTGAGCCTGATGGATTACAGTTTACGCTGTTATGCAGCGGCAATAAACGATTCCCTCGTTTATGCTATAATGGCTTGTATAAACAGGATGATATTGCATATGAATGGCTAATGGGGTCCCTGCCGCTATCGATTGAGGGAAGCGGACCCGGCGAGCGGAAGTTGAGTGCAGGATAATACATATCCGCATGCATAATTGCCTATGAATACATGCCGAGTATCTGTACACGGCAAACCACGATGCCGGTTCGCAGCTGGATAAATAAGCGCTGTATACGTCGGTTTTTCCCAACCACCGATCACGTGCGCTATATAATCTGAACAATTCACTTATGCATTCCAATTCCCTGATGGTAAAAAAAAATTCAGAATAATTTCTCATTTTGAATATCAGAAATTCTGATCGTTATTCTGGTATTACCCAGTTTGTTGTACTTCCGATAGCAACGGAATTTGCGTACACCACTTCGAACATTCGTGTGGTTCTCACCGTTTCGCTGACATTTGGCAGCTTGCTCACTATAAAAAATCGCTGCAAATTGATCAGGTCCAATAACAGTTTTTCTTAGATGGATTTTTGTTTTCTGTATGAGATTATTATTTTTGATCGGCACATTTATGTCTAAAGGTCAACTATAAAGTTAGGGCTCAATAAAAAAATATTCAGAAAATTTTCTACCATCAGGAAATCTGAATTCGTGAATGATCAGCTGTTCAGAATATATAGCGAAAGTGATCGGTTGTTAAAATCTGAAGTACAGTATAGAGAAAAGCAGCAGTTAGCGTTGTTCCGGCCGTGTGCATGCCTCCCCTGGGGCGCTCATTTCCCGGGCGCAGATTCAATTTTGCCGGCTACTGACACTACCTAGTTAGAGGCAAGTCAATTTGTCATGCCTGTGTGCTGTGTCAGCCTGTGCTGTATCCTGGGTGCACGGGACAAAAAACCTAACCGAATTACCGCTAAGTCAATACGCAGCGCCGCTCTTCCAGCGCTGTGCCGCTGTCGATATAGAAGGATACATTTCACGGCGGCCAGCCTGCTGGGTTGATTGAAAACATCCCGTTGATGGCGTATAAATCCTGACAAACAAATTGCACGGCATGATACACACTGGCAATTTTGTTAACAAACACCCGACTGCAAACATACTGGCCACACTGCAGCGTTGGTCAATTTCCAGGCTGATTTCGCTAAATCACCCGGTCACGTGGACGTAATGTGCTTTATTTATTCGCAGCGAATGCCGATGCAGAAAAACTGTAGAAATTCATTCTCTGGTGTTTATGTTTTCTTTACAGTATTTGCAGTAGTCCAATCTGTTACAGCATCAACGGTGGTCGTCGGTGGACCAAATATGGAGAATCGTAGTGTAAAGGCATTGCTTGCACGCACATCAGCTGCGCTGAACCAGTAACATGGTGATAAATTCGTTAGATATATATATTAGATATATATATATAAATTTCGTTAGATATATAAATTTAAACAACTGTTTATTATTTTAATTTTTCATGCATGATAGGTACCGGAAAAACAAGAAGTGCAAGCGCGCTGACATTAATCCCGAATACGAAATCATGCAAAAGCTAATTAGCTAAAAATAAGTTTTGTATTTATAAAAGTCGTGGCTTTACCGGTTAATTTTTTTGTACAGTGTCGCAACTCGCAGGTAAATTAGTGTTGGGTCGGCCCGGCCCGGCCCGGCCCGAGCAAGAGTGCCGGGCCATCGTTTCCACGGCCGGGCTGCGGCCCGACAGGTCCCCTGGCCGCGGCCCGGGCCGTCTTGCAGCACAGTAATATTTCCTTCCCGGATGTCATTACGCAAGCGGCTACAGCGGGTATGTCAACGGAAAAATAGACGGATTTTCGCCTAGAAACGTTTAATGCTATGAAAATTAAGAAAAACGCATCGAAAACTACTAAATTGTTTGTTTTTCTACGTCTTTTTCCATATTTAACGTTTACAGCGGGCCACGGCCCGGGCCGCGGCCCGGCGCGGCCCTCCCAAAAGGGCCGGGCCGAGGTCGGCCCGGGCCGTTCGGGCCGCTGCCCTGGGCCGGGCCGGCCCAACACTAAGGTAAATAACGTTCATCATCTTGCAAAAAATTGCAGTAATATAATACTAACGTTATCCCACCGTGTGTAACCTTGCCGGGCGAAATGGTCCGTTGGTTCAGCCATATACTAACTACGCATGAGGATTGAGACGCGTAAAATTAATTTCCAGCTGCGTGAGCGGTAAACACATCACTGCCTGTGATGGTAAATAAAAGCGGTCAACATTAACATAAAGGGAAAAACGTCATGGTTTTATAATTATTTGATACAAACTACCCAGTACTGCGTAATATTAATTTGTCCGAGCATTCATTAGTGTTCTGCCATGACCTTTCGGCTGCCGAGCACCGCGCAGCTAACGGCATTAACTGTGGTAGAAAACGTCGAACTAAAAACGACAGCCTGGAATTAGCCGCGCTATGTTGTTCCCTTTTTGCACTGGTCCCTCGCTCTCCTCGTAATGGAGATTATAATGTACTGCGCATTCCACAACACGCATTTGCACGGTTGAATGTTGACGACTGCAAGAAATTATTAATTAAAAGTTTATAAAATTAATATCGTTTAGTCATGCGCGATCGAGGGAGCTGTGGTCAACGCTGACTTCTTCAAAACACTTTAATGGCAGATCTTATTGCTGCTTAAGGTACAGTAGTTTCTTACAGTGCATTAAACGACAATGCTCCTGATCACGTTCGGCTGCAGCCTTTGAATGCACTACGCAGGTGAACGCATGAATGCATGATAACGAAAGGTGCGCACAATGTAGATTGGTTCATGTAATTTGATTACTGTACTTTAAACTCGTTCAAAAACTACATAGCATAGACACTGTACAGGCTTCCGTTTCTGTTGCTGACTGTAACCTTTCTAAATCCTGTTAACCGAAGTCAGAGGGCGACGGTAATCCGGGTCATGATTAGCAACGTCCTGAGACATCTATCGTTTCCGTAAATATGTAATTAATTTCCGCCTTCTTGAAACAGCGCATTAGTCTAGCGATAATGAAGGGAAACGCTGCCGCAGCTTTCGGCACTTTGCCGGGCAGCAGTAAATTTGAGGAAGGGAATGATTTTGATTGTTTTTGGACTTTGTAACCGTAGTATGTAATCATTGTTGTTGAACACGAAGGAAACCAATTAAACATCATATACACCATTTATGGGTGCGCGACTTGTACAACGACAAATCCGGTTCATTTTTTAAGGATAGTTTTCAGACATTGAGTTCCACAGTAAAACGCAAAATCCTGTTCATTATGTTGTGAAGGATATGTTTATCAAGTACCACATACACTTCGTTTTACAGTAATCCCATTCTATTTGCCGTGATGGCGTTGCATATACTGAACTCAGCTCCATGCATATGGCTTTTCATGGCGTCTTGCCAGTCTCTTGGATATCACATCGCGATTAAATAAGTCCCAAATGCATCGACTGACCATTAGGCTGATGAAAAACGCATCAGACCTCAATTACAGTTAATCCATAAAACCAATAGCTTTCTCAGTAAAAACCGCTGCTTTATGTTGACGCAGGATTTGTACGGCTTAACGGTGCCGCCGTTAAAGTACAAAAGGTCACAAACTTTTGACCAATACTGCTTTAAAGAACCAATATCACTGAGCGTAAAAAAACGAAGATTTTACACAAATTAACAGCAATGCGGAGCACACGTCAGCCGTTTCACATAGACATACTCCATCAGCGCCGAGTGCTTCTTAATCATAAAACTGAACGGCAACTCCAGCAGCACCACCACGGCCAACAAATACCAGCTCAACCGCAAGAAAAAGGGCCGCTCCCGCCCCGGCTGACTGGCCAGGACCGCCGGCACGAACCCGGGCACCATAAACGCCTCGCTGAGATCGTAGCTGCAGTCGCGGTACTTGTTCGCGTCGACAAAATACTGCTTCTGCATGGCGTACGCCGAAATGGTCGCCTCGTCGGCCAGCTCGTAGTGCTTGCGGAAGCGGACGCGGGTGTGGTCGGCCGCTTGGAGGCGCTCCAGCTGGTGCGGCGCACTGACGTCCGCCCAGTGCGTGTACTCGAAGGCTTGGTGGCCGCGCCACGTCACGCACTTCTCCTCGTAGGTCTCCGTGCGGGTGCGCCGGTCGTCGCCGCTGCCCTCCTCCACGGTGCGGGTGCGCGTCTCCATGTGGTAGCACTCCATGATCCACACGATGGCCGGCGGGGCTACAATAACGGTGACCTTTACACTTCAGTTCCAGACTAATTTAACACAACGGAATAAATCGTGCCGATAATACAGAATACGAGTACGAGGACAATTGGGTGCTCTGAACATACCCTCCCGATTAGGGTGCGATGAGCACCCGGGAACTAACTTTACAGAAAATTTTACTTTAAAAAAATGTTATACTCAAGTACTCTAACCGTCTATTTCGACAAATTACGGCCCAAAAAAAAGTTATCGTATCTTCTAACTACATTTTAGAAGATCATAGTGCTTCACAATTCTAAGTCACAGAATAAACATTACTACAAATCTAGAATAGAACATAACACGATATTGGAAATTGATAAATAAATGTGTACGAGTACTCGTACTGGTTGTTGTGCACTTTAAACTTGGATTAAATTTTAGAATTCTGACCGTGATGCCAGTAGCGTTGCGAGCTGCTGACTAGTCGGATGTTCATTGCAACCTAATTGTGAATGGTATTCACAGCACCCAAATGTCCTCGTACATTAAATCAGAACGGCGGATACCGTGCAACTACTGTAGAGTGTTGTTTTTCCAGTGTTTAAATTTTCTTGAATGTCATTGACGAAAATCAGAGGTAGTTTTGCTAGACCAGTGTATTTCCGCTAAACAGATAATCAGCGATTAAATTTACTGCAAGGATATGTTAATAACAAGTAAAAAAATCTAAAACTGGCAGATTCGCAAGGTTTATGGTTATTCGCGTGTTTAAATTGTCTAATTTAAGTTTTAAGAACTCATATTCTTTATGAATTTCATAATACACACTGGCAATAAAGATAAAAATTAATCAAGTTCGCCGATAAGCAAAACAAGTAGAAGCTATATAAAGCCAGAAATTTAGAACATAATTTCCTTTATGCCGCACCGACAAGCCATCTGACCAACAAGGCCAAACAGACGTCCATTTCGGCTACACAATAAAACCGGTTTTTTTCAGTCTTAACTTCGACAACCGGTTATATACAGATGCGCTTTAAATTCGATCCTGTAAAGTCGAACTGACGTAGTTACGCTCGTACGCTTTGTATGGACGCTGATCATAAATCACCGAGTAGCGAGTTGAGCGTAATTCCGAAATAGAAAAATGTCCTAAATTATATTTACCGGTCGCGCTGTCAGCGAATCTTACCGGCTCGCACAGCATCGACATGGTAGTGGATATTGGCCGCTTCATTAGGGTTGCTGAGGAACTTGTAATTCGATCCCCAGCAGAACACGTCCAGCAGGTAGATGAAGTAGCCCAACCCGAAGAGCACGCCCCCGGCCACCAGCCCCCACGTGACGGACGCCACCCCGCCAATAACGAGCAGGACGATGCCGGCCACAATCGCCAAGAGCAGGAACATGCGGGCGTAGGTGGAACCGGCGCTGAACATTTCCGAACAGGCGGAGTGCGAGGAGGCGCCCGCTTCCGGGAACGTGGCGGCCTGTTGGCTGGCCTTGATGCTCTGCATCACTTCCTCGTAGGAGGGAGGGGGCAGCGGACTGCCCTCGAAGGGCGGGGCGCTCGGCGTGGCGAAACCGCTGATCTTCGTATCCATCGTAAGTATTTTCAGTTAGTGGATTTAATTCGATGCCTCCGCCGATTAAGAATTTTCCAGTCTGTTTTCCGTCGCGTAAAATGAACGCTCGAGTAAGAAATGCAGCAAAGGAGAAGTACTCACACGCTTATCTATAATTCAACAGAGACAGTTAAGGATTAAGGGAGATACGCTTGACGGTTGAGAAATAGAGGGATAAGTGTCTCCGATACGATAAACGGATTGTTCAGATATAATACCAGAATTCTACAGTAATCACTCAAATTATAATGAACGGTACACGCTTGCTGGATGTGCGAAATTTTCCGCAGTCTGACATGTCTGACAACATACGCTATAAATAAAGCACACCGGTGCGCTTACAGATAGTAGTACCAGCAATGCAGCGCATGTGCTATCTGATAGCTGTTACAATTCCACCCTTTGACCCTTGTGTCTACAAGTCTACAACGGTTCGTCGGCCCCGACCGAATGATGCATCATAAGTTATATACATAAACACAGACCGACTGTGTCCGGCATTGGCGCGATACCGGCAGCCGGTGGTGTTAGAAACGGATTCCGGACAACTTAGTTATATGAATACTAAACATCTCTAGCAGGTGTTCGGCCTCTCTTCATTGTCCCGGGTGATCTCATCTCCTGATAAACCGATTTTCATGCTTTAAAATATTCTAGAATCCTTTCAGGGCGGTGGATGTTGTGAGACTAATGACCTTTTGCTGTTTTAAGAATTCTCAGGCCGGTGGTCACTCAAAAGCTTGTTACCATCGATGCCATAGGGCTAACATGAGCTGGCCTGTTACCACGGGCACGTTCTACTGCACTTGCACAAGAAACAGTTTGGCTTCGCCTCTGTATTTCTTGTGGTTACCCGACGGAAACCGCGCTTATTTCAATCAATTCATAATTTGATATTGGAGATTTTGATAAGATCTGAAAGGAAGTCGAAAAGCACATTACCGTTTTCTTTTATTTCACTTGATCACTGTCGCACCCTGCGGCCCAATGCTCTGAGCTGTATCAAGGTTCGGTCAATCTCTCGCATAATTACTGTATAGCAGCCCAATTCACTAAACAGTAATACTACGACGTAATTCTACGACTTCCGTAATTCTACGACTTCGAGTAACAGAAAGCCCTAACTCACTTATTTACAGTGCCTAGTCGTAAGCCAATATTCATCCGTGCTCAGCTTGTACCTGCTCATACGTAAGCATTAATACAAATGCGTGTGCTGCATATTGCGTAGACAGGCTTATGAATCATGTGTGCCCAGTGGGCGGAGATCTTAATCATATAAATCATAATGATATCAGCTATCGATATCTCTTACCTAAAATTAAATATAATACTATGTTGGTGAACTTGGGCTACTTAGCGAATAACCCAGAAAAATCAAATATCAAATATGCAACTACGAACATGTTAACCAACACCGGCACGTTCGGCAAAGTGTATCTGTATTCTGTAGTCTGTACAATGTACATACATTTTAAATCAACTGAAAAGCCATCAGAATTCAGGGAGGAACAAGGGCAAGAGCAAGAATGATTTCAGAACATTCAGGCATATTCAGAACATCGATAATTCTACATATTATGTTAGAAGTTAGAACTGGTCAATTGGTACAAGCACCCATTCGGATGTTTCCGGTTCAACTAGCACCAAGGAGATGCAAACCTTCACAACAAATCTCATTGGTACGGCTGGTCGGGCTAGGATTGTGATTCATAACGGCATATCGCAGGCTTATCATTGATCATTCTGCCTTTTTAACTGGTCAACGAAGAGATACGGCACGTTTTCCGCATTACAGCTTCAGCAGCCAAAACATACACATCTGGAAAAAACAGATTTTGCAGTGTGAGCCAACGCACAAATTTCACTTATTTATGAGCATACGTCGTATCCAGACATACAGAAACAAACTGCGCCAAAAATGAGCCGTTGAACGGTTATTCGGTTGCTTACCGACATAGTAAGTTATATTTGTGCTTTAAATTTTCGCTCTAACGGCTATTTACCGAACCGGTCATGTCGGCTAGTAACGGTGAATATTTCATTGACCCTTCTGGAAGTACGACGCTGCTGGCTGATACGGCCCCTCCGATCGCGGTGCAGCCTTTAATTATTCGGAGATTGTTGCCCGCCACCGTCACTTCCCATCCCGTTCGTGGCGCTGAATCCGACGAAAAACCCCCAAAGCGCCCTTATTTCCGGTGGGATGCGTTCGACGAAAACGTCTTACTGGAATGGCTGGAAGAAAACTACGAGCGTTGGAGAAGCGCTGCCGTTATGGCGGGCAGACCACACCGGAAAACGATGCACGGGCAGACCAAAACGGGGATGGCGAGGGAATTTCGCCAACATCTCCTGGCCAAAGGCAGTGCGCACCATAGACCGGTCAACAATATTCGGGAGAAGATTGGCAATCTGGAGAAATCGTACCGTCAAGCGGAAGACTTGCTGAGGAATACCGGCGATCCAAAGACAACGCGCACCGAAAAGCTGAATAGTCTGGTTTTAAAAAGTAAGAATAAGTAGAATACAAATTAGGTTATAATTATAAAGACATGAGCCAATTATCTGTATTTTTAGTGTTATTACGCGTATAGTCTAGAATTATCAGAAAGCCGTTGTTTATTGTACAGGCATTAGCGTATTGAATTGTTGATAAATGTGTGAGTTAAATAATTCATAAAATGATTTTACTGTACTTGGCAGATAATATGCTTTTCGTGTCTCTATTAATTTCCAGATGAAATATGCTTGTCTGATGCTTAAACAAATTTAAAAATAAGGCTTTTCAGGACTTAAACAGTGATAATTGTCAAAGCACGACATACACTACTCTGTTTTCAGCTTCGATCTTGAAGAAGTGCAGGCATTTCGTTCGGTTGGAAAAACTGATGGGAAGACGGTCCTATAATCAAGCAGCACGTGGCGAGGCCTTGGCAATGCCTGATGTCGGTAGCACAGCAGCGCAGATATTGCCGCAGGATTCTGTCGGCGGTAAAGCAGCAGGAGCAGCCGCAATAACAAAGGTCACCCGCGACGAAAAGGGGCTGACGAAAAACGTGCGCAACCCGCGAGAAAACCGCTCCGCCTTTGCTGACGATGAATTGAAGGGAGTCGATAAAGGGGACGGAACGGAAAAGGAGGAAAGCGATAGTGAGGAGGCCGAAGATGAACAGGAGTTGGAGATGGATCCGCAGACTGCCCACTGGATACTGCAGCTACTCGCACAGAAGGAACAGTTCTACCAGAAGAAAATGGCGATGCAGAAGGAATTTTGGGATAAGCAGCTGGCACTGCGACGAGAAGAGCTTCGTGTGCGAACACTGGAGGCGGAAAATCAGCGGATAATTGCCGAAAGTCAGCGGGCGGAAATCGAAAAGTACCGCAACTTCCTCCAACACAAGATGATGGCACTGGTCAGCAACAACATGGCACTTAGTGACCAGTCGCCGAAGTAGCCTCTTTTGCGTGCAGAAATACAGCGAAATCTACGGACTATTTTGGACATTCCTTGAATATTGTTAATGTCTTAATGCTAATTAACGACTGCAGCTATTATTGTTGTTGTCTGTTTGTTTTTAGTGGGGTGTATTGTACTAATATTTACGCGGGAAATAACGAAATTTTATGCAGCGTTTATCGCCTTCAGCCTTGTACTGCAATTGGCAGCGTCGCAACGCACGTACGTATACGTACAAATGAGTGCTATTAATTGCAAGGACCGCATTTGATAACTCCCTCTTCCATGTTCAGCAACAGTACAAATATCATAATTTTATACATTTCTACGACTACAAGTAATTTCAAGCCGTCCTCGATAGGTTTTATGTGTATTACTGGTACGAGTACATGAAGAATCTGCTTCAGCGCATCTGGAAAAAACTACGCTACATCGTACATGGTAAAATATTAAGAGTATAATTATACGAGTATATAGCATTGAGTACTAATCTTCCGTAATCGACTATTTGACAGCATATTTAAAAAATAACTGACATATCGTAGAGCAAGGGCGTACAATGATAATTTTCAGGTAGATGCTCTTCCATACAGTCCCTTTCGTTTGACTTTTCGTTATACGTAAAATCGCTTTATATTTTATAATAAGTTATTTTTCTGTATTTTGATATGTACCGGTATTTGCATATATCTAGCACCTACTGCAGAGTAGGTGCTAGATGCATATAACATCAACATATGCATACACCGACACCGTATGCATATGTTTATGTAACTTATTATAATTTTAATCTCTCAATATGTATACAACGAGCTTCGCTCAACGATACCAATCAGATGAAGAATTTATCCCAGTTAACATGTAACTTATATGTAACGACGATGTCCGAATCGGTGTCGCACTGCGGTTTGGATTGCCAGTGGTAGTGGCGCACAACTGTATTGCATGCGGTAAGCAAGTGGAAACTAACGGACACCACGGGTTATCCTGCAATAACAACCAAAGGACGATGGGCGACCAGGAAATTAACAGTATTGCTAAGGATTGTTGTGAAAGTGCCGGTTTTCCCTGTCAACTGGAACCGACCGGCTTATCGAGTAAGGACGGAAAAAGGCCCGACGGGATTACGCTGATTCCAGTCCGCCAAGGGAAACCACTGGTGTGGGACGTAACCAGTTGGTGCACGGTCGCAGGCTCTCATGTCACCGGCAGCTCGAGGAAAACTGGATACGTGGCTCAGCTCGCAGAAAATGCCAAGCGCCGGACATATTCGTTTGTGGAAAATGGAAATTTTCTTTATCCTTTAGTGATTGAGACGTTGGGAGTATTTGGCCCCGCTTTCAGTGAACTGTTGCATTTCATGGGCCGGAAAATTCGAGACTTAACTGGAGAAGCGCGCTCTACTGCTTTCATTAAGCAGCGCTTTAGTCTTGCCGTTGTAAAAGGAAATGCTACGGCTGTTTTGAGCACGTTACCTTTTAACCCAAGAGAAGATAGAGATTTTGGTTGTTTTTTTAATGTTTAAGTTTTAACTATTAAGTAGTGTACCGGCGCTTGCAGTCATTGTTATCGTGGTGGCTATTGCCTATTAAATCATATGTAACTTATATTAAGTCCACTTAATAAAATTATTTCGCAATAAAGTGCTGGGATTTGATTATTTTCTTACAGGACATTTACGATACTTCATGAAAAGATATAATCTCAGTTCAACTGTCAAAATATAATGTATTTAATTAACTGGTTAAACCATGCTTTTGTACGATGTATAGAAACATATGGAAACGCTTCCCGAGCGAACGCACTCGCTTCTCGCTTTGTAACAGCACATATCGTATTATTTATATCTAAAAACTTGATAAACAAAATATTCTCTCGTAACAAAATGAGTTCCATATAATCAGGCAAGCTCAGAAAATCAAGATTAACAACCTTGATTAGCAAAGTACCGAAAAAACGTAGGAAAAACTGGCATATACCGCCGCATTATGATTAAACAGTGAGCCGCTTAACGTACACGTACTCCATCAACACCGAGCGTTTCTTGATCATATAACTGAAGGGGAGCTCCAACAGGAACACCGCGGCGAACAGGTACCAGCGCAGCCTCAGGAACAGCGGCCGCTCCCCGCTCTTACTCGCCAACGTCGCCGGCACGAATCCCGGGAGCATGAAGGCCTCAATCAACTCGTAATTAACGTCCCGGTGCTTATTGGCCTCCACGAAGTGGTCCCGCTGCCCGGCGAACGCCGTCATCGTCACCTGGTCGCTCAGCTCATACCGCTTAACAAACCGCACCCGGGTGTGGTCGGCTTCTTGGAGGCGCTCGGCCTGCCGGGGATCCGACACATCGTTCCAGTACGCAAACTGGAAGGCGAGTTGACCCGACCAGGTGGGTACCCGCACCGAGTACGTCTCGATGCGGGAGGTGCGGTTCCGCCCACTCCCCGAGTACACGGTGCGGGTGCGCATCTCCATGTGGTAGCACTCCATAATCCAGACGATGGCGGGGGCGGCGGCCCGCACCGTCTGGATGTGCCGGTCGATGTCGGCCACCGGAGATTTGTGGCTGAGGAACTGGAAGTTAGAGCCCCAGACTACCACGTCGATCCAGTAGATGAGGTAGCCGACGCCGAAGAGCAGGCCGCCCAGGACCACCTGTACGACGCCGCCGGTGGCGCCCCCGTAGATGAGGAGGACCAGGCCGATGAGGTTGACGATGAGGAGAGTCAGGCGGGCGTAGGTGGAGGCCGAGGAGAAGAGCTCCCTGGCTGGGGGAGGGGGCCGGCGCGGCCTCCGGGAAGTGGAAGGCCTCCTGGCCCTCCTTGAGGCTCTGCATCACCTCCTCGTAGGAGGGGGGTGGTGGGGAGACGCCCTCGTAGGCCGGGGGAGGATCCGGGGCGCTGGCGATTTCGCTCATTTTGGCGTCCATGGAGAAATCAAGAGCCTGGCGCTGCGGATCAGTTGGCTATTTAGCAGGCTAGAGTCTCGTTCGTTAAATCGGAATTACGACGAATTACCGTGTTCGGCCGGGATATTTTACAACGCCTCTGAGATAATCAGTATCATAATTCCAACAAAAATATTAATGAGCGTAGAGCATTGGTTTTGGTGGGTGCGATGAAGGTATTAGTCACCATGAAATAAACGTTCGAGATTATTTTGCATTTTGCGTGGTAAAAGGCTTGATAAACGGGTTACCGCGAATATGAACGATCATTCCTTATACGATGAGAATCGGCCAGGTTTCCATAGAATACTGGTTAACGTAGGCACTTGGGATGCATTATCCAAAAACCCGAGCTTATCCAACATTCTCGGGAAAGAGAGATTTTAAAAAGCTAGCTGGGCTATAATATCAGATTAGCACAATTTAACGTCGTACACTTGAAATTTCTCATGCGCACAGCATGCCGATGATCGATCGGTTTACTTACATGTCTGTCTGGCAGTCAAGTCAAACAGATGTTCGCCCGTATCTGTACATCACTACATCTGAATAATCCGTACTCCGTACCAACGGCAAGGTCGGTAACGTACAACATGTAAGCCGGTTTAGCTGTGCATATTTTTACCCGTACAGCGGTGTGCGTTATACGACGAAAAGCATGTAGCGTGTTATGGGACTACAACTTCCGATTGCCGGTACATTTATGCGGCGTCAAGACCGACAAACCCAAGCATACGCTGAACATGCGCCATGCATTTGCAGACGATGCTACGCAATAATGCTCTATTTCGCGACTGTTAGTGTGTGCAGTACCGGTTCTGTTGAATACAACTGCAGGTACTCTACATGGGAAAAAAACATCAGCAATTTCTTTCACATTGACAAAAGACCAGTAGTTTATGCACGAGTAAACTGTTCGGTAGTCGGATAATTTTACTACATCTAAATGGAATGTATTACCAATAAGAGATAGGGACAAAATTAAAACCGTATAACGGACTTGTATACATTTGCACCAGACATGTTCTGGATCTACCTCTACCTAAGGGAAATGGCCCGGTACAAACGTCAAAATGGGATACCTACACTAGAATTTTTGCTTTGGCGCACTCCCAATCAATTTTCTGTAACACCTTATATCATTCTAAAGCTAAATGATTTATAGACAATATACATATTTCATTTGACTTTAGAATGATATAAAGTATTATAAAAAGTGATTCGGAGTGCGGGAAAGCGAAAGTTTTAGTGTATGTATGACGTATCCCATTTTTGACACCATGTACCGGGTCATTTCCCTTAAGTAGGCAAGCAGCGTGCAAGTACAGTATTTCGGTTTGTAACTGTTTTTTTATTTCCTTTCGATAGCAATAGGATGTTTTTCGATCATTATATTTATTACAACGTAATTGTTGCAAATGTATAGCTCGCGCTGTGCACGTGGTAATTTAATTGAACATTGATTTTGTTGTACATGTACACGTAAATGCGGTGTGTACATTGTACGAGTACATATGCATATACTGCAGCACTGAACAATCACATACTAATTACTAGGGTAGTCTTTTTGGCACGGCACCTTGTGAACTATCAACTTTTTGGCAAGGCACCTTGTGAAGTATCAAACAAAAAACGAAGGATTACTGATTCCAATATATTGTAAAACAGCCAGCCAGCTGCTTTTTAGTACAACTCAGAGCACGGTACTTGACTGCGTACTTTAAAAACTTAATAAAGAAAAATCAAACACTTTGCAATTTCTCGCATTCCGGACACTTACACGATGTGGATTCGAGTCCGGTAGGCGAGGCGACACTGTATACTCTGAGTTGTCCAACATTAAAAACCTTGATAAAGTTTTCTCAACCTCGTGTATAAGCTTCATTCATGCTTGTGTAAAAGCAATAATTATAGTGTAATCTAATTTGGAAAAACTCTTTTTATATGTGAACAATGCGGATAATAATCGCAATAAAACCGTAACCGTGCCTTCGGTGTCCGGTACACCCGAATCCATCTTGAAAAAATGTCCGGAATGCGAAAACGTCAAAGTTTCTGTATAACGAATAACACAGGCGGGCGCGTATAACCTCGAAGCAACATTAGTGTATATGTACTTCAATAACGTCGCAGGTCAGTCTTTTGCAGTAAACATATTCAATCAGTCCCGATTGCTTCTTCATCATAAAGCTGAACGGCAACTCCAGCAAAAACAGCACCGCCAGCAAATACCAGCGCAGTCGCAAGAAGAACGGCCGCTCCGGCGTCTTGCAAGCCAGAATGTTGGACTCGAACCCCGGGATGACCAGCTCCTCCGTCAGATCGTACGACACATCGCGGCAGCGGTTGGCGTCCACGAAGCAGTCGCGCTGCCGGTCGAAGGCGCACTGCGTCGCCGCGTCGGCCAGCTCGAAGAGTTTGGCGAAGTGGATGCGGAGGTGCTGGGATTTCTTCATGTGCTGCAGCTGCTGCGGCGCGGTGACGTCCGTCCAGCGCATGTACTCGAAGTGCTGCGAGCCGCGCCAGGTTACTACCTTCTCCGTGTATGTCTCCTGCCGTTCGCGCTGGTCGTCGCCGCTGCCTTCCGTCACCCAGCGGGTGTGCGTTTCCGTGTGGTAGCACTCCATGTACCAAATAACTGCTGGTGCACCTGTAGGTACATAGACATTTTGCTAACATTTTTCGACATTTGTTACCTAGCTTTTAATTGACTCTCTATCGGCTACAGTTCCCGATCACGATAGCACCGAAGACGTTTTTCTGTTACCAGTTTGTTCTGGTACTTGGTTTGTACTTGTTTCATGATACTTATTGAAGGTCCTCATTGAATTTACGGAATGGCTGTCCGCCCGGATATTCAGGGCGCAAAACTATGCACATTATCCATGCGCGCGAAGCAGTTTGCCTGTATGCTTCGAATTTTTTGTACGTTGTAATTTTATATAACATAATAAGCTTCCTGGTTCGAAATTTATTTCGTTACGTGAAGATACGAAACAATCAGCTTAAGAGACGTGACCTTGGTACCGAATTCGTGTACATGTACCCGGTACATCTACGTGCACTTACATCGTATGCACCTGGCACCAAATTTACCGGAAGTTTTGCTTTCGCACACTCAAACGTTTTTGCATTATTTTGCAACATCTTACAGCCAAATAATTAGCGTAAATAAACATGAAAACCATATTGCATATTCGCTTTAAGTGTTCACGTTTTGGTGCTTGTGCATTGATGCAAACTCCGTGTACATATATCGACAAACCTCTTGCTAGTTGCTACCGCTTAATCGTACGTAAAAAATGTTATTTAATTATTATTGTTTCACCCATAAATCTGCAACCGGATGTTGCTCGCACAAACGGTTTTTTATGCCTATATATATAGGTAAATCATTTAGATACTGTACGATCGAAAGGTCATAAAGGAATGCTAAATGTGTTGAAAATGCGGAAAGCAAAACTTCTCGCGCATCACGCATATATCCACGAATTTGGTACCATGTACCAGAGTAACACGACTGCGCTTCCTTTTTGGTTAGTGGCGCAGCCAGTATTGCTACTGGCTATACCCGCTACATCATAATTATAGCTTATTAGTTAATTAATGTTGGCATGAGTTGTATTGCGATAAAATAAATAAACTTAATTAAAGCGTCATTCATTTGCTACGTACTGGATCGGACGGAATCCACATGGCTGGCGATATCCTTGACCAAAGCGATATTGCTCAAATACTTGAAATTCGATCCGCAGCACAGCACGTCGCTGATGTAGACCAGGTAGCCGACGCACAGCAGTGTGGCGCCAACGCGCAGCATCCAGTCCGGCGTCCGAGGAAGAATGCCATAGGCGATCAGCAGGCCGATACTGAACAGAATCAGGAAGACTAGGAGGATGCGGCAGTAGGTGGCGCAGCTGGTGAACATCTCGCGGGCGGCTGACTCGGCGCTGGGCAGCGGCGGCTGCGCAGCGTCCTCCCGCTGGACCTGTTCGTAGGACGGTGGTGGCTTCTCGACTGTCTCCAGTAAAACGACCGTCTCCGTTGCGGTCGGTGTTGATTTCTCTGTTTCTGGCATTATTCATGCGTTGAGCACTGGTGTGCGTCTTAATTCCTCGAATTCACCAGCAATGAAAGGAGTTTATTAAAACGCTCTCTTAAAACGAGTTTATTTAATAAAACGTTTTGTGCAGCAGCGCTGGCTGCAAGTGAATGGCTGTTGTACTTAAAGCGAAGAAAGGTTATCAAAACGTTTATAAATATTCGGAATAGGATGCATTAAGCTCTATGCGTGTAATGTACTCGCAGAATGCCAGCGTATAATTACAGTATGTAATTCAAATTAATGGCATTTATCGCGCTAGAAGAATAAGTGTTTGTTTTGCGGATTGTTGGGATATGATATGACCGGAGTAGGTTTATCGATGTTGATTAAACCAAGCCGCTTTTGTTTGATGGAGATAGTTGTGCTCGTATGTTATGCACCGCAGCAGCTTGATAGTCCATTACATATCGGACTATTACACTTCGCACTAAATTCATTAATTTAATAGCTGGAAGCATTAGCATTAATATTGATAACTGATGCTTGCAGCTATAATAATGCGAAGTAAATTTCTAAATTATTTAAATTTGTTAATTATTCTTATAAATTTGAAGTAAGTCCTTCGAATACGTCGCGCAAGTCGGACAAATTTGCTAGGAAGAAAGTGAAGGAAACCTAACAAATGGGAGACAAACCGTGTCGTGTGGTAACCAGGCTAATCCCTTGAGGGAAGTGAGTCGGTACATGGTAACAAATTTCTGTACATGCACGAAACTAAAACGTACGGACCTTCAATAAGTATCACGTGAAAGTACAAACTAAGTACTAGAAAAGAGAAGTTTGATTAAGTATGCAAACGAGACAGCGGCAACTACTGCTCCTTAGGGGTGAACTGCCATTCACGCACCCCGATGTTAGGGGGCCAGTTGTCTGCCGTGAACATTTTTTCAGACTCACTGGCGTAAGAACCAACACGTGCGAACAAACTATTCTTACGACCCTTTTTAGCAGAATAAATTGAGACAAATCTGACAGAGATCCCGATGGATTCGATGGTTGCCTTCAATCTTTTTCTCTCTTTCCTTGTCGGTTTTAGAGACACGCTTAAGCTGTAGGGTCGACATGATGATGTCATTTGAAGCGTTAGAAGCCTTCTCGCGAGTACCGCGAACCACTTTTCCCTTTTTAACGATGGTTGTCCAGGATTCTTTGGTAACGGGCCCACTGAGAGGGGTTTCATCGAAGCAAGGAGGGGAAACCTTGCAGTCAGGGGTTGACGCTTGTGAAACTTCATTGGACGGGGAACCTTTCACTGGTGTGTCGACAGGTGTCGTTGTGGTGGATCGAAACCCGGAGGGTTGAGGAACTAATCCACCAGTTGCGACGGTATTCGTAGGTAATTTGACAGTGGTTGCTTTCAAGGCTGTAACTTCGTCCCGGAGTGCCTGCAGTGTTGCAGAGGCCTCATCGTACCTTTTCTGTCGTTCTTGTAATTCGCGTATCTGGGCCTTCGCCGTAGTTAGCTCTGCGTTAAGGCGCTTGTTTTCTTCCACGATCGGGGTGATAAGCGGGGAGACTTGGGCCTGGAAGCACTTGGTAATCAAGCCGTTCAAATCCTCGTGGTATACAGGGTACTTTTGTACGCATTCCAGATCGCTGGCTATGGCTGGGATCATCTGTCGTATCAAAGGGATAAGCTTGGTAAAGACCACTGATCCTTGGCCGTTCCATCAGGGAATAGCTTGGCAAGTTTCTCAATGGAGAAAGGCTCGTAGCCATCATCCTCGCTGGCATTGTCAGGCATGGTTGTCCAAAAGGGGAGCACGGGTCCGGCCCCAGATCCGTTGACAATGAATAAATCAGCCAAACAAAAATTGTAAATGAATACCAAAAATTAATTCGTGCGAAAATTCCGTATATTTTTTCGTACCGGTCAGTTCATAATTTAGCTTATACAGATCGTCAAAATTTTTATACAGATCGTCAAAAATGCACGAAACTTGTACTTTAATTTAAAACCTGGAAACGCACATAAGTATGAAGATCGTTGTACACCGATCCACAGTTATCGCACGTTTTTCAAACTTCAAAATGATTTCCAAAAATTTTGAATCGTTTTAAATTTGAAAAAAAGTTTGGTGCAACAGATCCGTAAAATAACGGTTTTCCTGCTTATGTGCATTTCCATGTAGAATGTACATAAAGAAGACCGGTGCACAATGACACTTTTGGTACACTTTAATGCGTTTAAACTTTTTGGAATTTTCTTCGAGCCATATTCCCGGAATCGATGTTTAGGAAAGCACTTGCAGTCTTTGTTTTATTAGTTGCTCTAGCATGACCTTTATGGTCCTAGAATGATCTAAACCTTTGCTGCTGCTGACGGAAAATTTTTGAAAAAATCCGAGGAATATGCATAAGAACGGTTGAATGAATTTAGCGTAACTGACTTCTGAAGCGAGTTTAACTGTTTTGCAGAGTAGTTTTGCTTTGAAAACGGAAATTTTTGAACCCACTACCACGCCACAGCTGCAAGGATAGTTCATAGATCACGCGTGTGCTAGTGACGGAGAGATGAGTACAATAGAATAAATACCGTAATATCAATCCTACCGACCTGACTCAACGACAGAGATTGAGCTAATAATTTCAATGTGGCATAACTAAATAATATGCGTAAGCTACGAACTACGCGAAGCGAGAATACGACTGCATTCCGACGATGTATTTTAATATGCGTAAGCTACGAACTACGCGAAGCGAGAATACGACTGCATTCCGACGATATATTTTAATAGTAAACTCCGAAACTGCCAAACTGAATGAGAACGAACTGATGCCAAAAATACTGCAACTATTGGACTTATATATGCGCGAAGCGCATCCGGTTAGCAAAGCCGAAAGTAGAAACCACAAAGGAGAAAGTGCTCGAATGCACAAAATACCCGTAAAGTACGAGTACAGGTATTATAGAAGTACGCACTACGCCGCTACCTTACACCATTAGTTTAAAATCCATGTTATATTGTGTGCAGGCTCCGTCCTGCCTGTTTAGTGAACTTAGCCGATATCTGATGGGCGCGATATTATTCCCACGGATCCTGAGAATGATAACTAGCATAAAAAGCTATATATGGGATTTATGGTTTACGGTAGAATCAGTGTGATGTTAGCTGTTGAACAATAAAAATTAACAGGAAAACACGCAAGTTGCGGTTGACTAAGTAGTCAGTGACCTAACATTTATTATTATTATTATTATTATTACGGCACAAGAGCAGACAACCCCGAAGGGACTTCAAGTCTGGTCGAACAAAACAATTTTCTGTTAACAAAACATTTAGGAGAGATTAACAGATCTGAGTAGAAATTTAAAAGAAGGTACAGAACTAGCTTCGAGAATTTTAGGATTAACAGCAAGAATTTTATCAAGAAGACGCTTTAGTCGCATTTCCATAGTCGACCCTCCGATAACTTTCTTTGGTACGGAAATCGAGGACCGTGACGAGCGATAGCTGATAATACGGAACGAGCAATAGCTGATTTGTACACCGTTGCAACGGTGCACTATCAGCTACTGCTCGTCCCCGTGGAGGAAGAGATTGCTTTAAAGGTCGTTCCGCATCGACGGGATGTTGACGGGAGACAGCACGCTTGGATCGACATTGGAGCGCTAGCCGTCTATTTCGCTGGTGCAGATGCGAAGACAGCGATACGGGATGCCGGACAATCGCTAATGAGTTCAGCGATCTGAAGGTCCCGAGCGACAGTCGATCACCGATATTCACAGGGGAAGCGAATGGTGTCGTGGACAAGTGGGAACGGGAGTCGGGAGTTTAACCGGTATGGTAGAGCGCCTGAGTGGGATAAGAGCAAGTATTTGCGTATAGTGTCGTTATGCTCGCTCGAACGAGTTATCAGGCCAGTAGTGAGACATGGCCACAGGCGATGGAACGAAAGCATTCGCAAGGCGACGGAGATTTCGAGGCGCAGTTTCGCGGTCGATTCCGACCCAAGGAAGCCGTTCCTGCAGTTCAGCGGGAGCTGTATCAACGACGCCAGCTGGCCGATGAAGATGTTGCGACCAATCCAGTGTCTAAAGGTGAGCAAATGCTACCTTGTTGACAGTGCATGCAATCGATGAATTCATTGCACTGTTGGTGAATGATGGAGAGTGATGATCGAGCCGATCAACGGCGGGTTGCTTGACCGTTTTAATACGATGGTGGTCTTGTCGCAGGCAAAAACACTACAGTAGTTCTACGGCAGGTGTGAGCCTTCCGTAGAACACTTGTGGTATTTTGCCTGTGTCCTGGTGCAACACGCGTTGCACAGGCGTGAGCTGCGGAAGCGCGACAAGCTTAGACGGCCGTGCGAACGTCGGGACATCCGAAGTCGCCTCAGCAGTTCGGACCACCAAGACGCTAGGAGTAGCGTAACCGCTCGTGTGGACAGAATCCGTCCAGCGGTGGGGACGAAGAGTCAGCGAGTCGACCAACTGCTACCAAACTCGGTGGAACTGGCTTCACAAAGTGACCGACCTTAGGATGCCAGCGCAGTTGCTACAACTGCGGTAAATTTAGACACCTCTTTGCCGTCGCCTTTGGTGGCTCCGGATCCTGGACTAACGCTTCCACCGGTTCGCTGTCAGACGCTGTCGCTTACAAGGGTGGGACAATTCTCTTCAAGCAGGTATTTGCGGCACCTCCGCGACGAAGATGACGGGCCATTTCGTTTTCGCCCCGCGTTTGTGGCTGATTGCCTTACTGCGTGCGATTTATGCGAAATCTTTAACGTGGAGACGCAGGACTGCGAAACTGCAAACGCTCCTGGGCCCCTGGCAAGCTTCGCAAGGAGCTGGTGTACAGATGCCAAATTGCCGTCAAGCTGCCGATCACAGAACCACCGCTGCTGTGCCGGGTCGAAGGACTTATCTTCAAAAAACTCTTCGTTCCATTAAACAGGGCGCAGGACGTTTTTAGCGACGCTTCCGACAGATCTCATATCATCCAGCATTTTCGTGACACGATGAAACGCGATGTGCGGTTGGCCGCCTTGTCGGACTGCTGTCGATTTCACCTTCGAATCCAAAGAGATGGATGCATGTTCATTGTCCCCAGCCTAACAGCGGAGCCAGAGACGATGCAGTGGATGGCCACAGCACTGTTGGAAATGCTGTTGACTCATCTAGCCCACCGAGCGGACCTTTCGCCGTTCGACAACCGTTGCTTTAGTGGCACTGAAGAGTTTTCCTCAGGGGCAGGTTAGTACTTCCAGTTTGTTGGTAAGTTTGCTTTCAACATTAAAGCCCCTTGAGGGCCGTCCACTCCGTTAGACAAACTCTCCGAATTCCCTTTTGTAGCTTCAAGTGGGGGAAGCCGGAAGTAGCCGGAGCGGCCACCTCTGGCTTCTGTCGCATAAGCTATATTTCGGAAAACGAGCTACCTAAGAATCGGCCATTGGTACCGGACCCGCACACGTTGGAGTTGTCAATGGGACATTAGACTTTTACCGGCAGACAAGTGCGTATAGAAGAAACTTGGGCACTTATGTCGGCACTGGCCGGCGAACCGGTCGATCCACGGCCCACATAAATTATAGCTCCAACTGGCATATTTGCAGCCGTTCCGCCAGTTAGAGATAGCACTCGATGCTTGTCGAGTAGCAGACCGAAAGTACATATAGGCTTTCATTGGAGATTTGGTGCGGCCTTTGCTGAAATGATTCGTTTTATTGGCCGGAATATCCGCGAAGCCTCCGGGCAGGCTAGATCGACGGCGTTCTTAAAACAGCTTTTAAGCGTAGCGGTAGTTAAAAGGAGCACAGCAGCCGTTCTGGAAATATTGATTACACAGCAATTAAGATCGCGAGGAACGGTTTTGGTTGTCATTTCAATGTTCAGATTTGTATACTTTTAATTAGTGTCCGGTGCAAGGAGTTTTGTTCGAGTATCTATGGGATTGTGGGGAGGAGTGGCCTCCCCGTACACCCGCACTGGTGCGGGTGCTAGGTTGTTTTACTGCATTTTGATGGTATTTTTCTTCATCTACCAGATCCTCAATCTGGTAGATTCTTCAGTTGCTAGCTATCGTCGTCTGAGTAACTTGCTGTCCTTTTTGACACTGCAGCATTCTGCTGCGGGTGTCAAAATGTGAGTGGGGTATAAAGAAGTGCAGGTGGTTGCGGAGTGTCTTGCCTTTCCGCATAGCTCGCAGTATACAACACTGTTCACTCAGCAGGATAATTCCGTTTCTGTCTTGCCCGTGAATTCTTCCAGAATCCATCTTCATAAGCTTTTGCTGAATACAAATGTTTTTATGCTGTTTCTCTTGCTCTCTGACCGTCAAGGGGAAATCCGACCGGGAAATCCGTGAAGGCTCGGCCTCCCGTCGGCCGGGAAATCGGTGAAGGCCGAAGTTACCGTGTAACCTCTTATCTACGACCGTTTTAAGGCAATATTTTTTAGTCTAGCGGTAGTCACAGCGGCTGTATTGGGCCCGGCAGAACACTTGCCAGCACGGTTTTTTTCTAAATGAGTTGCTCTTGATCTTTGAGGACTTACTTTAAACTACAGGAGTTGTGAATCCTCGCACTAATGTAGGCGCTGCTCCAACTGTTCCAATTCCATAACACCAAAGCTATACGAAAGCTATACGACATTTCCGTTACACGATCTTCCAATTAGACTCGTGCATTATAACCGGGGGTCCAGCTGTATGTGGTGATTATAAAATAACCCACTAATTAAGGAGAAAGCATGACGAGGCGAGAGGCGTGCTCTTACTAAGCGCAATTCTATCTGAGCGCCGTCAGCGTGTTGTTCTGGGAGTGACCTGTATTTCGTATGCTAGGAAACAGCTTTTTGCAACCGGGATTAAAGACGACAGGCGGTATGTGCCAATGCCTGGCGACAGGCGGTATGCCTGTTTTCTATATTCTATGTCAACAAAAATTTTTAGCGCTTGATTGTAGACAGTCAAATTTACAGAATTGTTATAATTTTGTCTCAAATTGACGCTAAACCGATACGGAGCTCAGTGAGTGAATGAAATCTCAAAGGGCACCTCTAGTTTGGCAAATAAAATGCCTATACCAAGATGGCCACAAAACGATTAATATACTTAGTTCCTTTACCATGCACCAGACATTTTAGTACAGTACACAAAATGCAGTGACTGGTACAGACTACAGAGTATGTGTGCTCCAATTCCTCCGGCGCTTTGCCGGCAACAACAGCTGCAGCGCGTGAATATTACCGTGCACCCATCCTCCTACATAACGAGTCCGACGTCACCATGCAACCGGTCTGGATTGGTTAAGGCCAGAGTTCACTGTCCAACAGGAACGTATCATATCACGATGCATTCCACAAATTGTTTTCCTCCATAAACGCTTGCCGATTGTAGGCGGTGGCTAGCGGGTGTTGCTCACTTTACCGGCACTGTTAGCAGCGGCCTGCGTGGAACGCGTAGTCTGCGACGCTGTCGCACACAGCCGCTCCCCGCTCAGCCTCCACAGCGCGGCACGCACGGTCAGCAGCACAGCGCGCCGGTACTCGCCGCTCAGCAGGATGTAGATGGCCTGTATAAAGAAAAGGTCACGTCAGCATTCCGCCCGCGATTCGGCCTAGCCGGCATCAGGTTGCGCCGTATGCGCACATCCCGCTTGGCGCCCCTGGCGACGCACACCCGGCATGAAAACATAAGACAAATCCGGCCGCCATTAATAAGCTAATTAATAATTGCCGGCACGGGTCCAAAACGATTTATTAGCACCATAATTATAAATACTTCTACTGCTGGTGGTAAGTGCTGAAGCGTTTTATTACGGTTTAGTACTTTTTAGGCGTCTTCATTTTTACGGTTTATCGTTGGCTTTGCTAGTTTTCTTAGAATTCTTCGATACAAGCATCTTAAACTTGAGAAACTTTAGAACACGAGAAAAATACAAAACCTATTCGTGTAGCCGATATATACAGTAATTCTTTATACTATACTTGAGAAACCGCAGATCCAGAGGTCTGCAATTAGTGTTTTCTAGGTGGTCCCATGTTGTGCCTAACTGTTCTGATCAGTTTACCATGAGCGCCAGTATGACTGCACACATTTATCGCAACTCGGAAGCTGACCCAGCTGCTTTGAAACCTGATTTAGTTTTGCTTCTTGGTTTTACGCTCGTGACGGTCTAATAAACTGAACCTGCAATCTGGCAGCACAATAATCGTGTTTTTCTCGATTCCGATAATCTTAAACAAGCTGTCTTCGTGATCTGGCATCCTTTTCCAATCTGCACAGTCGCTCTATCCTTCACAGCAATGCAATTTGATTTAAGAGGCGTTGACAGCATCGTTTTTATGAGGCTATATGGCTTTATACGGCTACGTTTTTATGAGGCTATATTTGACCACGAATTCTTAGTGTGGGGTGCTGAATTAATCACACCGGCGTTGTACATACTGTATATGTGTAGATAAATGCCTAATTATTCCCAGCATGCAGTTAATTGGATCGTATACATTTTCGCAAGCACATGCGAAAGCAATTACATACTGAAGTAGACGAGCTTAATTATGAATGCCGGGCGGATGTGCAACACGAAGAATCGGTAATTTAAGCGTACCCTTATGAGACCTGCTCAGGTTTCCCCAGCTGCATGTAATTAATTTATGGAAAAATCCTGTTTCCGCTTCTTAATGTGACGGTCGCTTCCCAGTAAATTACTGCGTCAGTTACTGGAAAATCTATCATGTAGAATTAAAGGAATTATTTAGAAAATTCAGCAAAGAAAATATAGGACATTATGTGGTGGAAAAGAGATTTTTTTCCAAAGAAAGAAAATTCAGCAAAGAAAATATAGGACATTATGTGCTGGAAAAGAGATGTGGTGGAAACGAGAGAAAAGAGAATTGCAAATGAGAAGGTACAAATACATACCGGCGTTCCGGCTGAGCCGAAGTGCGTCAGCGAGTTGAGCCAGAAGAATAACAGCGGCCGGCCGCGCCACACCATCGGCAGATGCGTGGCGATGATGGGCAGCGGGCAGTAACAGACAATGTACCAAATGAAGGACCCCATCAGCATCACGGCGATCGTCCGCTGTCGTGACCTCGTCGCCGTCTCCCGCACATGCTTCTGGCACGAGCGAAAAATATTGGCCAGGACGCAGAAATACAGTCCGCCCTGTAGGCAAAAGGGCACGGTGACGCTTAGCGACAACAGGAGAGGGACCAGCGGATGCGGATACTGGATGAGCACACAGGAGCCCATCACCGGACTGAAGGCATAATAACCCAGGGTGTCCGTTACAAACGGAACTGTGGCCACACAAGCGATAATGCAGCACACCGCCGCCAGAAAGGCGGTGGCCCGGCGACTGGAGATGTTCGGATAGCGGTGGGGGAGGAGGATGGCCACGAAGCGGTTGAGGGCCAGGGCGGTGGCGATCCAGTGGACCGCGGTGAAGATAAGGTGCCGGGGGAACTGCACCAGGACGCAGGGGAGGGGCGGGGCGTGGCCGAGTTGCGCGGAGAGGATGGTGGTGGTGAAGAGGCAGGACGGGAGCGCCGCCACGGTGTCCAGAATCAACAGTCCGATTACCAGCAGGTGGGCGCCCTCGCGGAGGGGTTGGTGTCGGAGGAGGGCGCAGATTAGTAAAATGGCGGACAGGACGCCAGCGCCGGATACGGTACAGGAGACGCCGTACCACCAGAGAAACGCCTCACGCTCGTTTGAAGAAATGCCGGGTGTGATGGAGCTGTTGTTGGCCATTAGCGACGATTACGGATTGCAGTTGGCCGTAGCTGTGATTAAAACTGAAGATTTAGATAACCGTTTAATTACCTATATAGAATCCTTGTCTTAGCGGTCTGCGCAATGCTGGGAGAAATGGGAAAAATGAGAAGGTTGTTGCGTTGATGGATGCCGCTGGCTGTTAGTGGTAGCGTAGCTGACGCACGGAAACACATCCACATCCGCTACCAGGCCGCCAATGCCGTACAGAGTGCGATTTCGCGGTAATCCCCCGTCATTTTTAATGAGACTGGCTAAAAATTGCCTGATATTAACTATTTAGCTAGCTGCCGCCAGGATAGCGGTGTGCGGCTAACCACCGTAAACATGGTATTTTGAATCTCCGCAGGTTTGATCAACTTTGATGGCTGCCTTTGCACCAGTGACCAACATACATATAGTGGATCTTCCCGCATGATTTACGTGACCGGTAAGCCGGCGCAATATGTAACTTTGAAGCTTCAGTAAACCGGGAATAAGCCGTCGATAAAGCCGGTAAATGGGTAAACCTATCGCTGTGAAGACGTCAAGGTCACCGCTGCGTAGGAGCGCATAGGATATCCAAATAATATTCTGTTAAATCCAACAGGCTTACTGTAGCGGCTCTACCAAGTTATACCACAGAGTTTGTATACGGGAAAACAGTACCCAGAGTGTGTGTATTAACTGTGCACGCGATGCATGGCATGCACACGCTGCGCGAGTGCAATTTTCCCGTACACAAACTCTGTGGTATAACTTGGTGGAGCCGCTACAGTATACTGTAGCTGCATAATGCACACTACAGATATATGAAGTAAATGCTTTACTTCTATTGCTGTTGTTAAGCCACGTTGTTGAATCGCGAGCTGTTATGCTTAAACGTGATCTATGTACATAATTAAAACCTTTATTTTTCGTATAAACTATACTTTATAGAAGTCGGTAGAACTATACTTTATAGAGCACGACAACTTCAGCAGTACACAAAATTAAGGTTCGTATTGGACAGCGTAATATAATTTAACAAAAACCATAACATCATTTCCGTTCCGCTAAATGAAAGGCAAAGTACACATCTTCCTTCTCTACCGTGTCGCTGAATGTACCGAGAACAGACACTGCATTTCCTCGCTGAATCTCAGTACCAATTCTCTGGCGTAAAAACTCTCCTGAGCGGGGGTTGCTTGTACTGTCGATAATCTTTCTCGACAGCTCTCTGAAGAATTTCTTCGTCAGTGGTCCGAACGTGCCCGTAGTTTCGAACGCCAGCGGTTGAACGATATAACGGTCTGCCAGCCCGTTATACTTTCCTAACTTTCGGTTTTCACGTATTTCCACGGCACTTCCCGGCACCCTGGACGTCTGGGCGATGTACGTTTGGGCAAATGTGTCCGCCGCGGTTACATACCACACTAGCGGCTTTCCATTTTTCCAAGGGAATGCTGCCACACCGTCGGGCCGCTCTGTCTAAACCCACCGGTTGAAGGGACGATGGCACTTTTGCCGAACTGAGTGAGCGCTTCGTTGCTTTGTTCAAGACAGCGTGGACGCCATGTCTTCCTTTTGCTAACTTGCATTCCAATCCATGAAATCCAAGACTGTCTATAGTACTACCGCACCGGCAAACATGCTTTTGACAGACTGTATCTCGCAGCCGCCGCGCCACGGCAGTGCGCAAGTGTGCGTCATCCAGTAAATTTCCGAAAATTGAAACGGGTAAAGCAGATAACCAGGCACGCGACTCCGGTGAGGATGCAGCCAACAGGCGAGCAGAGGTAAATACGTCGGCGTTATCCATCATGCAGGTCGCTGTCTGGGAGTGCTGCAGTGCTGTCCAATCCGACTGGAAACAGCGACTTTCCGTACACGGAGGGCTCCTTGGTAACAGCTATACGTATGTTTGTATATTGTGAGAACTCGTGTTTTGCCTTCTTTATGGCGCGTCGCGCGATACTTGTTTCTTTATTGGCCAAATCATACTTGGGGGCAAAGCAAAGAAAGAAACAAAGAAACTACTTGTTCCTACTCATACAATATCTAACGTAGTAATTTGAAAACAAAACTGGATATCAGGTTTTCCAAGCAGCTCATAAGGTATGCGACACTGCTGGCACGGGTCCGGGCAAACTGGATATTCTGAGACGTAAACTCATATGACGCGGCTTATTTTTTCTGAAATATTTCGTTGATGAGTGGTGAAATCCAAGACGTACTGGTGGCCAGACTGAACGTAACATGGATCGCACCCTTGGTAATAATGCCGATTTTTTTATATTGTTTTATTTGTGGTAATGCAGATAAACACACGACATACTGTATTCGTACCCGTTTTCTTTAAGCTGGTTGACCTTTGGGTGTTTTTAACTTGCTGCATGTTTCTGGCAATAATCGACGGGTGTATTACCAGGCGCTGCGGACCCAACTAATTATTCTGACTCTAAGTGAAGTGTTGCATTTCATGGGAAATAAAGTTCGGGACTTAACTGGCGAATCGCGTTCTACTGCGTTGCTCAAGCAGCGTTTTACAAGTAGTATAGCTGTTGTTAAAGGGAAACGCTGCGGCTGTTTTGAGCACACTACCCTATAACCGTAGGTAGAGAGGACTTTGGTTGTTCTTATTTCTAAATATCTATATGTTAACCATGCCGTAGTGTGCCAGCGCTTGCAATTATTGTTACTTGGGTGGCTATGGCCAAATAAATCATTCTGACAGTTTCAAGCCCTAAAAACCTCATAGATGCCCCACAAAGCCAGCTTGCTGAACTGTCGGATATCTACAGTTCTCAAGTCGACCTCGTTCCACGTCCGGGCGCTGCCATCCGGCTGGAATCCGCTGTACCTGCAGCAATAAAGACCGCCCCTTTATCACCCGCACACTGCAGTGCCGCTTTACAACCCGGTAAAGTCAACTTGCCTGTTTAGGAAGCCGCGGATGGTCTCCCATTCCTGCGGGTAGGTGAGGGTGCCGCACCAGCGCGTATGCACCGCCGCCACTTTGGCTAGCACGGCGGCGGTGGGCGGGGGAAACGGCCGGTCCATGGCCCACATGAAACGCCGTCGGACGTGGCCCCACCCGTTCCGCCAGCTACAGTCACAAATCAGTCGGGGGATGCAGATCAGCGTCCCATCCAACACCGACTGCGCTACCGACACGAATTCGTTGATGTAGCGCCGTTCGTGATCGGGTAAGCGGATGCGGATCCCGTCCGCTTGGGCACCCTGCACTGTCATCCGCATGACATTAAAAAGGCGCGCACCATGAGGTGTTCCGCGCATTTCCAGTCCAGCGAAGATTAGATGGCTAGAGCATGCCACAAAACCCATCAGCAGCATTTCGGGAGCCATGTTCGACAGGCAAAAGAACTTGATCGCGAGGAAAGGCAGCTTGATCTGCATGACCTTCAATAACTTCTGCACGAACCAGGCAATGTGCCAGTTAAACTGCTCCGCCTCCCAGTCATGGGCGCGCGCTGTGATGCTGACGCTCTTCGTGGCGGACGTGATGGTGCTGCTGAGCACCATCGCCACCCGGCAACAGTTATGGTCACCGCACTGTGTGCTGTGGAAGTTTTCGGTCAGGATATGGATGTGCTGCGTCGCGCGGGGATTGCCCAGCATTACTTGCCACAATGCACACACTCTGTACGAAAAACAGATGTCGTTTACGGACTGTTCATCGAATTTTAATTCTAGCAGATTACTTCGGCGTTGCTCGCATTGCGGACATTTTCACTATACGGATTCGCGTACCGGACACCAAAGACATGGATTCTCCGCGCTGTTGTTCCACGTGACACAAACTTTTCAGAATTTGATTGCGTGATGGTTTGTGCGGGAGATTAATAAGCAATTATCAAGTTTTCTAATGTGGAACAACGCAGAGAATACCGTGTGTCTGGAGTCCGGTAGGTGAATTCGTATTGTGAAAATGTCCGGAATGCGATAAACGTCCAAACTCCATGTACACGTATAAACAATGATGAGAGCAAATATACCGTATGGCTTTGGTTTTCGTATGCAGGTCAAGACCTTCCAAAATCTCCGTTAAAAGTATGAGTGGCAAATGGCATAAGCAACCAGTCGCACAAGATTCTTGAAACAGAAACAATGCCGATTCGCCCAAAGCAATTCAATAAATTCATTCGAGGTATAATAACGCATCCCTTAAGAAAATATAGTTGCAGTTTCTCTGCGAGCAGACTAACCTTCTAGCTTGGTTCGTGGGAACTATTGGCAGACCTCTGCAGCACTTTGCCTGCTTCGCCAAGATCAGGATGTCCACCAATGTTTCCGTGGTCCATTTCATGGTTGCGGTGTCTTTCTGGCTGCCAACAATCGTAAATGTGCACCTATTGGGGCCGATTCGCATATGGAAACGACAGCTGTCCTCCATGCCGGTCAACGTTGAGCGCGACCGGAACGTTCGACGGAAGATGTCAATAAACTGCGGCACAATGACACATTTCGCCGTGGCCAAGAGGACTTGGTGCTTAGTGTACAGAATCCCGCTGGTTCTTGCCAGCAGCGGTGGTTCGCGCAATGCCAGCTGGCTCACAATCTGGCACCGATCAACAACGGCAACACCGGACGCTGCAGTTCCCGGCATATTCGTGCTGATGAAGTACATTAGGCAATCGTAAACGAAATAGAGCAATGTGGCCGGACGAAAACGGGATGGGCCGTCCTCTTCATCGGGAAGAGCCGCGAATACCGTCCTGTTGAGATATTCTCGGAAAAGTAGATCCCTGGATAGGAACGGTAGCGGCCACACTCTTGAAGAATGGATGTAGCGTGCAGGTTCTTTGAAGGAGTCAAAATCAACCAACACGGAGTCACCGCGAATATCCTGGATGTATCCCAGCCAGCAGGTATCCTTCTCCATTTGCACGGCTACGGTGTTCTGGTAGTTGATGGAGTCCTGCCCAACCCAAAGCCGTCGAAATGCCGGGAGCACTAGTCTGGAATCCATCTCGAGCCTTACCGGCGATCCTAAATTG